TCAGCAAAACTTCTCTTTAAATAATATGTTGAAAAAGAAAGTATCGTTATAGTTTTGCAAAGCAAGATACTTAATATGAATTATTTAAAATAACTACTTCAGAAAAGCTTGCAGTAATTTTAACTAATCAAGCTTACGATATGAGGAAAATAAGTGGAGAAATACATAAAGAAGGCATTATAAAAACTATTTGGAAAATCGTAACTATTAATATTTTTTAAATAAGTAGAATAAAATACCTTTAACTTTAAATTTCTAATTATTATATTCCCCCGTTAATACCTCCAATTTGTACATAAATTCCATATAAACGAATAATGTTTATGCTCTTATTCAATAATAATAATTAAAATTACTGGTACAAATATGTATTATAAAAAGAAGAGAAATCGAATTTAATTCAGTTTGAGTTAAGATAAAGAGCTGTTAAAACCATAAGTGTAGTTTTACTCATAGAATTAATATACAGGCATTACAGGGTAGTAAAGAACTTTTCGTCAAAATCCAAAAACAGGTCAAATTTGTTTCTGAGAGGGACAACTTTTGGCTCAAAAAGCATACCAAAATCTTCAACCCCCTAAGTGGGGGTGCTATCCCCTAAATTTTTTCAAATGGGAATTGGGGTCAAGTGGGGGGTCATTAGAAAGGGCTTTTAATTCTCTATACATCGATTCTTACTTTTTGAAAATCGATTCATTATTTTAGAAAATATGCAGCTTTGAAAATACGAACAATATTTTTGACGAGAAATGCGAAAATCGATTTAATTTTACTTCAAAACTTACGGTATTAGTCAAGTAAATGCTGAAAATGTTGTCCGCCAACTTGCATACAATGATACAGGTTGTCTTCAAACCGTTGTCGAACATTCTGGAGCACTTGCGGTGTTACTTCGCGACATACATTAATGATTCGTCCTCGCAGATCTTCCAAGGTATCAGGTGGAGTGCTGTAAACTTTGCTTTTAATGTGCCCCCAGAGAAAGAAATCTAAAGGATTTAAGTCGGGTGACCGAGGGGGCCACTCAATTGCACCTCTTCGTCCTATCCAGCGTCCTGGAAACGTCTCATTTAGGTAATTGCGCACATTGAGCGAGTAATGTGGAGGAGCTCCGTCTTGCTGGAAAATCAGTTCGTGTTCATTGTAAGCAGGGTCGTCCTCTATGATATTTGTTAGAGCTGGGTCGATGACATTTTGTAGTAAATCCAAGTACATATCGCCTGTCAAATTTCCAGGAAGGAAAAAAGGACCTACAATGGAATTTCCAAAAATACCTGCCCATACATTCAACTTCTGGGGGTGTTGGGAGTGTGTCTCATGGAAAATCCTTGGATTGGTATCAGCCCAGTAACGACAATTATGGCGATTCACTAAACCATTCAAGAAGAACGTACACTCGTCCGAAAAACACACATTAAAGAGGAAATTATCGTTTATCGCTCGTTCAGTCATTATTTCGCAAAATTGCAAACGACGATCAAAATCGTCTTCATTTAGCTCTTGCACTAGCCGAATCTTATAAGGATGGAATTTGTATTTTTTTAATATTCGTTGGACACTTGTACGACTCACTCCTGTCGCAGTAGCCAATTGCATTGTACTCAGCGTACTATCCATTGCCACTTGCCCCAATACCGCTATTTCCGTAGGTTCATTTAGTACCGGATTTTCAACCTGCCTCTTTTTGTTATGAACGGAGCCAGTTTCGCGAAATTTGGCCACCAATTCGCGAACAATTTTTCCAGACGCATGTTTCTCAGGATGCCGTTGGTTGAACAGTTCGGCGACCCGATTTCCGCATTCATTGTTTTTGAAAAAAAGCTCAATAATTTCTACTCTTTCTGGAATTGAGTACACCATAATTAATCAATTTAAAAGACTCGGCAGTATTGGTACTCTTCAACTACAAGTCACAAGACAGTTATCTAGCAACTTCTTGTGGCCTATCTAAATACGAAACAAAAAGCGGACAATTTTTTGCTCACCAAAATCAGGCTAAAGAATTCGCAAATCAGAAAAAAAAAAAGCGAATTCTTTTGAAGGAATTTACCAAGCTAATACCGTAAGTTTTGAAGTAAAATTAAATCGATTTTCGCATTTCTCGTCAAAAATATTGTTCGTATTTTCAAAGCTGCATATTTTCTAAAATAATGGATCGATTTTCAAAAAGTAAGAATCGATGTATAGAGAATTAAAAGCCCTTTCTAATGACCCCCCACTTGACCCCCATTCCCATTTAAAAAAATTTGGGGGATGGCACCCCCACTTAGGGGGTTGAAGATTTTGCTATGCTTTTTGCGCCAAAAGTTGTCCCCCTCAGAAGCAAACTTTACCTGTTTTTGGATTTTGCCGAAAAGTTCATTACTACCCTGTAATGCCTTGCGGTACGTTTTCGATGGGCTACCATGTATATACACATTTATAATGGAATTTTTTGTCTTCTAGTATTTATATTATTTTTATAGCCTTTGTAGATCAAAAATTCGTCGGCTATCCCTTCTGCCATTCATCTAAATATAATTAAAAACCTGATCAATAATTTTTCAAAAATTTTAACTTAACCATACTTTTAGTTTAACCACCACACATAAATGTAGTTAAAATCATTTTAACTTCAAACGGGAATACGGCCCAACAGAAAAAAGTAGTAAGGAATCGAGTATAGCTAGTTGATTGGTTGAATTAAATGTAGCGCGCTACAGTAGAAGTTCTGTAAACCAAGCATAAGCCCGCACTAGCTCTATCTCTCTCGTTGAGCGAGTCCAGTAGGTTACTAGGTCTATGATGGCAATTAACGTTAATCACGTGCGCAGATTTTTGAGTAGTTTAAGCGTTTCGAATTCGAAGATGGCCGAGAAGACGTTAAAAATGACGGACGCCCGGGCCGCCCTTCCACGTCAAAAACGTATAAAAATATTGACAAAATCGTTAATCTGATCCGATCTGAGTACGATCGATGATCAGCGGGCCTGACTATGAAAAAAAAGCATTATTACCACTTACTCGATTGCAGCATCCTCCTCACGGTCCAGGTATGCTCCGTGTTTTATACTTTTTCCATTTCGGAGGTAACCACAGCCCCCTGACCTATTTCTCAAACAAAAATCCATTCATTTTAATCAGGATATTAGAACGGTCTATCCAATAAAAGGGTTTCCGTATAATACCCCCGCAGTTTTTGTCTTAGCGTTTAATTTAATTAAGGGGATCTGCAATTCAAATGAACCGCCAAAGTAATGCATAATTAGATTTGGCAATTAATCGAATGCAAATCGCTTATAAGTCATTATTAAGAACAAAACAACGGGTAATACGCTGCTGTGCGGCCAAACAGCGGTTCGGTTCGATTAAAGTTTCAATAGGATTTAGTTCAGTAGCACGCGAAATCAGCGTCGAATTGTTGAAAAACTTTATTTCACATATCGGCTGCGGGGTATTGTATTTGTTAATTGAATCCCGGTATTTGTAAAAGTGCAATGAAATGATGAAGGGTGGTACGAAATTGATTCAAATCCGTACCAGATAGTTATTTTTCATTCTAGGTTGCATTTCTAAAAATCTTATTAACCTGTTAATACTTAGAGTTGAAAACCTTCGAAAATGCTGAAGTCAGTTTCCTGAAAATGTGGAATAATTTCTGTTAAAAGACATGCACATAGTGTACACTCTACATGTTACATCTTCCCGTTTAATTCCTTGACTCCTGGGAAGAATAGAACACCAGTATTATTCAATTTGTGCCATCTAACTCACTTCAAAACTTGAAAGAAACTGGAAATTGCACATTGTCTGCCTTGTAACAGGTAAATCCAATTTGTGTCTCCTTTGGAGAACAAAATACTAAAACAATTTGCGGCTGCAGAAAGTTCGCGAAACTGCCGGAGTTTTTTGCTAATACCTCCCTTCTTGCACGTTTAACTTTTTAATGGGGTACTTCGCGGACATAACCTCACTTTAAAGGTTTTATGGCGGCATTGACATGAAATTAGCTTGTCTAGTTCTAAACTTCTATCCGTCCCATCTCATCCTTCGTTTAAACTCGAATAAAGTGCTTAGCTGAACAAAGCTCCTTGAAGGTAATGCATTTTAGCTGTTTCCCCTAAATAAATCATTCACGGATTATTCGTACCTACATGAGTTTAGAAAATGAGAAAAAATAAGTCTTAATCCGCTCTTAGGCAGATTTCTACTAGGTTATGTTAGCTTAGGAGATAAAATCGAAACAGCTTCAGAAAGTATTAAAATGAGTTTAAACGTCATTAAAATGCAACAAATTACGTCAAAGTGTATGTGTAAAGTTCCTAAGGTCAAAAGTCAGCAACTGGCAATCAAAGACCAATTATTGGTAACCACAGATCAAAAGTTAATGATCTATGGGACAAATGTTGATGAAGTGGAGTTAAATGTCTGTTATATAGGTCAAACGTCAATGACCTGGGGGTCGAGGTATGCATTTAAAGGGAGAATTTCGAGATGTTGCAATGTTATTGCAAGTTTTTCAAATGATTTTGATATATTTCTAAATATTTCGAAGATGTTGAAGTTTCGAAGTATTCAAACTTATTGGTTTTTGAAGTATTTTGAAGTTTTTGATGTATTTGGCAATATTTTTAAGTTTTTTGAGGTTTTTCATTGAAATAATGAAAGTTTTGTATTATTTACGAGATATTTCGTTGTTATTCGAAGTTTATTCGGATATTTTCAATTTTTCGGAATATGTTGACGTATTTAGAGGTTTTTGAGCATTTCCAAGTCTTGTTTGCTAATTGATAATATACTAAAACTATACCAATTAATTTTGTTTACAAGTTTTGTTTAGTTTCTGAAAATTCTGAAAAAAAAATAGATCAGTCCAATGTTGAATATCCTGAAAATGTTAAAGGTTTTCTGGTGTAAAATGACCTACAACTTAAAAAATATTACTGAGAATTGGAAATTGTCATAATCTATTGCCAGTAAATTGAGAATAGATCTGTAATTGACGTTTTCGTTTGTTTCAGGACCCGAAGCTGAGGCAGATCGTGACGATGGGGTCACAGGACACGCTCGAGGAGAAGACGGTCACCGTCTGTTGTGCCAATGACTTTGTAAATATAACTTTTATAAATTTTTGTTGTACAAGGAGAGAAATCGCCAGGCTGTGGACGGACTCGCTGTTGAGTTTAGCTTATAACTTGAACCAAATTAACGGCACCACTAAAATGTATCTGTTCAAAGCGTACACTAAGCTTAGTTTAATTAGGGATAAGGCAGGAAACATACCGGTCAAAAAGTAAGTACATACAGGGTGGATATTAAACTTATGCGTAGCAATATTTTGTAATGAAAGAAAACTTGTTGAGAACCGCTGATTCCATTGTGGTATTTACGCGTGACATACTTTGTCTATTTTGGGTGGTAGATTAGCTATTTTGCCAGTGTTACACGGACCTCTTAAATTTGAACTTTTTATATACAGGGTAGCCCATCGAAAACGTACCGCAAGGCATTACAGGGTAGTAATGAACTTTTCGGCAAAATCCAATAACAGGTAAAGTTTGCTTCTGAGGGGGGACAACTTTTGGCGCGTGGGGGTGCCATCCCCCAAATTTTTTTAAATGGGAATGGGGATCAAGTGGGGGGTCATTAGAAAGGGTTTTTAATTCTCTATACATCAATTCTTACTTTTTGAAAATCGATTCATTATTTTAGAAAATATGCAGCTTTGAAAATACGAACAATATTTTTGACGAGAAATGCGAAAATCGATTTAATTTTACTTCAAAACTTACGGTATTAGCTTGGTAAATTCCTTCAAAAGAATTCGCTGTTTTTTTTTTCTGATTTGCGAATTCTTTAGCCTGATTTTGGTGAGCAAAAAATTGTCCGCTTTTTGTTTCGTATTTAGATAGGCCACAAGAAGTTGCTAGATAACTGTCTTGTGACTTGTAGTTGAAGAGTACCAATACTGCCGAGTCTTTTAAATTGATTAATTATGGTGTACTCAATTCCAGAAAGAGTAGAAATTATTGAGCTTTTTTTCAAAAACAATGAATGCGGAAATCGGGTCGCCGAACTGTTCAACCAACGGCATCCTGAGAAACATGCGTCTGGAAAAATTGTTCGCGAATTGGTGGCCAAATTTCGCGAAACTGGCTCCGTTCATAACAAAAAGAGGCAGGTTGAAAATCCGGTACTAAATGAACCTACGGAAATAGCGGTATTGGGGCAAGTGGCAATGGATAGTACGCTGAGTACAATGCAATTGGCTACTGCGACAGGAGTGAGTCGTACAAGTGTCCAACGAATATTAAAAAAATACAAATTCCATCCTTATAAGATTCGGCTAGTGCAAGAGCTAAATGAAGACGATTTTGATCGTCGTTTGCAATTTTGCGAAATAATGACTGAACGAGCGATAAACGATAATTTCCTCTTTAATGTGTGTTTTTCGGACGAGTGTACGTTCTTCTTGAATGGTTTAGTGAATCGCCATAATTGTCGTTACTGGGCTGATACCAATCCAAGGATTTTCCATGAGACACACTCCCAACACCCCCAGAAGTTGAATGTATGGGCAGGTATTTTTGGAAATTCCATTGTAGGTCCTTTTTTCCTTCCTGGAAATTTGACAGGCGATATGTACTTGGATTTACTACAAAATGTCATCGACCCAGCTCTAACAAATATCATAGAGGACGACCCTGCTTACAATGAACACGAACTGATTTTCCAGCAAGACGGAGCTCCTCCACATTACTCGCTCAATGTGCGCAATTACCTAAATGAGACGTTTCCAGGACGCTGGATAGGACGAAGAGGTGCAATTGAGTGGCCCCCTCGGTCACCCGACTTAAATCCTTTAGATTTCTTTCTCTGGGGGCACATTAAAAGCAAAGTTTACAGCACTCCACCTGATACCTTGGAAGATCTGCGAGGACGAATCATTAATGTATGTCGCGAAGTAACACCGCAAGTGCTCCAGAATGTTCGACAACGGTTTGAAGACAACCTGTATCATTGTATGCAAGTTGGCGGACAACATTTTCAGCATTTACTTGACTAATACCGTAAGTTTTGAAGTAAAATTAAATCGATTTTCGCATTTCTCGTCAAAAATATTGTTCGTATTTTCAAAGCTGCATATTTTCTAAAATAATGAATCGATTTTCAAAAAGTAAGAATCGATGTATAGAGAATTAAAAGCCCTTTCTAATGACCCCCCACTTGACCCCCATTCCCATTTGAAAAAATTTAGGGGATAGCACCCCCACTTAGGGGGTTGAAGATTTTGGTATGCTTTTTGAACCAAAAGTTGTCCCCCTCAGAAACAAATTTGACCTGTTTTTGGATTTTGTCGAAAAGTTCTTTACTACCCTGTAATGCCTTGCGGTACGTTTTCGATGGGCTACCCTGTATAAGTCAATAACATCTTTATCTCTTGAATACCTTTATTTATTTATCGCAACTAGTTTGGTAACATTAACTTTGTCATATATTCAAACTTCAAAAAGGTGTTACAATATAAATACAACAAGATTAGTCAGTTTGTCTTAGGATACTGTGTGTAACTTTGAATAGGGGTCATATTTATACGCAGGCTACCTTTGACCTTTATAAACATGTAGTAATACTTCATTTTTTCAAATTCCGTTGTGAAAACTTATTTTTTATCCTTTTTTTTTAAGTAATTTTCATATCCCGTCACTTGACAAGCTAGTGTGATCTTAAAAAACGACGCACGTTAGTCTCAACACATGCACAATTGGGAACTGGGCTAGGCATTGTTGTCAAATATAATTTAAAGGAAAAGTTATTAAAAAGCAAATTTTCACATCACCCGCCGTGTTACTTTTGTTGAGTGGGTATTTGCCAGAAGCACTATCATCTCACATCAGCGGAAATCTATCTGCTTTTTATAAAAATGGTGCCTTATGGGAGCATGTTTTTTTCTAACTTTATATAGGTATCAAATAGGAAGGAAAAAGTAATTCTATATATTTTTTTCGACACACGACTTGGAAAATTTCGAAAACTCGCTAGTGCCCATGCGTAAATGATTACCTTCCATGTAGACAGCGGTTCTCAAAATGTACACGTAACTTTAATTGGACTCATTTACTTTGCGAATTATACCCACCGTTATAATAATACGTATACATTTAATATTCACGCAGTATATTAGATTTTTTAAGTTTTTTTTGTATTTTAGTATAGAGTATGTTTCAGTAGTCTAAGTCAAACTTACTTCAGAGATATTTGAATAAACTTCAACTGTTTGTATCGCGAAAACCAGTGGCTTTGGACCCTGGATTCGTTAATGCTTTTTGATCTAAAATAATCCAAGGAATAATCTGAAGTTGTGGCATAAACTTAGAAAACACGTATTTATAACCTCCCGTTCTGCTTTTCAGTATATTGAAGATGTTTGCGCAAAGCAAGGACGACAAGAAAAGAGTGGAATCGATTTTGCAGTCATTGGGTTTTACGACTGGGAAAAATGACACCATCAATCCTCAGGCTTTCGATTTCGAAACGTTTTTTAATTTTTACGTGCATCTGACAAAGAGGGCGGAAGTGGAAAGGGTGTTTAATGAAATGTGAGTACAGTGATACTTGTAGATTTGATTTTTATTATAATCTGTTTTTATACCAACGGAAAGTTTAAAAAATTTAAACAAGATTAACCTTTATTCAGAATTGAAATCACTGTTATATACAGGGTGTAAATAAATAAGTGCCAAAAAATGTGAAAAAATAAAAACTATATTCTGTCCCCCATTGAAGGGCGATCCGCGTGGAGGGGGCAGATAGATTTTTTTTTTATAAGAAAGATTCCTCCCAGCAGTGAATCACCTTAATTTCAATAATACAATACATTCTTGATAAGTGTTTTGAACATGGAAACAATGCAAATTTTATAAAAAAATATAATATAGAATATACTCCTGTTGATATGGAGTCTCCTAGTTTCATTCTCTCGACATAACGCTTCGGAATCATTGAATAATCATTAACAACGAAGGTTGGCAAATTCTCTAAGGGTTCAATAGAACAAGACGTATTCTTAAAGATGTTTTGTCTCCAGTTTAACAAGAATTCATTTTTTCATCTCGAACAATATATAGATTGCTCAAAATATTGCATATAGAAAAGCTCTTTAAGAATAAATAAAATCAAGTATGAACTACAAATCAATGTGAACAAACAGTTAGTAAACACTGACGAACTTTTGAATTATCTTGCCCAACCCTTGAAATTTCATTACTCATCTTCACGATTTATTTACACACCAAAGATTCATACTCTAGTTCTAGTTATTCAATTACTAGGAACCTGGAAGTAAGACTCAGCAAATGAAACATGCCCTGGATACGTTATGTTCACTGTATTTTCTGTTAAAGACAACATTTAATACTCGGATGTAAATTTTTTATTGTGTATTGCAGTTCAAGGTCACTAATCATGAATGCAATCGATCGGTCTTTTGCATACCTATATTTCTAGTATCGAAGAACATTGTTTGAGTTCATTTTTAGAAAGAATTTTTGAAATTGTTTTAAGTTACCTTTAAAATAAAGTTAAAAATGCTGGAGCTAATAATAAAATATATGTTTTTTAAAATGTATTTGACGATTCCTGCAGTTGAAACTATAACGTTAGTTTTCTTCAGCATCTTCACATTTTTGTTCCTCCACACTTTTCGCAACTCGCGCCGACTGACTGTTTGTGTACTTATAAATGAAGTTCTAGCGTGAATTCGAAGAAGGTGATGACGGCGCACCAATTCGTGGACTTCCTGAACAAGACTCAGCGCGATCCCAGGCTGAACGAGATCCTCCACCCCTACGCCGACACCACTCGGGCCAAGGACCTGATCGCCCTGTACGAACCCAACAAGTACAACGCGGGACGTGGTCAGCTCTCCTTCGAAGGCTTCCTGCGGTACCTGCTCTCGGAGGACAATAACATCATGGCCGCCACCAAGTTCGATCTCAGTCACGACATGGACCAGTCGCTAGCGCATTATTTCATCAACTCCTCGCACAACACGTACTTGACGGGCCACCAGATCACGGGAAAGTCCAGCGCCGAGATGTACAGGCAGTGCCTTCTCGCCGGATGTAGGTAGGTCTACTCATAAACAGCATAGATTAACCCGTTAAGACGCGTTAATCCCCTGATGAACAGTTGGCACCAAGCACAACAACGGAACTGTCTCCGCAATCTTATCCGGTACTTGTTGGTCGGGATAATCCATCTGATGTCTTCTTCCAGCTCCAACGTTTTCTCCTGACAAACAGTAGGCGCTAACCACGGGAACTTTTTCTTGATTCGTAGTTTTTTTCATATTATACAGACACTTGACAATGAAGACACACAAACACACATACCAACTCTGAAAGCAATAACTTTATAAGGTCAAGCACTCAACAGACTTCGGAAATTGATCGGGTGGGGGAAGCATATATTTTTTTCAGGAAGGCCTCTATACTACTACTACTGCATAATTCGATATTTCTACAATCATTAAGAACACCTTCCTCTTATTTGGGTGGGTGATAGGGTAAGCCAGTATATTTTTAGATTGTACATGTCCATTCAGAACTTTTCCAAAAAAGAAATTCTGGATGTGCAGCAGTGACAAAAAGACAAACACTTGAAAGAATTTCGCAAAGAAAGGAAGAAATAGAGTTTTATAGCACCTATTTTATTTCGGCAAATTCAACTGATTTTGCCGCTGTTGTTATTATTAATTAATAAAATTAATTTGTGGTTTTTAAATAATAAAATAATTTGACATACCTGATGTTACAACAAATCTCCAAAATTTTGTCCATCGACGTGTAAACATATTTGGGTCCGTCTTACTCAGTTTCTACTCTGTAGTTTCTACGAACTAACACAAATGCTGTTTTGTTTCACCAATACACAAATGCTTTACCATAATACAAATGTTTTCTTGCTCCACCATAAATTAAAACGATATCCATCAACTCCGGGTTGCTATACACGCAATCCATTTTTGACAGTAACTACTAAAAACTATTGTAAACACTATGACAACGACGACTGTAAAATCGGATTTCAGTATTCGGAGTCGCTGAGGCCACGTGGCTCTCCACGCGTATTACGTATGACGCTAGAAACATCAATAATTTTTTTCTCACTGTTGTCATATCATATCAGATGGATTAATAAATGTATGATGTATATGTACTTTACCAAAACTAGGTCGATGCCAGAGGTCATTGACACTCAAATTCACAAACTAAACACAGTGCTTTGAAAAAATAGTAACAAATACTTTTGTCAATCCTGAAATTATTTAAAAAATCAAATGTCAGATTAGTATTTTCATTTACTTTTTTATGTACGTCTTATAAAACAGTAATTAACAATAATCATTTAAGTTAAGTGCACTTTACAAAACGAATTATAATAACTAGACCATTTATTTGATTTAAAAAATAATTCATTCATTACACATACTATTGCTCCTAAAAAAACTGGCTTCTATTTCAAATAGGGTCGTTTCACATATTTTTTTTATTTATTTGAATTCAGCATGTTTCAAAATTAATATAGCGTTTTTTAGAATTTTGTTTTTACTAATATTAAATGAGGTATATATATATAGACAACTTTAAAATATGAACATTTTCCGCCCTTTTCTATAAGGCGTTGTGACGTCAACTATGTCGCATGCGCATTACGCTTTAAATTTAAGTTGATATAACAAGTTCAGTTGGCTATTCTGACATTGCTGAAACAGTCACAGTTTCTGTAATTTACATTTACCATTATTTACTATTTGTTGTGCTGGTGACCGGTTGCGGTTTTGTGTATTATTTTCGCTTATTATAATTTTAATTAACATAGAGTATACATTACAATATACTTATCAGTTATCACTGCCACACTCGCTATATAATAATAAATAACAGATCTACTAGGTTTGTGATATTAACCTCAAATTATAAATGATCTAAATTGTCAAAAAATCATGATATCAAATCGTTTTCTGTGTATTTTGTTTAGGTCTCAATTGCGCATGTATACGAGTTGACGTCACAGCGAGAGACAATAATTTTAAATAGGACATAAAATGTTTAAATTTTATTTTGATATTGTTCCTTTCTGATCCATTTTTTCTGAAAAGTAATTAATGAAAGTAAATATATAAGCTTTTACTCCTGAAAAATAGCAAATTCAATTTTACCCTATTACACCCTGTATAAAGAGAAATACTACCTAACAAAAATAACAGAAAATATTTACAAATGAAGACATTTATTACACCTTGCAATCACTGTTGATATCTTGCATAAATATGCGTGGCGGCGTAATAAAACTATTTTACGTTATACAAAAGAATATTCAAAAATAGCAGAAAATCATACAAGGAAACAGCAAACACAAATTTTGCAAATAAGAAAATATTGCCGCAAAATAATGAAAAATAACTTGCAATTCCCATTCCACAGCCAGCACAGCCTCCTATGTAGGATGAATACGATGAATAATCCTGCTTGGTTCCAAGCATTAGGTTCCAGTTTTACAAAACTTTTGATCTCCCCTTACAAATAGTTTTCTAGTTTTCTTGGCTATAACCAACTAGATCACTTTGTCTTTAAATAGCACAGGTGCTATGGTTTAGCAGACAATGATCTTGTGTTCCTGAATTAGATGAGAAAATAAATCGATTTAAAGTTTGTTAACAATGTTAAAGAAGAAACCTTTGTTTCACTTATTTAACTAACCATACTATGTCTATTATACAGGATGTTCATTTTCTTCTGGCCGTTCCTAATTTTATTTTTTCAAGTGCTACAGCCAGAATATTATTGCATCATCAATGTTTTCGTTGCATTTAAGACACACTTTGATAAAGACACCGCTTCGTTGTTGTATTTGATGTTTTTAAAAAATATTGCAGCATCCTGGAAAATATCAAATGTCTCCGAAACTAAATATGAGAACAAGGTGCGGTTTTCACCATTTGTTCCTGAGCACGAGAAACCTATTTTATGCCCCTTAAAAATTCAAATTTTCAAAACTAAAATGGACTGTGAAAAAATGTTTGAGCATTTGTTTAAAATTTCCATCAACTATTGTCATCCAACACTGTATTTGGAATGAAACCGTTTTATTTCTGTTTTGGAAACAATGCAAACAAAATGAAAAAAAAAAACGTATTTATGATTAGACAGATCTTTTGAGAGAATATAATAAAGGGAAACGACCATTCTTCTGGCAATATTCATGGTACGAATAGCGTAAATCTAATAAATATCATGGAAAGTCATAGGAAAATGTCTTTTGGTCTAATTTTAGCATACCCGCTTATATTTATGCCGTCTCATCCTATAAATACAAAAATCCGTGAAGGCTTCCTGATTGAATTTTTTTTATAGATGCGGAAAAAATATTTCAATCAACCGTTAATGTTTTTCCCAAATCGTTTAGTTAACCTTGTCAGTCTGATAGAGGGGCCGCCACCGTTATTTATAGCGCACCTATTGCATGTCCCAGTCCTGTCAATTACTAAATTTAAAAAAAAATACCGTCGATACAGCGCCCGTGTGCGCAACACAATGTCTTTTGCGTCACTCTCTTCTCCGTCCACGTTTTGCTAACGAATTCCGTGCTGTGATAGAAATTTCATTACGCCTTTGCGGCCGATGACGGAAACGGGAGCCCGGGGGAGGAAAAATGTTACTTTCTGTCAGGGGTGGAATTAGGGCGGAAAGCTTCAAACAAATTTTAACGATATTTAGATTCATACACACTATATTTCTAGATTTTATATTTTTCGCTATGCTACTGTTTTCTTCCTCAAAATCGAATAGAAAACAAAATTAAAGACATCCTGGTATCTTGGATCGAAATCGGGATTTGTGTATTCTCTGCACGCAAATTGTAATGTGCTGTTCATTTCGCATACTGTTCCGATATGTTCAGCCTGCGCACACACTTGAAACGTTCTATTGTTCACAGGACTTATTTCTATCTTTGCTATCGTGTAGAAAAAGAGAGACGACTGAGGTTGCATGGTTTGATTTCTTGATAATAACTAATGAGTGTTAGTGCGTATTATAAGCGTACAAGTGCGCAAAACGTCGATAGTGCCGAATCAGCAGGCACACGTAACTAGCTAATTTAATAACAATCGGGTCGGCACGCTGACCCTCCACCTTGAAATGAGAAACGCGTTAATTCACAAAAACAAGTATATTGTAACTAACTAATTAAATAGTAGTTAATTTTATTTTATACATAACTAGATTCTGATTTTAATGTATAGTAAATCTTTTTCTTTCATTTAACTGTAGGTAATTGCAATTATTAATGGATAATTCGAAAGTTTTAAGTATGTTTCTGAACAATAAAGTGCTATAGTGTCGCACTAGTTAAAAAAATACTTTTTTCCAAATTTCTTGAGGTATACTGACTCCAACCCTGCCCCAGCACCCTGAAATGGCGGCCGATATAATTAAGAGACCGACCACATGCAGTCTGATTCCATTACAGCGAAATATATAGAATTCGTTGGACCGGGTATATTCGGTGGGATTCGGGCTAATTCAATCTTCGTAATTTAATATTTTCGGCTGACTGTGAATTTATTTAAATGGCTCTGTTTTCGACCATGTTGGATAATGAGAGGTCGGCCAACATTAATACAGGGCATGCAATACCATACCGGGCGTAAAAGTTCCTAGGACCAAAGACCTGCTTTACGATCAAACGAACGGACGAACATCTGCAATGATTCATACTAATCACGCCAACGGAAAATTATTCTTATTTATTTATTCAAATAAATCAAAAGTATTAGGCACAGAGAATTTTAATTTCATTTATGCCCTGACACAATTACTTATATGCAAAACTGGGAACAGGACTTGCAGATAAACATTTTGCTATATACGGACTTCAAAATGTTATCAAGTTATAGAAACGTGTTTCAGTAAACATATTTCTATAACATGTTTTGGAATGAGGACTGATCTTAAAAAAGCTACTTCTCTAGGTGCGTTGAGCTCGATTTTTGGAATGGCCGAACAGAGGAGCCGGTAATCTACCACGGCTATACTTTTGTACCTGAAATATCAGCCAAGGAGGTGCTCGAGGCCATCGCCGAGAGTTCCTTCAAGACATCCGACTTCCCGGTGGTGCTCTCCTTCGAAAACCATTGCAATCCTCGGCAACAAGCCAGGATCGCCAGCTACTGCAGGGAAATTTTTGGAGATATGCTGCTAGATACTCCCCTGGATATATACAAGTTAGAACCAGGTGAGAAACATTAAATTTAGTATAAAAACAGGAGCTAGAGTAGGTTTATTACTTTAGGAAATCCTCTACCACCGCCATCCGCTTTGAAAAGGAAAATAATAATAAAAAACAAAAAGAAGCACCATCATCACCACCACAAAAGGAATGTAACGCCGTCACCCGAAGCTCAAGGTAGCGAACCGACTGGGAATGGCGACGTACCTCACCACGCACCTTCTTTACAAACAAGGCAGGTACGTATACTATCATAAAGCATCATCTATATATTCAGTAATCATATTTTTTTTATAAAAACATTTTGTTTTGTTAACGTAAGTTAATTGTTGTTAGGGCTCAAAAGAATCGACAGGCACTGACGAAGAAGAGGACACCTCTAGCGAAGAAGAAGTAGAACCATTGGAACCAGAAGCACCCATAGAGAGTAATCCGGAAGAAGGAGACCACAAACAAGCCCCTGCGATGGAATCGGAAGCGGGCGCTGAAATTTCTGCCCTAGTAAACTACGTTCAACCCGTTCATTTTTCCAGTTTCGAAAACGCCAAAAGTAAGTGTGTGTTGCAATAATTAACATTTTGCTTAGTTAAAAAAATTATATTACTCTATAAGTGTATTTCATAATTTTTGGGGGCCCTATATCTATAAACAACTTTTGTAAATCAGTCTTTTTTATATAATTTTCTGTTGTTTTGATTTGTTTCATTGTATCCTTTCACTTCTCAATTTTATTGTATCACACTTTTTCACTTTAGTGTTTGCAACCACTGGTAAATAAATAACACATTTCAGAAAAAAATCGCAGCTACGAAATGTCTTCATTCGATGAAAAGCAGGCCACTTCACTCCTCAAAGAATACCCCATCCAGTTCGTCAACTACAACAAACATCAATTGAGCAGGGTTTACCCTGCGGGCACCCGTTTTGACTCTTCCAACTTCATGCCACAGGTATTCTGGAACGCAGGTTGCCAACTCGTGGCATTAAATTACCAGACCCTAGATCTGGCCATGCAACTGAACTTGGGCATCTTCGAGTACAATTTCCGTTCCGGCTACCTGTTGAAGCCCGAATTCATGCGGCGGACCGACAGGAGGTTCTACCCGTTCGCCGAATCCACTGTGGACGGGATCATAGCGGGAACCGTTAAAATTACTGTGATATCTGGACAATTTTTGACTGACAAGAGAGTAGGGACTTACGTTGAAGTTGAGATGTACGGGTTGCCGGCTGATACCGTGCGGAAGCGCTTCAAGACGAAGGTGGTGCCCAACAATGGCATTAACCCTGTCTATGACGAGGAACCCTTTGTGTTTAAAAAGGTAAGATTTAATGATACTCTTCTTTAAGAATATACTTTGACTTTGTGTATATTATGGTTATGGTTAGACAAACTTAGGAATGGTGACATTCCCAAAAAATCTCAGTCCTTTCTGTTCCTAAGTTTGATTGGTTGTCAAAGATGTTTGGATGTACAATACTTAACAATTTTCTGAAAAACTAGAACAAAAATAACATTCAACACTTTACTTTTGTAATTATCGGCCTTCGTTTTCTAGGTAGTTCTGCCAGAATTAGCGTCTATTAGAATAGTAGCCTACGAGGAATCAGGAAAATTCATTGGCCATCGAATCCTTCCTGTAGTGGGATTATGCCCGGGGTACCGGCATGTTAATTTGCGCACAGAAATAGGCCAACCACTGCCTTTAGCGACGCTATTCCTAAAGGTAGTGGTTATGGACTACGTGCCCGATGGTTTATCGGACTTTGCCGAGGCCTTAGCCAATCCTATAAAGTACCAGAGCGATCTAGAGAAGCGCGCGCAGCAACTGGCAGTTCTTACCGATGACATGGAACCTGCCGAGGGTGTCGAGGAACAGAACAAGAACAGTTTGTCAAGGGTGCATAAGGAAGCGATAACCAACGGTAGCCCCGCTCAAAGACCGACGATAGCGACTGGTGCCTCGTCGGTGGACATTACTACCGATAATGAAGTAACTGTTATACCTACAACGGTGACTTCCACAATTGCGGTCGAAACAAATTCATTAAATAAAGTCAATGAGGTTAAGGAGGAGAAGATAGAAGAAATCATAGCGGAACCCTTAGAGAGGATTCTAGAAAACAAATTAGTTAAGGAAAAGAAGTTGGAACTAGATAAGAAGTTGGAGACACTGAGGAAGAAGCATGAGAAGAAAAAGATGGCCTTAAACTCGCAGAAGTCTGGCGATTTTTCAGAGAAAAGGTCCAAATTGATCAACATGAAGCTTGTGAAGAGGCTATCCAGCAAGAATATGTAAGTAGATACAGAATTAATCAATACTTAGGTTTAGTATAAATAGAGTTCTCGATAGTCATCCGGTTGTCTGTAAAAATGTACAATTTTTTGTATTTTTTCAGGATTATTCAGTTTATAACAGCCTTATTTGAATATGATATAGTAAGGTAATTAGTTAAACTTACTAATGAAAATAGATGGCGGCTCTTCAATAAAATATCTGAAAATAAGGATGTCAGGAATTTCATGAGGGAATCGCCATCTAGTACTTTAAGTCCTAAAGTTAACTGTTTGTTTAAATATATCATATTATAAACATTGGTGATAGATAATAAAAGCTTTCAAGATAATCAGCAACATAAGATCTTGAATCCGAAAGCCTCATATACAGGATTTAACTTTGAATAGGGGTCATATTTATGTAGAGGCTATCTGTGACATTTAGAAACATATAAGTTTGTTTTTTCAAATTCTGTTGTGAAAACTGATTTTTTTTTAACTTTTTGTAATTTTTATAACCCACCACTAGACTAACTTAAAAAAAATAAGCGGTGATATATTTGGCTATTCTGGTTTCGTTGAATTAACATTACTCTTTTGTTTTTTACCTGTCTACCCTATTGGCGTATCATGTCAGGTGTAGTTTTAATTTACTTTTTATTATAAACATTTAAAACAAAAATGAATTATTTTTAAACAAATTAGTTTTACTTGCATCAGTAATCATGCAAACATTTTTTAAAATCACTAGGAATCTTTCTTATGTCCAGCACTTGATAAATGTTCTGCTATAGTTGTTACGATGTCAATTGGAACCTGTAAATCTTAAAGCACAGGACTGTGTGCACTTTTCCTGAAATTTCTTTCTATGCTTTGACCATGATGTGTCTCGTAAATTATACTCGAATAGCAATTCGGCGAATCAGGTATTGGTAAACTAGTTCGCCTGATGTAGAATTGACGGCGGCACGCTGGTCATCAAAGCAAACCTGTATTGGTCCACTAGGTCGTAAATAATTTTTTGTATGGTACACGGATTCACTTAGCTTTGCCGCTTTGCCAGTGCAGTGCAGAGCATTGCTTGGCGGGGTATGTTGTTGGTATAATATGTATTATTATTTATTAGTTGATATTATTATTTCTTCATATCGTAACCAGTAAAGGGTAATAGTTATGTTATATGTAATTATCTAGTAATTTAGCATGGCTCTCTGGAGACTTTTTGAAGCGAAGTATAACGAAATAATTCGGGAAAATCCCCAAATAGTGGAACCTGTTTGTGTCGAAAGTATCGAAACAAACGCAGAGTTTAAAAACTAAGATTTACACGTAAAAAGTCAACCTATTAATATTAAATATATATATATATGAATGTTTGAAAATAGTGAATAATGTGACAAAAAAGTTAGGAAACGGATTAATCAATCAATTTACTAAGATATCAAAAACATCAATTTATCCCCTAATTAAAGAACCAGATGTAATGCGGCGCACAATTTATAATATGTATAAAGAAAATAAAGTTCCTACTTTAAATGTGATTCGAAATAAATTAAGTGATTATACTGATTATAATTATAAATCTTTAGATAGTTTACGACATGCTTTATTACATTGTGATTTTAAACATTAAAAACTTAACAATCGTATTTTAATTATATGATAATATAGCACGGAATATAGTATATCTAGACGAGACAGGGCAAAATTTTTCTGAACGTCTGTGGATTCCGTAGAATTTATGAGTTAAATGTTTTTATGCGGTTCCAATTGAGATCGTAACAACTATACCACTGAATTGGGTGCTAGACAAGAGTTTAATGCAGTTTAAAAAAACAAATTGTTATTCGAGTATTTAATTAAAAAATATAAATAAATTCAGATTACTAGTCTGGGTTCTGGACAACACATACTATTATCCCTAAAAAATCTGACCACTTCTTAAGGTTACACCCTGTATATCTAAAATAATTTATTTTGAAAATTTTTACATTTTTACACACAATCATAGATAGATAGGTAGCATCTTTTTTCTGCTTCATATTGCACAAGCATTTAATAAAAAGTATAACCAGAGTAAATATTTTTAGAAAAGAAATTAGATTCAATAGTACGATAACCTACTAACATCTATTTAGATCTTTTCCAACTAACAAAAAACTTATTTTGTATCATATCTTCTAGCTACTAGTTACTTGTCTTCATATTTTACCTAAAAATTTACATAACTTTTTAATTTAACGTGCATTACAATTTTTTTTTATGCAATGGGAATATTTAATTGTTAATTTTTGTGGAAATATTTTTATTTTAATAATTTATATTGAAATTACTTATTTATTGCAAAAGTGTAAATAAAATTTTCAACAAAATTACATTTGTGCATAATGCATAAGTTTAATAGTCGATGTAATATCAGAAATAAATATTTTTTCAAATGACGTACTTATGTAGTTATTTGAAATGAAAGAATTAAGCAATATTTAAAAACAATTAAAATACGTGTTATTTAAGAAAGTGTAAATCTATTTTTCAAATCACTACATGTAAAGAATTTTCCAAGATTTTTCGTTACATCGCATACTAAACATTTATCCAACACATCCAACATATCGTTTAACAAAACTTACTTATCAAATTCCGTTTCGGTTGATCTGCTAAAAAATCTTTCAATCGCCCAAATTCTCCAACAAATACTAAAACTTTCCCTATCACGATTCGAAACTTTCGAAGGCCGGACAACGAGCTCGCTTTTTCCAAACCGCAAACCCGTGTTTGGAGGCTATGCCCGAAATGGTGAGTTTTACTTGTAGTTCTCGATCCAACACCGACAAATATTGCACGTTGTCAAATGCACTAATCTCTAACTCCTCACTTCTGAGACCGTTTGATCTACTCTATTGTTTAGCATGTTTCTCTCAGATCCTCGAACATGTCACGTTGAATGTTTGACAGATTCGTTTATTGCTGTTGCGTCTCGTCGGACGTCTCTTAGAACGAGATTAACGTCGATTTAATCTTTTCTTTGCAGTGTGAGCGGGGTGTTTTCTACCGAATCTGCCAGCGCGGAACCTTTGACGAGCGTCGCGGATGGACCCGAGACCAGCGGAAGCGATGGAGAGAAGCCTTCGATCCCCAGGAGTCACTCAGAGAGGCTCTTGGCTATTAACAAGGAGTTCGTGGTGCAAGAGAAAGAGTTAAGGGAGAAATATCACGATGTTATTTATAACATTGCGGAAAAAGTGATGCGGTTGTCACAGGGCAACCAAATAAAGGCTTTAAAGGTAAATATCTCTACTGATAAAGTGAGGGATCGGTGTGACATAATTATTATAGGAACAATTCGAGAAAGAGACGTCAGAACTGATGAGGAAACTCCAAGCGGACCATAGAGAAGAAGTGAAGGCTCTGGCGAAGAAACATCGGAACAGGGAGCAATTCACGAGAGTAAAGAGAGAGGCGGTGACCGCGGTGGTTGGAAGAGGTGTTTCAGAGAGGGAGAAGTTGGGACAGTTATTTGAAAATCGTAGGGAGGATCTACAGCGACAACATGAAGTTGTTAGGGATTTGTTAATTGAGCAAAGGGAAAAGGTAAGTGTTATTGTTTCTGGATAATTGCAACACCTGTTTTACAGAGCCTTCATAAATGATTACAAGCCACGTGACCAGTAATTTTGTTTGGAACAGTAATTTTATTTCCTTTATGTTGGCAATTAAATTTTGGTAAAATTATTACAACAAGATCAAGATCACATTAAAATGCAACATTCTGTGTCATCGTTTGTGATTGGTGTAATTTTTTATGAGAATCTGGGAGAATATATGAAAAGTGTATACACAAAAACAAAAAGAATTTAACGAGGCAATAAATAAGTAGAATAAGCGTTCAACAAAAATATGTGGTTCAGTGGTAAAAGTTTGACTAATATTTAAAGTGTTTTTCTTTTACTACTTCTTTTTTTATTACGTAAAAATTATGTTTTTTATGTCTTATAAAACGATGTTGAACATTTAATTTTCTATTTTAAAGTAGACTATATTGATTTAACTTGAAAATGACAGGAGATTGTGGTACCTTATCAACATCTAGAGATTTTGGTTCTTACCGTAAATGTTGATAAAGTATCACAATCAACTTTCGTTTTGTTGTAATGGCTCTTATCAACTTCTTAGTTAGATATATAGAGCCCTTTTCTTTTATTCATAATTTCGGAATCATAACACGTTACGATCCGATGGAAACCAATCAAGTTGCTAGATTTCGGATCGTAACGCGTTATGATTCCGAAATCATGAGTAAAAGAAAAGTGCTAGGCTGTTCAAAAAGTTTGGAAGGGGAGACTCTATTATCAGAAAATACTGCTCAAAAAAAATGATTAAAACAAAATTTGCAGGGTTTTGAGTGAGCAATCCAACGGTGACCTTGACCATGACCTTGAAGGTCATTTAGAGGTCAAGTTGAAAATTTTAAATGGAACCGTATACCTCGAGGTCATGGTCAAGGTCACATCCGAACGTAAAATAAATTTTTCGCTGTTTTCATTTCCGGGATCAAAAGTATACGGTTCCGTTTAAAATTTTCAACTTGACCTCTAAATGATCTTGAAGGTCATGGTCAAGGTCATATCTGAACGTAAAAATTTCCATTTTTTTCCATTTCCGGGGTCAAAAGGATACGGTTCCATTTAAAATTTTCAACTTGACCTCTAAATGACCTTCAAGGTTATGGTCAAGGTCACCGTTGGATTGTTCACTCAAAACTCCGCAACTTTTGTCCTAATCGTTTTTTTGTTTGAGCAGTATTTTCTGAAATAGTGGGGGTTCCAAACTTTTTGAACACCCGGTACGTGAAATTTTGGGAAAACCACATTTCGTTAATAAATTAGATGAATGTTAGAACAAATTTAACATATTTTCATTTCTTGAATTCTAGGCAAAAGCGGCGCTTTGCAAAGAGTTCGAGACGCGTCTGGCGAGGGTGGAAGGCGAGTCAAGCGAGGTTCTATGAATGGAACCCAACCAAAACAAACATCGTACAACACTCTAGTATGTCCTTTCAGCAGAAAACGGGTCTCCGAGAACAAACCGGAGAACCAATCGATGTATCCGAGACCCACTAGGTAAATCTGAGCAAACGCAATACTTCAAATTGATGTAATACGTGTTAAAAAAAAGGAAAGAATACAGTCTTTGATACCCTTCGACAATCAAATTTAAGGTGGCCCATTAATTTGGTATTAGTCCCCTAAGTCTTGTTACTAGCATAGTCTGTATTGATGTTTGTCGTTCATTGTGATAGTAGAGATTAGTGATTAGACCAAGTGATAAGTTACTTGAGGAGGAGTTAGTCCGAAACACTTGTGCCAGTCGATTTCCACTGATTACCCTGATTGGTCCAGCACCTCGGGGGTGAGATGTTCGATTTTATTTTCTAAGTCCTAGTGATTGCGAAATCAGACCTTGTAACTCTGTACCCATAACCAATTACCATTTTTTAATGCGGTTAATTCAATTCCGCCATACACACTGCAAAACTTGGAAGTAAAGCCAGTAACTATGTACTTAATTTAATTTTTTCAACGAGTCATTATTTTCTTAGTTTTTAGTTCATAAATATTCAAGAAATTTTATTAACAAACTTTTAGTTACTTACATTCCAGAAAATTAATTTTTGACAGCTGTCAAACAGATGCGGCATCTAGTATCTATATTAATAAATTTTATATATACTCCGTTGTTTCAGTGAGGACGCACACCACAGACAGTCGGCGATCGATTATTTTTTACTGCTTTTTAAATGACCAGGAACGTACAACCGTTATTTTATTTGATGACGGCAAATGCACATGTTAGTTCAATGTATACATTTCTTTAAATATTTTTGTTTTGGAATTCTCTGCAAGAGATATACAAAATATGGTGCATTTTTCGTACGTCTTACTAACAGCCGACTTACGTAGGAATATGTGATTCGACAGTTGGATTGGTCAAAAAATGGAACATGTTGCATTTGTTTTGTTAGAACTACATTGTTGGCCATCTGTGCATGTTTCAAAGTGTCGTGTCCATTCTTGCCATCAAAATAGTCGGCAGTCGACTGTTTGTCAATGTGTGTGACCGATAATTTCAATGTTTTTCACAGATTAGGTATACTTCGATATACTACGCATCTTCATACCGAGTTAACAGTAATCAAATATTATATACAGAGTGTTCCTAAATAAGTGTTGCAACGGAAAACTGTAAATTCATCTTGAAAAGAGAAACAATTTTTTGCTCTTCCATTTTTCTCTCCGGGCTTTCGTTTTCGAGATAAACGGTGTCAAAACTTTTTTTCAGATTTTTGCCAATATCTTAGGAACTGTTTTAACTACAGGACTGGGCTTTTGTATACACATTACCACTATTAATAGCTACTTGTTGCAAATGTTGTTAAATTTTGTTAAAATTGTTAATTATTATTATCTATCTTTTGAATTACAAAAGATTTTCGAAACGTTAGCAAAATGTTTGTTTTTGTTTATAAAAAGTCATTTTTCTTGAAAACGATTGACTTTAGAGCAATGAACCAAGAGAACTCTTTTTGTGTAAAATTCATTGGCCTTCAGAATTTGCTGTCAAATGTCAATTTTTCCAGTGGCGTAGAAGCATGTTCAATTAATTTGAGAAGGGTGTGAAAAAGTAGCTATTAATAGTGGTAATGCGTGTACAAAAACTCAGTCCTGTAGTTCAAACGGTTCGTAAGATATTGGCAAAAAATTTAAAAAAAAAGGAAAGTTGACACCGTGTATCTCGAAAACGAAAGCCTGGAGAGAAAAATTGAAGAGGAAAAGAATATTTCTTTTTTCAAGAGGAATTTACAGTGTTCCGTTGTGACACTTATTTAGGAACACCCTGTATATTAACAGGTCTACAATATCCATATTTTTTTGTTTTTGTAGAATGAATTTACAAAACGATTTGATTATGTGTACTGAGTTATGGGTGATCATTAAAGATTTTGTTAATATGTGATTTAGTTAGTAGAAAAATGTCTATGACAAATATTTTTTTTATTATAATAATTTGCGTCATACAGTCGTACAAAATTGATTCATTTGCAGTAAATCTTTTTAATTTCCATTTTAAACAATAATTTGAATTTTTTATGAAAATATCCTCTATTCTTTTTCATTATTTCTTCATTTTGTTGAGGTTTTATATTTATTTTGTCAATATTTTTCCATTCATTTTTTCCGGTCGATTCTACATTAAACTCGTTAAACTCCAGTATGGAAATTTTTACATGAATATACTACAAATGAATCAGTCGATTATATTTTGTCCCACATTTTAAATTCCCTGCCTAAATAAAAACTATTAAGGATGAGAGTTTGAGGTTATGTATCCACTTCGTAAAATATTTTTACTGTCTTACAATTTTATACTTTAAGAGTGAATAATACCTCAAATATATCGACCATTAATTTTTCCAATAAAGTGGCAGGATTTACAATTTTTCGTGGTACTAAATCCTTTGTACTCCCTGATTGATCACAATAACTTAGTTCTTAAATTGATTTTGCATTACATAAGTTTCCGTTAATCTCATAACAAGTACCTACCTAATGATATTAATAATTGTGACGTATTAAAGACTACGTAGTTTGTAAACATTGTTTTGTAAATATATTTTGTATTTAGTGTTTTTTATGCTTGGACGAATCTGTTGGAAATGCGAGTTTTGCTGTACAGTTTAGAGATTTTATTATTAATTTGTATATAGTGTTTATAAATTATTTAAATGTATGTGTAATATAATGAACCTAGAGTATGTTACCAATTAAAACAAAAATAGTGAAATACTTACTTGTTGCCAAACTTACTTAATACATTTGCGTTTTTTTTTTATTAATTATGGTTCTGGTTATTTAGCAACATGGCAATCACGATCTTGAACATTTTTGTTCTGTTCTAACAAATTTTGGAATTCCAAGTACAAATAAATTTTCTAGCGATTGGCTGCAAAGTAGCAAAGAACTTATCATAATCATTAAGCATTCATCGGAAATGCCTAAAGATAAGAATATTCATTAAGTTCCAATTTAATAATACTACAATATTCTGAACTATTTTGCAATATACACATAGAAAAGGAAAAAATATTTTCACTTGGTGAATATATTAAGAATATGCAATATACCTTAAGAATATGCACCACTAAAATATTCTATGAAGTATTGAGGTGTCTCAAGCATATTATAAATGTATACATACAATGTGATATGTGAGAATATTCTGAAAATAAACTTTAGAATGGACAAAAAATATCGAAATATTCATTAGAAATACCTAAAAATCTGTTGGAAATATTCATTTAACTTTTAACGTACAAGAGATATTGCAATACCTCAAACATATTTTGTAGACATATTTGAACCAGGAAAAGAATATTTACTTGATGAAAATATGCAACAGACATATCTTAAGAATTTTCACTATATCTTAAGAACAAATGTCTCAGATATTCATTAAAATTAGAGATGGGCACTTTTTGGAAAAGTGTGTTACGGACATGTCGTTGAAATGTCCAGACATGTCAGGAAAAGTACTTTTGACCTTGAATCTAATAAGACGAGTGACGTCATGTTTTCACAGGTCACTGCTTGAGGGTACACAAAGCGAAATATTACTTTTATTCTAATGAATATGTGTCAATATATTTTACTTAGTACCTACCTTTAGACTTTTTTATAAACTGGTTTCTAATTTTCCCCGGACAGCCAATACACCTATTTAAATGTTTTTCCATCCTACTGGAATTCTTAAAAATTGTTTTTGAGGAGAAGTTACATTTATAATGATTTTTACTCAATTCAGAAAATTCAAACTGTTTTGGCGTCGTACTTCATTTATAAACTATTTGTTTATTAAATATTAAATTAAGAATCAACTGATTACTATTTACTAATTGTTAACTTTGCCAAAAATAATAAAATATGGACATATAAAAGAGGTTATATTTTTAAAATGTCAGTTTCAGTTAATTCAGTTAAACAATTACCAACAAAATTACAAGAAAATGGCTAAATATCTTTAATTTTACATGTACCAACCTTAAAATTTTTTTGCGGGAATTATGAATGCAACAAATAATTCCGCACATGCACATACTTTTCAATCTTGAAAAGTGTCCTCAGGACATGTCCACTCTTCACAACATGTCCGATGGATATGTCCAGCTGACATGTCCGCGGCACATCTCTAATTAAAATATTGTAATATATGATGTTGCCAGAAATTCTTCTAGTATTAGTAACGAATTAAGAATATAATCACTTTATCTTAAAAGTATTCATCAAATAGGTAAATATTTTAAGAATGTAGATATATCTTAATGATTGATTAATGATATTTTAAAAATCACCAGATTGTCCTGAATAATCTAGAAATTTACAACAGAATTGAGAATCATTCTATTGCAAGAATATTCATGAAATAGGCTCATATTTAAAGAACATGTGTACACTGTACAGATATATTCTGGATTAAATTTTAATATTTATCATATTTTAAAAAGAATCACCAGATTGTGCTGAATAAATCTAGGAATTCACATCGTTTATAAGGATCAAATAGGTCAGGGGTCGGCAAACCGCGGCTCGCGAGCTGCATGCGGCTCTTTCAAGAGACAATTGCGGCTCTTCAAGTTCCTCTAAAAATTAAAAGTTAAAGCGGACAGACAAGCAGCACACGAGTACACATAAAGACGTGTATAAACTTCCGTGTCCGATTTAAATTTGAAATAAAATGTAAAAGCAGAAATAAAAAGTCGTGGCTATTTGAAATTCATGAAATTGATATTTTTATTGCAGATGGCTCTTCCGGCTTAAAAGTTTGCCGACCCCTGAAATAGGTGGTTATTTTAAGAATATGTGTATAGATGTTTTCGGATATATCATAAGAATATCATATTTTAAGAATATTTACCACACGTCAAGAATATTCACCAGAGTGTGCTGAATATATTTGTACCTGGAATTTTTAACTCGTTATATTGAAATGGAGAGTTAACTGTTGACAACCTGGTAAAATCAGTGTATTAATTTAATAGCTATAAATTATTATAATTATTATGACACAAGTAAGACCCTTGTAGGACCTTTTCCAAGTAAAAAAAGTAAACTCGATAATTTTGACAGTGATTCTCTGTTTCAACATGAGGACACCAGCTTCATATTTTCTTTCCACTGGAGTATATCACTTTGATGTTGCTGTAATAGTGTTTGTTGCTAATAATTGTTAATATAACTGGTTGTTAAATAGTATAGAATTGGTTAGTTAAGACTGCATACACAACTATGCAAATAGTCGAAAATGCAATAGAGACGAATTCTGTTTCGTTTGAGGTAGTCCACTTCGGTGACCGTCTTGTTTTGTTAAACTAACTCGCTCTGCCAAGGGTAGGTCGGTGAGAAGATGTCGAGTAATTCGTGATGCCTACGCTTAAGTGGACTTACCTACTTTGTACCTACTCAGTTAAAAGTTACTCAAGAAACACGGCCTACTCTAAAATAATTCCCTTGTGGTCGGTTAGAATAAAACAATTTGCTGTCAGTAGACTACGAGTATACTTACCTTGGATGATATATTCGTTGAGGTAAGTTGATACTGTTGACTGTCAAGCCAACTTTGATCAAATTCACTAGGCCATGGTTCCCTTTATTAGATTAATTCATTAATTACAGTTTAATTTTTGTACTTGTTTTAATTATACCTTGTTATGTATTTTTTTAGGGTCTGCACAGATATTTAACAACTTTCAGGTGCATCGTAAATGGTGAGCTTTAGATGGATTTACTGTTCAAATTATATTGTTAGTAATGCTATTCCTGACAAAGCTCATCATCAAAGATCTCCCCTTAACTTTTCAATCTAGTCAAAATCCGATTAATTACTATTTTTATGTGTGAAAATAATGGGTAATCTCGCAGTTGTTAATAGTTGTGCAGGAAACTGTTTTTGTATAATTTTAAATATGTTGTTTGTTTTGTTATTTTTTTGTTATATTTACTAAGTAACCTTATTAAGTAACAATTCAAGTAACTAGTGTGTAGTCACATTTATTCTGTTTCTGTAATTCTTTATTACATTCCAATTTTCTATTTTTTATTGAATTTACACACACGTAAGCAAAGGGAGATGCCGTTCAGTGAAAACACATGCTTTCTATGTTTGATTGGTTTGGTATATTTATAATCTGATTTAAAATTTTTTTTTATTAGGTACACATTTTTTATGTTTTGTAGTTTAAAAAATCATGAACTTGGTTATCATGTGAAAACACAACAACTAAAATATCAAAAAACAAAAGAGTAAAACTGCTTTCTGATTTGTGAAATACTAAACACTACAAACTCCTCTTCAGTGATTCAAAATTAAAAAAAATAAATGTGTTTAAATAATTTGTAGTTATGTCGGATAAATACACAACCATAACAGAGAACGACAAAATAAAAAGGTCAAATTCTATTATAGCATAAATCTATTTCCGATGGTGCTGAACACGAATCTGAAGCTATTTTTTTATATATGTATTAAATAAAAACTTACCTGAAGTGACCTAACTTTATGTATATATAGAAATGTATGTCTAGATAAAGTTAGGTTATATCATGTTAAGTTTTTATTTATTTAATATATAATACAAACAGTGGAGGCCAGAAAAATTTAGGTACAAAGTGTAGAAAAAAAAAACAAATATAATTGGGTAGTTTTATTTTAAGTGTTATTGAAATATAGAAAAAAATGTGTTCAACATTATTTTTTATAGTGAAAGTCCATTATTTTTAATTACTTCTTCATGAAAGTGTTGCAAGTGCTGTTATTTTGTCTAATTTGAACTATTACAATCTTTTAAAAAATGTAAGAAACTATACGTATATATATACGTAAACCATACGTAAACAAATTATGTTTCATGAGATAAAAAAGCGGTGAGTAGCTATTATTTGGTTTTGGGCGGACTAAACAGACCTCAAATTGCATAGTAAATACTCCCACTACGTCTCACTGCTGAGTGGTGGTAACCATGACCACCACTGTAAACACTTTCCAGGTTTATAGGCGAGTTACGGGAAGCCAATGTATTCAAATGAATTTTGCAAGTCGAGCTAAATTTTAAATTATATTTTATTACTATGAAAATTTCTAGAGGGGGCGGTGCCCCAGAGCACCAGCCGGTTCTGAATATAAAACTAAATTTCTAACAATGTATTCTGCGAAGAGTACATATTAGAATTGTGAAAATTTTTCTTAAAAACTAGGTTCGGCCACAGAAAAATAACTTCATATTCATGTTTAGCACTTTGCATTTCAGTTTCTGCGATTCAAAGAGGGCCAAACAAGGACGAATAATGAAAATAGACATCGCTTAAAGTGAGTTTATACAATTGAGAAATTTGAATATTATTCCGATTTAAGTAAAATTGTTCATTGCTCATTTAAATGACTTAATCACAAGAATAATCTCAAAGTTGTGGCTATATATACTCCACTTTACAACTGTTTGAACGCTGACTAAAAACTTCATTTGATAGAATTAAGACACCAGCAGTAATTGGTATAAAAAAAATAATCAGTAGCTTTTAAAATGCCATACAGAAACATGACAAATAAATTTTTTTAATTATTATCCAAATTTTTTAAGGGGGGCATTCTATCGTGAGAGGGTTACTTGTTTCAGTCGCTGAGGGAATTTCACCCTTTGTGTGCTTGTGTGGACTTACTTTTTTTGTAATTTTTTAATACACGAGACTCAATTTTTGTATTTTTCCAACTTGTGCCTTTTAACCAATAATTATTTTACTTGTACACTATTCTAATTCGTCAGATCATGTATTACATGTGTTTACTATAATGTTTATGTCTAATAGATTTATGTGCTATCATCTTTGTGTTTAATTTCCTTAGAACAATTCCTGCAATCAAGGGGATGGGAAGAAAATACATTTAGTTTGAAAAATTTATTTCCTTGTAATTTTTTTGAATACACATCTTAAAACGGAACAAAATGAGTAAAAGTGACCTTACGAATTCTGTAAAAAGTAAATATCAGAGGCTTTGTTAAACTTAACAAGAAAACAAATTAAAAAAATTGCTGCATATAAATAAAAATTAACCACAATGACTAAATAAAAGATTAAAATCTGACAAGACTGCCTACAATGTATAAATAATAATTTGAAGCAGCTGTTTAATTTTTAGTTTGGAACTTCTGTTTTTTCATGCAACTTTTCCTTAATACAGGGTATTTACATGAAGGACCACAAATTCTTGGATAATCTTGAGGCCAAATATACCTTCGTCAAAAGTTCCTTCTCTTGCGAGTACGATGTTTAAGTTGAAATTAAAAAAATATTGCAGTGGTGCGGGAGATGTATCTGAAGCCACACCTACTACAACACTCCACAGAACTAGAGGCGCACACACGGTTGTACTGACATCACTGCAACGCAAGAGAGACCTCCCACCCATCTCCCTAATGTACTGCACAGGCATAGATATACAAGCAGTGATGTTGAAGACCGATACCCAAATCGTAACAGGTAAAATTTCATCATGACCAAAAATATGAAATGAATTCAAATATATCAAAATACAATATGACGTCCATATAAAACAATGGCTATTTATTCTCTACAAAGCACCTAAAAAGATTCACATCTTTCTGTTTTCGGTTCAACAATGACGATGAAGTACAATAGTGCTAGTAAAAAGATGGAAAAATACCACAAATTATGAAATATTTTCAAATATTTCTGTCTAGGTTAAGGCCAGTGGCGTAACTTTTTATTTCAAAACAAAAATTTGAAGATAATTGGTTTTGTGGTTATGCTCAAAAATAGTTTCTTTAATTTCAACTTAAACACTTTAAATCCACGTAATTCGACATGATACGTTTAAATAGCTACCTCAAATCCAACCTATTACATAAAAATAATACTTAATTCGATTTATGGCAATGAATCATATCACAAATTTCACCGTTCCTCATTCATATTGCCACATCTCAGTAAATGCTCTATGACAAGCTTTGTATCGTCCGAATCGAAGTAACACTTTGCACAGTGCATCACTTTACCGACCTTAAATAGAAACACTTCATTGTCAGATACCGGCGGACACGAACTGATGTGGTTGTGCAAACACTGTGCCGTCCTGAACATATTCGTACAGTTTACACAATAGAATGCAGCTTTATAACCCTTGGTGTAATTTACTGTATTTTTGCTACTGGTTGAATGCGACGAACAATGCAGCGCCATCTTAAGGTTGGATCTCGAGTTAAAACAGCAGTAATTACACGTCAGGATCTCCAGTTGGGAGAAAAGTTTCTTCTTGTTCCTCTTGATTGCCAGCTCGATCTCTTTCTCTTTTTCTTTGCTGTTGATCACCTCGCTTTTCATTGTCGAATAGTCTATTTTTGTCCCTTCTAGGGGACTGTAAGTGTCAGGTGCGCTCTTTGGTATAGCAAGAATTCCTTCTTTTTCTGTAAGGGGGAACTCGTTTAAGACAATTTCTGTCTCCACTGTTAAGGAATCATCAATGGTAACTGTTTTACTGCCAATTTCGTCCATGATCCTTGGTATATCAGTTAACTGGCCTGTTTTTTCTGCAGTCTTTGTCGTGTTATTTGTAATGATGTTTACTATTGTTACATTATATTTAGTGATATTTTTCTTCTTTGGTTTTGTGTTTCTCCTTGGTTTTCTTTTGCTTTTTCCTTTAGCTGATACCAAGTTATTAGCCAATAAACTTCCCTTTAATAATGGATTCCTTGGACAAGACGGTATATGCTTTCTAACAGCAATTTCACTTACTGCCCTGTAATAGCAGTATTTGCAGAATATCATTCTAAAATATCAAAAAAATTAATCTCTTATGGAACTTTATATAATTTTAAAATTTATTTACTTCCATATTTTTTATGCATTGCATGTTTTTTTTCACTGTATCCCGGCATTTTTGTTTAAAAATATGGTTAAGATTTACAAGGATTTATGAAAACTGTACATACCGACCAGACCATTAAAATAGTCTTGGGTGAAAATTTGTGGATACACAATGATTTTAAGTGTAATAATTTATTTCTCTTTAGGGGCACTGTTCCCACAAAATAGTATTTTCCTCAAATACTCAAGATTTAAACATTTAAGAACTGAACAATTTAGAAGACGGAGAATCAGAAGTGGAAAAGTTATTGGGCATATTAAAAAAAACTTACAAAAATCAATAATTCCTTTTTTATACCAGAACAAATAACAAAGTGTTTGGTGATTTATCCAGCAATTCAAATCTCAATTTTTAATTCTAAACAACTCTCCCTAATAATAATTTTCATTTGAGATAATTGTAATTTGAGATTTTTTTAATTTCCTAAACAAACTTAAAATTCTTTATGGCAACTTTCTTTTAAAAACACGGAATATTTTTTGTCAACAATTCCTTTTTCCATAAAATGAAAAAGAAAAATGTTTCCTCTCTTTCTCAAACTGTACATACATACATACAGTATAATTAAAATGTTTACTTTGACAATATCCAATGTACAAAACAAATGTGGACAAATGTTACTTACTGTTTAGGGTCTACATTAACTTTTGTTTTTCGTGATCTTTTCCTTTTATAGGGAGACAGCCATTCGTCTTCTGATATATTTGTTGAAGCATCAGTGTCTACTTCCTTTGATGCACATCTTTTCTTACCTCGTTTAATATCAATTGTAGTTTCCGTGCTATTAGTATCTTCTTCAGTGTCAGAGATAATATAAATTTCATCGTGTCCATTGCTACTGGACGCTAAATGCATATTTTGTACTTCAGGTACCAAAACACAGTCTTCAATAGTTGTACCGGAATTTTCCTTTATATTAGTTTCACTACATGCAGGGTTTGGTTCCATATTAGGTGGAATATCTTTATTCAGTTCATATTGGACTGTATTACCCAAATTCAGATTACCATTTTGTTTAAAATATAACTGATTTATTTTTTCATCATTTTGGATACATAATGTTACAAAATTATACATTTGCTTCAATAACTCTTCGCAAAGTTGGCAGATAACTGGGTTTAGTGTCAATTCAACATCCTAAAAATTATTCAGTGTGTTAGAAGTTTGACTGCCACTCCTTCAGCATACGATAGATTAAACAGAACTGAACAAAAAAGTGCATATTATATGGATCTAAGATTAATTACTTTTAAAACACATTAATTACTTTTACTTTTAAAACACATTGAGTTTTAGGGAATTTTACCATAACTTATCAATAGTGCAAGTCGAACCATTTTACCTTATTCTAGGAGAGCTGACTATTTCGTGCCATACTTTTTTTATAGTGAATGACACAAAAAAGAAAAATGTAAACTATTGTAAAAATTAATGTTAAAAAAAATAAACAATTAATTGTTCTGCAGTTTTTTTTATGAATAGATGGGAATATTAAAAATAATTAATTTGTTCTTTCCATGAGGAAGTTCTTGTAACAGTTTAAATTTTAATAACTTTGAAACACACAACAAGAACACAACTTTAATCAAATATAAAATTTTTGTTTATTTTGCCTATTAAATTATGACCCTTAAATTTCTAACACACTATAGATATATATCTTCAAGAAAATAAATATTTAATTTTAGTGTGATAAGAAAAAATAAAAATTCAATAAAAAAATATATATTCTACATACCATTTCTGGTAGACACTGTTCCATTATTAATTTCAACTCATTTGCCCTGTCAAGTTTCGTAAAGGCATTACTTTCTAAATAACCCAAACAAGTCCTGCAGATTTTTTTCGAATCATCTTCATCGATACCTAATACTTTTTCCAAATTGACTTGATCCTTGTTATCATTTGTGAAATCGTGAATACTATCCTCAATTTCCAGACATTTCGACTTAAATGCAAATGATTGTTGAAGTAACTCTGTACAGTCTTCACATATCACATGATTATCAGTACAGTTCAAATCCTAAAATTTTGTAACATTTATTAGACATACAAAATAGAACATTTTTATGTATAGTTTTAATCGTATAGAGAAACTTACTATTTGAGGCAAAACTATTTGAATGATATCTATTTCTGAATCATTAACAACTTTCAAATCCTGAATAGTTTGCAAACAAAGTCTACATATGTTTGTTGATATTTCAGACATCTTTGCCACCATAACCTTCTTAAATATATTAATAGATATTTCGATTCCTTATATACCTTATATCGTAATTTTATTTAAATATATTTTGCGAAGAACATCTATAATATATTATATATTTCTGGAGAAGAACCACTTAACATAACCTTACTTACTTTCTGACCAAAAATATATTTTTGTTTTTGACGTTTTACGTTGACCAGAAGTGCCATAAAATAGAAATTACATAATCCAAATATGAGTTAGTTCATATTAATAACGTATCAAGACAAAATTCATTTACATTCTACGAATACAAAAAATAATTCATAAAGTCTGTTCAACTATATACCTGCGTTTAAATTAAGAAGACAGTTATTTCTCCGCACTATTAACTATTAAGGTTATCTTGACTAAGTATCGTTGCATGGAATCCACAAAACTCTGAACCGAGTACCAACGAAGAATAGTGAATATTTGCGAAGTATCGATTTAATAGAACTGTCAAATGTCGTATACTAACCTGTATTTTATATGCGTTTATTGTGTCATAGAAAATCAACGGGGCCCTAAAGTCGACAATCTAGGTGCAAAATGTACCAAAACGCCTGCGGGGCTGCAGCCGCCAGTGCCGGGGGTTGTGTCGAGACAGACAGGGATTGTCATAGCTTAATTTCCAAGGAACCCACTGTACCCGCTATAGAGCATGATTATAGTGGTTTTGATATTGTTAAAGCTACTCAGGTGATTATTTTGATGCTTATCTTTGATGTCTATCTATTAAGGCTTCCTTATATGCATGTTTGATATTATTTTTATAATAAACAAGATCGATTATTTAGATATCTTAAAAGTCAGAGAAGTTATTTACATATCAATGTAAAATTAATTTTGACACAATCTTTAAAGCTAACTTTTCTTATAAGCTTTTATAACGTTTTCTTCTAGTATGGTGCATTTGCGAGAGTCAAAGAGCTCGTCGAAGCTGGATATAACGTAAATGAAAGAGATAGCGAGACAGTAACTTTATTGCATTGGGCAGCTATCAACAATCGTAAGGAAATCATGCAATTTTTCATCGAGAAGGGTGCCGAAGTAGATGCAGTTGGTGGTGAATTGAATGCGACTCCATTACACTGGGCGACGAGACAGGGTCATTTGGACGCTGCCGTAATTTTAATGAATGCCGGAGCAGATCCCAGTTTGAGAGATGCTGAAGGTTGTTCATGTATACATCTGGCAGCTCAGTTTGGCCACACAGCTTTAGTAAGTTTATTTAGCTTTTTTTTTCTTAAAAACCTAACATAAATTTGTAGGTTGCATATTTTGTGGCTAGAGGTGTTAGTCCGGATCTCGTGGATCGTGCCGGGATGACGCCTTTGATGTGGGCTGTATGGAAGATTTGCAGCTTGGATCCGACGAGATTGTTGCTGACGTTGGGAGCATCGACAAATTTGACAGACCAGCAAGGCAATACTGCTCTTCACTGGGCTATTTTAGCTAGGAATACCACAGCCATATCATCCTTAATTTTACAGGTGAGCACAAAATTAATTATAATATCTTTGTGGTTTCATTAGAAAATGGCTAATAATTTACTGAAACCAGTGTCATCTTTTCATACCAATATTATTATATTTCACAAATAGTTACAATTTAATTTTACTTTAGGGTCATGCTAGCCTCAACATTCCCAATAATAGAGGTGAGACCCCGCTTTCTATGTTACAGTCACAGATAGGATCGATATGGGTTAGTCCGAAAGTTGCTGATATAATAAAGGAACACACCAATGCTTTTAGTTCAAGAAACTTCCTGTACAAAATAACCAAAGACAAGGTACAGTTTATTTCTTACCTGCTACACCTCATACAAACTTGTCACTATACAAAATGTGTAATTTCAGAGGATGAGATGGTGGTGCATGGTAGGGACTCCCTTCATGGCCTTCTACATAGCCGGTGCCATCTTGAGCACCAACCTAATAATTCTAATAAAAATATTTCTTTTAGTGTGCTTGTACATAGTGATACATTACGTGGGGCAAGTCTTGTATGACGACAGGCTCATGGCACTACTACCCCTCAGCATATACCTCTCTACGAAGATGTGGTTCTATTTCACCTGGATCATATACTTTTTGCCTTTCACGAGTATGTTGACAACCATTGTTTTCCTCGCCAGTTCGGGGCTACTCTGGTACTGTTTCTTGAAATCGTGGCTGGGAGACGCGGGGGTAGTTAGCACCTCGCAACAACTGCAATTCAGGGTAAATTTTTGTGCTGGAAATTTGAGCAAAATAACAACTGTTCCTTTTCTAGACTATAATAGAACTCGCCGAACGAGGACCTGGGGGTTTCGAACCTTCCACGTTTTGTTCTGCGTGTTTGGTGCGCAGACCGTTACGTTCAAAGCACTGTGCTGTGTGCAACCATTGCGTTGCAAGGTTTGATCACCACTGCCCATGGGTGGCAAACTGCATAGGTATTTGTTTGGCGATATAGAAAAAAAAAGAAGTACTGACTTTTATTCCTTTCAGGGGCGAAGAATCACAAGCATTTCATAGGATTCCTCGCTTGTTTAGTGATAATGTGTGCCCAAATGCTTTATGGTTCTGTAAAATATTGGCAGAACGAGCCTTCATGTAACATAACGTCAACATCGGACGGGTTTTGGAAGAGCATAGTAGCTATTGGGCAATGCGATACGTGGGTCGCCTGGGTGGCGGCCAACGCACTTTTTCATTGCATCTGGGTGTTTATGTTGTTTGTTTGCCAGATGTACCAAGTAAGTTACATGCTTTATTAACATTTACAATAAAAATATACCTGCATATGATTTCTCAAAGCTTAAATTAACAAATTTTCCTAAAAATATTTTAATGCTCGGGTTTATACAGTAACCACCTGTCTAGAATATTTGACACCAATCCAATAACACAATCTAAATAACGTTTGTATCTTAAATTAAATATGGATAGATTTGTCAGCCCATTTAAACTTAAACAAATGGTGGATATAAAGCACTTTTTGACTTATGGCGGCCTGATATAGTCTTGTCGGTACAAAATTAAAATGAGTCGACATAAAAAGCAAATCGCAAGAAGTTTGGACTTTCTAAACTGGCCATAAGTAAAAACTCAAAGGAATGTAATAAAAGAAAATATTTATTCATATTTTAAATGTTTGGTTTCAGATAACCTGTCTAGGGATGACAACGAACGAGCGGATGAACCGCGGCCGCTACAACCACTTCATAGCGAACGGAGGTAAGAGCCCCTTCAGCAAGGGTCCCCTGCTGAACATCGTTGAATTCTTCGAATGTTCATGTCTCGGCTTCTTCAAACCGGAGGCCAAGGATTGGCTGACGAGTTTCGATTTGGATAAAAATGTTGAGCATCAACCCCTGCTCAGGCACAAGGAGAACTTTCAATATGTATGAGGTGGCAGGATTCAGCCCCATTCCAAAGACACGACTGAGTTTAGAGAAGTAACTGCACTTGTGATTATTCTAAATTATTTTTAGCTCTCTAAGGCACCGAATACGACATTCCTGAGGGGTCGATGTTAGATGTCATTTTGAATGATCGAATGGTGTAGAAAGTTGGTTAATGTGATTCGTGATGTTGATTTTAGGTTTTTTAGAACCTAATTTAAATTTGAATTTATTTTAAAAATTCAAAAATTTTTCATAATTGCAAAGTTCGGTTCGCATCTTTTTATTTATAAGAGTTTTCAAACAAGTTTCTGCGATTGCTAACTTCTTATTATTGACAGATATCTGTCACTTCTAACTTCGACTTGCTCCAGTTTTACCTATCAGCATTTTTTTGCAATAAACGATAATTTGCTTTACTAAAAAGCAAAGGAAAGAAAATCACTGCACAATATAATATCCTCCGAATACTGATACAAGTTGGTGATAACGAAAGATATATTTATGTTTCTGGGGATAATTCCGTTATCTCGTCAAGTTCAAGAACAACTGCCTTTTTTGAGACTTATTTACATTAACCGAAATAATTTGTTTGAACAATAAAAATATTGGGACGTTTGAGGGATTGTTTTCATCTATATTTTTTCCATATGATTTAAATCTGGACTTTGAAACAGCCATGGCATATAACTTTAAAACTATTTCTAGCTTTAGCACCGTTTGGCCGACAAAATCGCTCAAGTATTATGTTTACATACATCACAATATTGATTTGAGTACACAAAAGTAGCCGTAGAAAAAAATTATCATGTTTTGATAAAAGAAAAACGCCTTAAAACTAAATGTATCGCAACATTGATGTATTAATTATTAAGAGTAACAATAAAGATTCTATGAGCAATGTTGGTGTGTAAGATTAAATTTTATGTATGTGGAGTAATATATGAACGCTCGAATATGCACGTTTAACTTTACAATTTATTTCCTATGGAAATATTTCTTTTGTTGCTTCATGAAAATATTTGGAATTGAAAGAGAGAAAACTGGTTTATAAAATGAATAAATGGATTATGGAGTAGGTGTAGAATATCTTTTTTTTTCATCTCTTACGCTGGGCGCCATTTCTCACGTTGCATCAGTGGAATCTTGATTATCTTTAGACCGACTTTATAAGTCAAATTAGACTAAAGTTCGAGAGAAAACATCGAATCACATGACTAAAAAAATTAACATAATTTTAGTTATAGTTTTTTTGAAAAATTGAATTTTTTTTCTCTGTATATTTTTTTAATTGAAAACCACGACATTTTTGGACATTTTTTTTTTTTGAAAATTAAAATGGCGTGAATTATTACATTTTTTATTCAGTTCATGTGTTATATGTTACCCTCTACCTTTGGTTTTTTATCAAAAAACAAGTTATCCACATTGACAAAGAGTGCTTTGAAAACAAAACATCCAACTATTACCTCAAACAAATTTTCACAGTTCAGTTAAATTTACGGTAAAACGTTAAAGTTTAGAGCACTAAAAATGCAATTTTCAGATAAAGAAGAGCACGATATGTTTTAAACATATTAATTCATTAAACTGAAGAACATATATCTTTACTTCATGTGTAAAAATTGCAATTATAATATTCTGATCTCTTATGTCAATGCACATTTAACTGTCAAAATTTTCGTTTGGAGTAATAGTCAGATGTTTTGTTTTCAAAGCACTCTTTGTCAAAGCAAAGAATTTGTTTTTTTGACAAAAAAGTGAAACTACAACACAATTCGAAAAATTACCTGAATTCTAAAATATGAATATATGTACATATTTGAATTGTCCTCAAAACGTCATCTTAAAAGGTACAGTTCTTCCCATTCCCAATAAAAATGAAGATAACATTTTTTTTGTTTTTCTGCAACTTTGCCTTAATTTGACTGACTTTGTATCTTTTAAGGCAACCGAGATTCCCACAATTGAAACGGGCGCTGGGTATATCTTGTAATACTTTATTAAAAATATTTTTATAGTAGTTTTAAGCAAATAAATTCTTACTTAATAATTACTAATGAAAAAGTTCTACGTGCATACAAAATTTTGCATATTTTACTTTGAACACAAGTACTTGTTATATGAATGTATATTTGTATATATTTCTTAGAGTGAAATGAGAGTTTGAAGTTTCACGTTATCTTGTATAAAGGTACTGTATTTATATCGCTTAAAAACTTGAATTCTAGTCAATAAAGATACTTAAATATTTAGGATATTTTGTATGTAATTACCCAAATCATCCACTATCCTCTTTTAGTATGTTGATTCGGGGACATCGAGAATTTTCTCTGATTTACAACCGCTGCACTTACCAGATGCAAATCCACCTTTTTTTTTGTGAAATTACAATTAGCATCCACATTAATAATATTGATTATTTAAGTGTCTATAAATTCTTTAAAAAAAAAAAGTAGTGTCAATGAAAATGTACAGTGCGGTAGATACTATTAATTAATAACATTGGATAATTGGGCAACTGTGACGTCCAGCGATTGATTTTGATTGAAATGTCGCGGCGACAAGTCACTGCTCACTGAATCTCGAGTGTACACGTTACATGTTTATAAATAGAGCGACTTTTCAGTCAATCGACGAGTATGCTACCAGGTATCGATCATGTCAAAGTGCCGATCACAGACTACACAGGGTGTTAATGATAAGTTTTGCCAAACTTTAATGGCGTATTCTACCGATGAATATAATCAACTTTTGCCCTATAAAAATTTTTTATGGACGCTTCCCTACAGAGAGATACAGGGTGTTAAAAGTTACAAATATTTATATGATTTTGTCCTGTAACTTCACTGGCATAAAATATTAAATGATAAAATTTAGGGGATGACATTTTTTTAGTAGGGACTATTTTTTCATGGATAACTTATTCCAAAATACACTCCAGTGGCGTAGTTATTAGGGGAGTACGGGACCTTTTTTGAAAAAATACTGTATGCTACTGGTTTTTTAAATAATTTTAAATGTTTTTAGAATGTAAATTTGTGGCAATAAAGTATTCGTAAAATTTACTGGTCTTTAGATAATTGGGAAGTCAAATAAGAAGGTACTTAAGTACCTATGTTGCATCCCAAGGACAGCATTTTTTAACATTTCATGTGATGTTGTATAGTGTTTTGAAATCTCTCAAAAATATTAATTATTGAATTGTTACACATTTAGCAATCAATAGAAAATGGTAAATAGTACTCCCCCAATAACTACGCCACTGGAGTGTATTTTGGAATAAGTTATCTATAATTATAAATTCATATAAATATTTGAAACACCCTGTAGGAAAGCGTCATATCAAAAATGTTTGTTGATTATTTTCATCAGTAGAATACGATACGCCATTAAAGTTTGTCAAAACTTATCATTAACACCCTGTATGTTGTGTGTTTCGTTATGTGTATGTGGTGAGTTGGAAGGAACATTCCAAAGTAGTATATTCTATGCTTAAAAATAATTAGAAAAAAAAAACAAACATCCATTCGTTTTCAAATTAAACATCATAAGAAAATTAATAAACAATTAATATTTTTATTTTATTAATTTAAGTTGCAGGTTACTGTGGAACGATGTATGTAAGGAATTTTGGTATTATTATGTTTAACTTGAGAACAAATAAAAAATGGGTAACAACATTCAAGAGTTTAAATTATTTTTAATAGTAGAATATGTTCCTAGAGTTTGAGAGGGATAGGAGTATGGTTGGAAGTATGATGGTTTTTCAGGATGTTATGCCTCAGTCACCTGGTTCTCGGGCTAGGTTCTGTGGGAGTGGACCCACTTTCAGAGCCCCTAGGTCAGCCCTAATATTCATATCAGTTCTTGTTGGTCCTAAAGCCGCCACCGACAGAACCACTTCTCAGATAATCGTCTGTGATGACTGCCAAAGTGGCACGAAGATGTTTTTGCAGAATTTTTGCGGCCATCTTTTATGAAATTTTGTTGCTTGTCAGGAGGATGATCTACCAACCACATGTGTACACTTCTTTGATTTTATTTACTCTCTTCATTTTTTACAAATTCGATGATGTTTACCAGAAATAGGTCTACATTTTCAAGTACTTCGAACGCCCTTCTTAAACCTTCGTTTTGGTGAAATAAAAGCCGAGCAATTGCATCAACATTTATTATTTAAAGCTCAAACATTGCGCTCATTCTTGATTAATTTTGTGCCTGCGTATTCATTAAATAATAACAATTAGTAAAAAAAAATAACAATATAAATAGAACCTCGTGCAGAGTTAACAAAAAAAAATCAACCTAATCTAAACGTGAAATATTATAATTACCTTGGAATTATAAAAAATATATTTACCCTAATTAGAGATTTAAAACTGTCATGGAACGTTATCTGCTTAACGAGTACTTTTAAATCTAGAGAAATTACTACGAACGATAAGTCTAGTAACACAGATAAATAATAATTTGAAAAACGTAGTGTTTTTTGTAAAGCAAGTATTTGGGCAAGGAAGAGAAAAAGTGGTGAGTAATACATTACAAATATGTATGGTTAAAAAATTAAAATAGCGATACACTCCATTATCCTTAGAATAAACACCTTTTTCCTATCCGTAGCCGATGAGCTTGAAAAGAGAAAATCACAGAAATTTCAAAACCGAAAAGGCTTTTCAAAGCAGTCTTCTCATATAATTGTACAAACGATAGATAGCTAGTAAGGGCAATTTTAAGGCTTTGATAACGATGTAATTCGGATCGTGACACATTCAACGACAACCGAATGGTCAATTAACATTATATTTTCGACTTATTAAATCAGTAAATTGATGTGACTTAGTTTAAAAAAGAAACTATTGTATTAGCCCTTATATTAATAATCGATAATTATTAGCGTAACATTATTAAAAAATCCCTCCTTAATTGTCAGCCTCAAAGAAAATAAAAACGAGCAGCCTTGTAACGTTTTCAAGCTCATCCCTCGAACAAACTCAAGTGGCGACATCGCACTTCTCGATGTTCTGTTCGCTCAACTTATCTGTATCGGTAACGGTAATATCAGTGGTGTTGTGGCCCAGCAGGTCCGCCCTGGTCTCCGACACCGTCTTTATAACCCCGTCGACTAAAGAGCCTGCGAATTGCTGCAGTTCCGAGTTGCTCTGAGAGTTTTCCCGCTTGCGCTGGTACACGGGCAGAGGCAAGGATGACGGCCTGGACTGCACCTGCTGCTTTTGAAAGGGGAAAACTTTACCGGCTTCTCCCTGAAAACAGCTCGAATTCAATTAATTTGTTGAGTCCACTGAATAATATGCCATTCCCACTCCCACACAAAATGTGGATAATTAGGAGGCGATTATAATGATAATTGTAATTGATTGTCTTTTGAGAAAAAATGGAATCATTTTGTGAATGGATGTATTGGAATGAAGGCGCACAAATGCAATTGGACAATGTTGAAGCCAACATGTGATGATGTCCGATACACTTTAGTTCAAAATTGCTGTACAGGCTATTGTGCTCCTTCATTCAACACATAATGTATATGAAAAAAAAGTACATAGGCTTGAAATCTGGACTTCCAGTGGACCACTACAATAACATATGTGACTAGAGTTTCCTGCAACAATGTTATATGGAACTGTAAAGTACTTACCTGAGGTGTATGGACTGCTACAATATCTGTTTGGGTTGATATTCCGTTTTCTCTTAGTTGATGATTAATACCTGCACTTTGACTAAATACCGTCATAACCTTTACGATATCCTGCATCGAGTTCTGTAATTGTTGAATCTACAAGAAATGTGTCTCTGTAGACGAGTCTTTAAATTTAGTTTGTTTCTTGGAAATATTTAATTTTTATTTTTTGACATATTACCTGAGTTTGCAGCATTGTACAAGTTTGTGCCAGTTCCTTCACGACCTCAGCATTGTTCACAGACAAGTTGGTCATGTTTAAATTCGAAGAGCTACCTTCGCTCTCCGGTTGCAAAGCGGAAATTTTCTTCCAAAGCGCGCTAATCGCTTCAGTTTGAAGCATCTGGATTTTCCGCTCGCTCTCCAGCGCCACTTTAGTCGTTTCCATGTCGGTCGCAAGTTTCCTGAAATACCAAAAATACATATTTGTTTTTAGAACCAGTTATCTCCTTGTTAACTCACTGTATATACTGGTTTGCTCTCTGACTCTGCAACTCCTTGAACATTTCCTGGATCTCCTTGTCCTTGTTCCTTGTGAAGTAGCCACGCCACATTTTCTGGATGAAGACGGCGGCCTGTTCCACCTTGTCATCGTTACTACTGCTGTTGCTGCGGTTTTCGTCTTTCTGCAATCTGCGCTCCTCTGCCTTCATCTGAATGGTTTGCAGCTTGGCGTCGCATATCTCCGACTCGTCTTCGCTGCTCGAGGGCTTGTTTCTGGGAATAGACGATTTTTTGTTAGTTTGCCGCTCGCTAGAACAACGATTTGACAGAATTAGGAAATCAAACCTAAAAAACTCACTTTAATATCCCACTCATCTTTTTCTGTCTTGCAGGGGACGGAGAACCAGTCTTCCTCGCTTCCGTTCCTAATTGACTCCTGGTCCTGCCCACCGAGGATCTGTTAGATTTAGGCGAACGCGCCGGTTGCACGATTCTGGCCGGCGATGATTTATTGCTGAGAAGGCAAGACATAGCGGAAAGTGTTGGAGTTATGGTGGAATTCCGCGAGACCAAGTTCGATGGGCGGTAGTCGGGACTCATCAGAGATTCAGGCACTGGTACCATTTTAGATAAGGCTTGAAGAGGGCTGTTTATGGGCTCAGAATCTACAAATAGGCGTTAAATTATGTGGGAACAAGGTTCTTTTTGTAAAGTGGTGACAACATTTTTCCGGACTAGTCCAAATAGTAGCAAATATTTTTTTGATAAATAGTAATAGTCATGATAGAATAAATCTAATAATCCAAAAATGATATGTGCTAAGAAAAAAATCAAGTAATGTAGGTACATTACTAATTTTAAGTAAAACTAATTTGTTTTATATTATTTCCAATCAATCACCAACCATTTCAAGTTTTTAATAAAAAAGTTTTTATTATTTTTTTAAATTACTGTGTTTCATTTGTGAATGTCAGTGGCAATGACCTCCGACACTGACTTCGTTTAGGAAAACTACATATTTATACACCTGATGTGATATGACAAGGCATTAGAGCGGCAAAAAAATAGCATACTGCCAAATTTTCTCAAGTCATAGTCTTTTTCTAAAGAAGTTTAACAGGTGTATCAGTTTCTAATATAAAAGATCTAACTAGTTTTTGTTTGTTTTATATTCCGAAACGGTCACCAACAAATTTGTGCACTTATTGTCTACTCGTCTATAAAAACATAATTTTTCAGACTTTCTACATGAATTATTAGTTTACATTCACATTTTCATTTTTATATGATAATAACTCACGTACCTAGACATTTTTCGGTGCTAATATGATTACTAGACTCGGTCATCTTACTGCCGATACTTTGATTTAATATACTCGGGTCCAGGCTCTGAGACATCACCGACTGGTTATCTATATTATTTAATGGAGAGTAACAGCTAGACACCATCCGATCTGGTGACTTAATCCTGTTGCTCAATCTAGAAGCTGCAAAGAAATGCCTTAAATTGTCAAACTCGAAGAAGTGGGTATAACTTACAATTTAATCTTGGAGACTGCTTGTTGAGTTGCAATTTTTTTCTCGACATGGGAGACGGATTTGGTGTCACTGAAAAGAAAAATGCATATGATGGAACGGTTGATATATTATGACTAGCACTAATTTACCATTTGTGGATGACTGTTCTCGTAACTGTTGCTGATGGTGTTGGGCCTTGCTCAAAATCAACCGTAGTTTTCTATCTTCCTCGGTTTCCAAAGTTTCCCCTGTTAACGGACAGACTGTTGCCAGATACTGCGTCAACTCCTTCTGATCGCCTACTCTATAGTGTCTGCCCCGTCCTTGTGAGTACAGCCATTCCGCTCTTAAACTATAACATTTAATAATACAGAAAATTTAAGGTTAAAGTATTATGTAATGTTATTAGCTCTGCAGATTTACCTTTCGATTGCATCAACTACATAATCATCTATAACATTTACGTTTAAACACCAATTTATAACAAATGGACGGTAGTCAAAGCCTCTAAAAGCATTTGTTAAGGAAAATCATTAAACATTTAACTTTTAAAAATTATGGACACTTCATTGCACCATGGCTCATTTCGTTTGGTATATTTCATGCTCTGATACCCGTCACTACATCTAAAGAAATTTAAAAATGTCTCATCATGTCTACCAAATTAATAAATTTCTAAACATTTTTGTTATTTATGCTGATAGAACAGTAATAAAATGCTGTGTTTCTCAAATAATTTTGATGGGTTGAAGTTTCTTTCAGTGTAAGACTTACTGAAAGTCAAATAAATAAAAATAAACTTTTACAGCTGCCATACTGGGTATTTTTATGACCCAATTTTTATGTTTGGTGTGCTTGTGTGTAATATATTGATAAATAGTTTCAATTATTTTGATAGAAATATTGAAATAGAACAAAAAAACATTCTCATATACTCCATTCTCATCCATCAACAATGCTGGGTAACCCATTTAAGCAGTTAATTTTTTAACTTTGCCCACAAATAAATCCCAAATTATGTACAATTACAAAAGGATACATATTATTACCAGTCATGTTAACACATGGGTTATTAGCGAGAGAGATTTTAGTTAAATTAACAAGGTTCACAAGCCTCGAAATCTCATTCAGATCCGTAATGTTATTATGAGCTAGAGTTAGTGTAGTCAAGCTTGTAGGTAAAAAACGATCACACTGGCTTAAGTGATTAATTTTGTTTTTATGTAGAAAAAGTTCCTAAAACCAAAGGCTATATAATATACTGTCACTACAAACTTTTTGTATTAAGTAATGCAAAAAGATAATAGCTTAGGAAGTATCGTCCAGATTTACCTTAAGATTCTTTAAAAATGATAAATCTGTTATATGAGTTATGCTGTTCTCCGATAAATCTAGATATTCTAAATTTACGTTAGTTTGTAAATGTTCTATGGTCTGAAAAAAAAACATAGAAACATCAATATTAAAGCAGAAATTCGATTTTTAAACTTCCTAAAGGGATTTTAGATTTTAGTGCCCCTGCCTTCAGTGTATCAATCAGTGAGTCTTTAAGGTATGTTAAAAGATTTGGCATCCAATTTAAGCTATTTAAGTGAAGTTAAAGGTTAACTTACAAATTAGTCATCCCAATTTAGTATTAAAAGGATGTCAGTAACCCACATCATATACATTTAGAATTACTGTGGTTAAACATTAACTAGAAAGAGATTTAACTTCCCTTTTGAGGATGAACTTTAAAAATCAAATAAAACAGAAGCGGAAATTAACACTGACATGCGACAAAGGGAAAGCTACCACCTTAATGCTATTTCCAGCTAAACATAACCATTTCAAGCTGACCAACTCCTTTAACCCCTCAATAGTAAGTATTCCATTATGAGCAAGGTTTAAGGTATGGAGTGAGTGAAGTCGACAAACACCATACATACGTAGCAATTGGTTATGCACCGCTGAAAGCTGAAATGGACATTACTTGTTAAGCAGAGAACTAGTTAAACCCTGAACATAAGCAAAATATTGATTTACCTTATGTAGTTTAATAAAAGAGTCAATGTTATCTAACCGCTGCAGCTCATTGTCATCTAAAATTAAGTTGAGAACCTGAGATTCGGCTGGGGTGGGTTTATTTAGTTTTTTGAGCTTTTTATTTGATAAATCTAAAGTATCTTGTAAATCCTCTGCAATTCATAAAGAAGTTTGACGGACACGGAAAATTAAATAATTACAGTAAGTATTAACCTTACCCATTTGAACTTAAACAATACACATATTATACGTTTAACGATTACACTATTTTCGTTGTTTACTTAATTTTTAAATCAGCATCTATTTTCTAAAAATAGCAAAATATTATTGAATTTTGACAATTCTCTTTGTTTTGACATATGGCAGAATGTCAACAACATTCAATATACAAAAAATAAAAATCCCCAAATATATAGTCTTTTTCAATCTCCTTTTCTTTATTTTTAATTAACAAATTTAGTAACATTTTTAAAATTGAACAATTTTGCAAACGTTCATTCACTTTAGCTTTGATTTAGGGTTATAAAAAGAAATTAATTATTTTTAAGATAAGGCAAAAACTTTTGGAAGTTGGCAGTTCTGATAGAAATAAATATGGAGTTTATTTGCAAAAGGATGACTTCATTTTACTTTGAATAACAAGAAGATCAAGATAAATTCCTATTAATGGTTCTAGTGTAAAAAAAGTGCCATAGTTTGCTGAAAGAAGCTAGTAAACGTTACATAAATTTTAGTGCAGTAATTGTAGGAGTGTTTACAACAAAAAAAAACCTTTAACTGAGGATATCAGCTGAGAGGAGACACTTTTTGGAAATCTGATTTGCTTTGTTTATATTTCTTTTACCTTAGTCCAAAAAGAAATTTTTCAAACTGGAGCGATTACCAGAATATCTCCGCGATACCGTGGATTGGTTTATTGGGTGAGTACTTCTAGATATATTTTAAATAATAGTTATAAATTGGAACATTTATTCAGTAACAATTTTGAAAAAATGTCTTAGTAATTTTATTTATGAAAAATGGACTAAATTCTATGTCCTTAATTTTTCATTGTCTGATAAAAACTATTAATTACTGTAATTATTTTTTTTATCACAAGTATAATTTTTATTTTATCGTTAAGATCTCGTTAAAACAAATTTAAAATGCAATATCAATTGATAAATGCTTTACAGTCAATTGATTAATGGCAATTTAACAATTTGGCATTAATGAGAATTGAGTTTAACTAATAGACAAGGCCTTGTAATAAATTTTGGCTACAGATCTTTTTAACTACAAATCAGCTAGGCACCTAGTGTGTAAACATATATTTTGAGTTAATTAAAACTTTATTAAGGTTTATACGACAGGAAAATCCAATAATGATCGGCTTTTACTAGCCTTTACAGGTTTCATGGCTTGATTAGATTTTCCCTTGTCAATAGAATTAAATGAGGAAATTCTAAAAACAGTGTTAGAATATAATGTGGTTAAGTAGAACAGTGTCCAAAGTGAAAATCGGCAACGCTTCAAGGGTTATTGTTTTTGATGAGCAGGCTATTACTGGCTGTTTTTGCCGGTATTTTTTTTTGTTCATTGTTAAAATAATTCTATGTTAAGTAGTAACTTAAGCAAGAAACTACTAATGAAATGTAAACTATAAAATTTGGAAAATAGAGCACCAAACTTTTATCAAGCAGAAATATCTATTTATCAATTATTCGTCATAAATGCAGTTCAAATCCCTATCAGTTACTTATCAAATATCAATATACTTGTCATATTTGATAATATTGCCAAATATTGTATATAATCTGTGATTTATTTTTTTGTCTAGTTTTAACCAGTTGTTAATTACTTTGACTTAAAATTTTTGTAATTTTTTAAATTGATGTAGATATCTTCATTTTGGTATTATATGTATTTCATATAATCCCAAGAATGAGCCAGATTGAATATTTGTCCATTAATATACGATAAATTAAAACATGTCAAACTATTTCTCTGACTGTGTCAATATTATCTTGCCTATCTATAGTTTTATTTTTGAAAATTTATCTGCGGTATAAATTATCATAGTTCAATACCATATATTTCAGTAAACTCACAATTTTTCAAGAATGGAAAATTTTATCAAAAATATTAATGTAGGTACTTTATATTAAAGGAAAAGAAATATATTGACAATATATCCACATAAAAAGGTTTTATAATAACACCAATAAAATTTTAATTAATATAACTACATATAATAAAGACATTGTTTACAAACAAGGCAAGGATGTTTTCAAGAAGGACTTTGCTTGCTTAACGCATGTGGATTACAATTTTTGAGAATGTAACTCATATCAGTGTTTGTTTAATAAACAAGAAATATTTATTATGGCTCTAAATGTTCAGTTAGGATTCATAATCCATTATTATTAACAATAAATTTAATACTGATATCACTGTACAAACAAGGGGCAGATAATGTGGTTTAGCATAAACTGAGGCATAAAAGGGACAGAAAATAAGTACCTATATGAAATGTTAAAAAATATATATATTTAAATACTTATGTTTGTGTTTTATAAATCTTTAATTTACATTTTTTATTATCATCATAAACATTACCACATTTAAATAATTTATAGAAAATTTATGGAAAAAATTTAATTTATTCGAAAAAAATGTTCTCATCTTTAACGTAAGCTAAAAATTATGAACAAAATGTAAAATAATATTTTTATATTAATCAGAAAAGCAAGGCGCAAAGAGAAAGAAGGGGCCGAATCTACTTCAGGGGGGGATTCGAAACTATATTTAGAGGCAACAGTATTAGAAAGAAAATTGCCAGAGATGGATATGAGGCTGTTGGTAGACTTGCCACCAGGTCTAGACTATAACGAATGGCTTGCATCTCACAGTAAGTAAATTATTTAATATGTTTATAATCACATGTATGTATCATTTGTGACAAAAAGATCGTTAGAGTCTAAACGTGTCCACCCTGTTGTTTAAAGCATTCTTCCCTTAAGTATTTGATTATTCTGTTTTTAATACAGTTCAATGTAATCATTGAGGGCATGTATTGTTTAAAATTTCTGCTTTATGTGTAAATATGTGATGTTTACATTATAAAGCTGTATTGATTTATGATAATTCTTACACAGGCTTTGATGGATTTTGATAACATTAGGTCATGCTAAGGGGTCGTGTATAAAAATTACATGTTACTTAATACCGTTTTTATTTTCCACGCTGGCTTATCGCCAGGCCACAATCTTGTGTTGTTGTGTTGCATTTTTACGTACTCAGTTAAGGTCATATATTATTCTTGGAGTATGTACGATTGAATTTCTATTTTCATGAAGTTGTAAACAGGTCGAGATTTTTTTGCTTTTCAGCAGTCTCAAATATTTGAGAAATCTTGTTTGTGTAAAGACTATTCACAAAGGGATATTTTAGTTTTATTATTATCTATTTTTTAATAAATTGTTTGTTGTACACTATTTTGATACAATGAGAAACTTTTAAAATGTCTTTTCAATTTAAAGCAGCTGTTTTAAAGTATTGTGAATCGATCCTTTAAATGTAAATTTATTGTTCTTAATTTTACCTAGAATCCAACGTTCCATTTGTGGAGTAAAGCCCTCTTAAAACTGCTGGAAGAGCCACTAATTTGGCTAAAATGATGATAAGAATACAACAATTGAGATAATTTTAGTCACATATGCTCTCTACAAAAAAATATTTGATTTTAATCTTTCAGCAATGGCTCTATTCGACCACGTTAATTTAGTTTATGGTACTGTTAGTGAATTTTGCACACCTTCCGGTTGTCCAGACATGACAGGTCCAGGTCAGAGGTAAGCCACAGCATTAATATGTCAAGTTGATCAAACTAATTATAATAGTCTTATCTGTGTCCAAGATCAGGATGTAGGATATTGAAAATTCAGAGTGGCTCAAATAAAAAGCAGTCTCAGTTTTCGAAATCCTCATCCTTATCTAGGACAGGATTTGTAATCCTTACATTGATTTTCTGCAAAATTTAATATCACTTTTTATTACTGCAGGACTTATCTGTGGTTTGACGAGAAGGGCAAGAAAACGAAAGTGGCAGCCCCTCAGTATATAGATTATGTGATGACATTTATTCAAAAAACTATTAGTGATGAAACTATTTTTCCTACAAAATATGGTGAGTAATTTTTTTTGTTTTTGTTTGTGAAATTTTTTTACAGTTTCTGATAATTCCTTAGTATTTCAATACACAGTGTCCCCAATAAAGTAAATTTTGTAGTACTTAATCATTTTTAAAATATTTAACAGCCAATCGTTTTTTTCTGAAATCAGGCCAAATGATTTGCATATACGTAATCACATGATTGAACTGCTTCTGATAGTTAAAAAAAGCTGAAAATAACACTTCTCAAAAGTTCAAAAAACATTTAAGACAAAAGTTGTTTATTATAGTTATACACTAATTTTCAGGACACTAGCATTGTTTCATATCTTCTTTAAGCTATTATATTTGTACCTTAACGGAATATAAAAAACTTCTATAGAATTTGCATAGGAAGCACAGAAAGTCACAATAAGGTGATAATTTTCATTAACTATGTTAGCTTTAAAAACTCGTTTAGACCATAATAGTAAAAGTAGATAATTAAAACATAAATTAATATTACTTACAATTAGTAATGAAAGCTTATGTATTTACCAATATTAATTCATATCCAATAAATCATGCAAAAAAATATTTTACGTTCTTGACTGCCACATAGTTCAAAGTTTTCGTCTATTCCAGCGAATGAATTTCCCTCGTCTTTTGAGTCAATAGTGAGAAAGATAGTTAGACTGTTATTTCACGTGGTGGCGCACTTGTACGCCGCCCACTTCAAGGAGGTCGTGATGCTGGGTCTCCACGCCCATCTGAACCTCACCTTCGCCCACCTCACCGCCCTCCACCATCGATTCACCCTAATCGAGCCCAAAGAGACGGAAATATTGCGGGACCTGGAGGTGGCGTTGCGACTGACCGAGGACTGCCAGGAGTCGGTGAACAACAACGATAAGCCCGACGAGAGCTCTGAGGCCGAGCAGACGGAGGCGACCTGTAAGTAGCGAGATGCACGGTGAGTTCCAGCTCCTTATTTTTGTCCTTTCAGCAACACGTTTTTAGGTTGATGTCGTCATTCCTGAGCTATTAAATAACTATAGTGTTGCTGTAACTGTACAATCAGTTATCAATGTCACATGTACTGAAATTTTGCTAATTAAAGCATAGTTTGAGGTGACTTCAATTTGATTCGTTTCAGGTGGCGACAATAAATCCTAGTTACTTGGGGGAGCGAGACGGGCATGGGAGTGCCGTCGAAGACGTGTTTTATGTGATGTAAAATTCGCCCCATTAAAACAAGTTAAACCACTATTAGCTACTAGCGCATGTGATTAAGACACAATAGTGACTTTTATTTTTTTAGTGCTACATTTTATTTATTGTTTTTAACATTTTTATTTATGTTTTCGAATTTATTAATAAAATTATTTTGAATTTGTGGCAATTTTTGCGATAAGAGATTGTGCAGGGCATAGCGATCAATATGAAATAGTTTTTTTCCCTATCTTCAAGAGGAATAGTGCTGAAATGTACGTATTTTGATTTCATGTGTGAATAAATCGGATGCTTGTACAAGTATAAATGTTGCGGTACGATTTTTGTCACCATATAGTCTGAAAATTATATTTTCAGCGAATATTTTATAATATAGTGACAAACAATGCATATAATTTTAAGTATCAATTATATTTTTGTTGTATATATTGTGATATCTGTTTATCTCACTTCTGATTTTGTTCATACATATAGATCTCGACTATACACAGTATAGTTGCTGGTTAGATCGAAACCCATATTTTAACTTAAAATTTTAGTCATTTTAGTAGTGTTTCGCAATTACTACTTATTTCCCACTTTTAACGTGAAATTTTGTATGTAGTTTAAATAGTCACAAAGATTTTTGCGTTTGTTTTCAGTCTTAAAATCTGCACGGCTTTGCTCTTCATACCTTGTATACTGTGTATACAACATTTTAAAAATTTTAAAAGATGCAACAAGCAGTGGTCTTCAAATTTTTTGACGAGTAGCGGTGGTTAGAAGATTTTAGAATCACTAAACTGATGGTGATGACAGTCAGAACAAGCCGGATGAAGGATTTTTTGAAATGTAGTATATTTTTGGCTTCACGTTTTTAAGTTTACAGAGAAAATTAGAATAATAACGTTGGTTAGGATTATCATTTATCAAATTGGCTTATTGTGACTGTATATTCAGTGACTTGACTTTGAGAAATGAGTACTTAAAAAAGTTCTTATTCGCTTGTATTTAAGTAATTTAACATTTCTCCTCTATAGCGAATGCCTCTATGACAGAATATTCGTTTAGTTTTCAGGTCCTCCATTTGATGAAAATTTTACTACATTTTAGTGACATTGATTTTCTATAAAGTTTTGAAATGAATAAGCATTTCAAGATTTTGAAAAAAAAAAATGAAAAATTCAGTATGTCACCATGAATTGCTGAAACTGCAAAATCTAGTTCTTTGATAGGACACTTCTTATATTGCATGCTGTAATATGATGGTATTTGGAGATAAAATACAATCTTCCATATTTACAAGAAAAACAACCTTACATCTAATCATCAAATTTATTTTATTTTAAATTGTCTGATGTTTAGATTCAGAATTTGTATTTTTTTTAAGTTAGGCGAAAACTTTTAAGTAGCTTTCTAAAAAATGCAATTTTGTGGTGTGCTAGTTGATAAATGTGAAATAACCCTTTCAAGTTTCTGTAGAAATAGTATTTTAAAATTTAATTTTTGGCCGTCCAAATCGAAACCTAACAAAACCTTTGTGTATACACAAAGAATAAAAAATTAGTCCACATCTTACCTTCGAGGAAAACTGCCTTCCGCCCTGTGAATGCGAACAAAAGTTATCCTGTTTTTTTGCATTGTGATCTTGAAGAGAGGCATTTCGTTTATTTTTTCTGTACAGTGTTATTGTTCTTGATACGCTATTATTGTATATATTGTAAAATGAATTTTAGTTTGTTATTTTTTAGATCCTGTAAGCGCTATTAGAATATAGCATTTGTTGAGAAATTATAAATAATAAATCACCAAATGTTACGTGCTTTTATTATGACCCATTTCCTAATGAAAGCTTAGGCCTGTATAATTCGGATGATTGTTTGAATACATCGTCTGAATGTAAAAATATTTATCAAAAATTTCTTAATCATAATTATTAACAAACTTCTTACGAAAACTTTTTAATATAACCTTGTTCACTTTACAAAAATAATATCAATAGTTTTACTGATCAGGTTAACATGTTATTTTCGAAAAAATTTTTTCTCCATTTAAAAATAATGTCTGACGTCCAATATAGAGTAAATTTTGGAATAATTAAACTCCTTAAAATAAGCATTATTTGAAAGATTTTAAAGATATTTTTTTGTAATAAACATTCAGTAAAAACTTTTTTTTTGGCGCCCAATGTGGGGCATTTGGGATAATTAAAAATATACATTGTAATGTAAATTGCTTTGCAAAATTTTTATTTGGCCATATCTTTTGGATAATACATATATTTTACACATATTTAATTTTTTTTGTCTTAAAATTATTTACATAGTGATATTTATATTCAATAAATATCGATATAATTATCTGACAATTTACTGAAACAATTTAGAAAAAGCTCTTTTCTCCTTCCTCAGATATACCAATTTTCTTTCCTTTACCACTTTTAGGAGTTGGAGGATGTTCTTGTCTTTTGGGTGATAACTGACTGCCGTTTGTAAGTCATCTAGGGCTTTGTCATAGTCTTTAAGGCATAACCGTGCATGGCCTCGCCTGTAGTATGCTTTGACACAGTGTGGGTCTTTCTTTAATACCTAGAGTTACGTTGGGTAATTATTTTTTATAATCGATGTTTTAATAATGAATACCTGACTGCATAATTCCAAGACGTCTTTGTACTTCTCCCTCTTCAACTTTACCGCAGCCAAATTCAATAATGAATAGGTCCTCGTGTCCTCCATAAGCTTACTGTTCTCTTTCTTGTGGCATATGTACCAGTCGATGTATCTCAACGTCTTCACATATTTTCGTTCTGAATCGATGTAGTTGTGGTTTTTGTAAAAATAATTTCCGGAATCTTTGATTGCTTCTATGGTTTTCTTTATGATGCGGTAGTTGTCTACCGAATCTATACACCAGTCGTCGGGCCAGGGAGGGTATACGTCGAGAGTTCCATCGTTCTCGCATATGTTCCAAGACTCCCCCGGTTTGAATTCCCCACAGTCTTCTATCATGATTGGCTGAAAATAAGAGATTCTGAAATCATTTTAAAAAACTGCTCAAAATTTTTACCTCTAACGGTTTATCACTTTCTCTCGGAATGTTAGCCATTTCAACGATGATATTGAGACCTTTTACAACTTTTCCCACAATCACATTTGTACCATCTAAATGTGAGCACAGTACTGTTGTTATATAAAATTGGGATTGGTTGGTATTTGGTCCACTGTTTGACATTCCCACCAAACCTTCCGTTTTATGCTGAAAAATTTTCAATTTAAGTTACAGCCCCAGTGCATCGGAAGCGTACCTCTAGTTCCAAACATTCGTCATCAAATTTTTCTCCATATATGCTCTCGCCACTGGTACCGTCATTGTTGACAATGTCGCCCCCTTGAACTATGCATATGGGAATGACTGAAAAAGGGTACAAGTAGTAGTTTAACAGACGAGAATTTCCAGTGAATAAAAAAAATGATAGTTCCATTATATTAATCATTGTATGCTTTAAAAATAATATGTGCAGTATTTAAGGAGATAATTAGCCACTTCGATGTTTCTAAGTCGATAAATTCCTAAAGAAAAAACAACAAAATGACAGAAAATGTAGCTGTGCTTGGGAATATACTTGTAGTTTTACTTACACATTTATAGTTTGGCAATCAATTAAACTTAGAAATGAGAATACTAGATGGCAACACTCCTAAGAAAATTCCCATCACCATAAACAGGAGTAATAGGGAATTTTTTGGAGATATTCTCATAACCAAGATCAACCAGCAGCAATAGCCTGAGAACCATACAAATAGAATAAAATCTGGAAGATTTTTTTTGAGACATTCAGGATACAATGCACGAGTAGAATACACATTTATTAAAAAACAAATGTACATATACATATATCAATAGAAAACATTTCAAATTACAGAGGAATCTCAGGATGAATCTCATGCATCTGTTTATGATGAGCCTGCTTAATTCTTTCTAATAATGAAGGTTCGTCGTCGTTAGCTTTAGTCGAAAATTTTTTTGGTTTTTTTGATTCTGGTTTAGGTTCGTCATCAAAAACTATCAAATCCTGCACTGACACTTCTTGTTCGCTTTCTGGTTTTGATTCGTCCTTGATTTCATTTTTTATCTCAAGCTCACTATCTAGCTAACAAAAAATTAACATCAAGAACAGTAACAGCGATAATGACATTTATTTTCAATTTTCATTAATTACTTACTTTTGGGCTCTGTTGTTCAGGCACCTTATTTTCAGTAGGTATTTTTTCAATTTTGTTATCAGCAGGAAGTACTTTATTTTCAACTGTTTTTGGGCCACTCTCCCGCTTAGCTTGACTTTCTGACTTACTAACATCCTTTGCCTTGATCTGTGAAGAACAGTCTCTGGTTTGCTTGCATATTTTCTTCGAACATAGCTCTCGTTTAGGTATATAGTCCAATGATTCATCACACAATTCACAGGTACAGTTTTCTTTAATATGACAATTTTTTTTCAAAACTTTACCGCAAACTGGACAAATACGGTCTTCAATAGTGGAATAGTAATTTTTAGATTTCTGACAATGTTTACAAATATTCAAAGTATCTCGTTCACTTTCACGGTTCGTATTTTTAGGGCGATAGTATTTGTATTTTAGCTGTTTCTGCCCATAATTACATACATTATCTGATGGTTCATCTTGACATGTGCATTTTGTCAATCCATTGTAACAATTCCTACAAAGCATGAACCTGTCCAACTGTTTCTGCAAATAAGTGTCATCATTTTTGGAACTTCTACATTCACAGCAAGTTCTATTTTTTGTGGCACACACACATTGTTGCTCTGGGGGTTTGTTTCTTTTCTCTTTTTTTGCACAATTTGACTGACAGACGCATGTTGCCTCTTTTGGTTCTATAGCAAAGTGCATCACTTTTGGTATTTCGATAAGGCAGTAATTTTCTATAGATTGTTGTTCATAGTTATATTTTTTTGTTTTGTTAGTATTCAAAACTTCTTTAAATTCACCTGGACACCATAAGAAATTTGCTTCCATGTTAGTATTACACTCGCCGAGCGGAGGACATGTAGCCCATTTTAACATCTTTTCACAATTACGGTCTATTTGTGATGGTGTATCCTGGAATTCGATTTGCCAACCTTGTGGTTTGAAAGAATTGTCTTTTGGAGTCTGCACAGCATATGCCAGTCCAAATTTGCCTTTGACTTTTGGTTTTTCTGCCTTTCTTCCAAAGCATGTACAACAGGGACAATTGATTGGTCTTTCTTTTTCCAAAGTTTTGCTGTAAGGATCGTTATACTGGTCTTCTCTTCCTACACATTTGCAACAGGGATAATTTAGTTCGTATGTTCTATAATCTTCATCACTATAAGAATCTTCGCTGAATTCAGTTTCATTATGCAATTGACTAAATGGGTGTTGCATTTTGAAGTTATGAAAAGAGCACTGAATAAATTTGGAGAAAATGTCAAATATTACAGATAAAACAAAGCCTACTACTTTTTACCCATTGTAAATTATCATAAATGAAGAGAAAATATAACAATTACTTTATTATATTCTAACTTACCTCTGTGGAATATAGTTCCCTTATAGCAAAGAGGTTTTCCAAACTTCCCAATCCCTTTTTCTCCAGTGCATAGAGCTCGAAAATTTTCAACAGTCTTTGGTACTTTATCTTTAAATAATTCTATTACGACTCTACCAGCTAAAAGTTTTGTCACAAATTGGATTATGCTGGAAACAAATGGTTATTTAGGACGTGCTTACCTTTAGCATCTCCAAATTTGATATCAAAGAAAACATGAAGATTTGTTCTATTTGATAAATTGGCATCTTCCATGACGTAGTTCTGTGTAACAGGTTTCCGCAAAAAGAACCGAATATTTATTAATAGTAATAATAATAACAACAAATGGTAAATAAAAAGCTTTTTTTCACTTTAAAAACATATTGACAACACTCCACATCAAACAAAACGTCAAACACGTTTTAATGACCTTTCGATATTTTATTAATTATATATATATATATATATATAATAATTTTTATTCGATAACGGCAGTCCAGTCAGTGGCAAGACTGGCAAGGCAAGCAATGAACTATATACCGGAAGGAGTCTACCGTGTTTTTTTATGAGTGCGTCCATGGAGCCTAGATAGTATAGTCTCCATGAGTGCGTCTGTGTCAGGAATATAGAAAGGGAAGGCATAAGCGGGAGAGATTTATATCTCTCTTTGTTACATTATTGTTTATGAGAATTTTACTATTTTACTAATACCTAAAGTTCTATATTTTCTGCTGCTAACATTTAAATTTGTATTAATAGTTTACCTTCACATCAATTTCGAAACAAAAATTAAAAAAATCGTTTTAATAGTGTGGCGGCTAACTTCCATTAATAGAGAGTTTTTTACACAACGATAAACTCGAACGGTGGTAACTACTGTCGCACATGCGAAATGCTCTCTCACGTGACTTTATCGTTTACGGTATTCTTCACAGACCACCTAGACTGGCTTATAGAGCGACTTTGGTGAAAACACTTCGGAGCCTGATTTGGTGCCCAGCGCTCAGTCGTGTCCTAGCATTTGACGTGTACGCATCGCTTCCCCCTCGATCCCAAATCATTGAGGCCAATTTCTAGCCATAGAATAATGGCGCGTACGCATCGCTGTGATTTCGATAATTAGACGTTTTATCATGGGCAAGTTTATTGTAAAACTGTGTATAAATACATGTGATCGAGTTGGTGAAGAGAACCGAAAAGTTTTTCCTTCGTTAGGTAAGTAAAAAAAAGGAATATATAAAATGTAAATATGTACGTCATTTTTCGCTTGACGTCACAAGTTTCCAGGGTTAGCTTTATAATTTTGTTCGCCCACATAGTGTAGTGATTAACGTGATATTGTTATTATAAAATAATGAATGAATTATTGTAAAATATTTTTAGTAATTATTTACTTTATGTGAGTCTCAAGTTTTTATGAAATTTTACCAATTCCCGTCATTTCGAGATAGCTGAAAATTAATAAAATAATTTTTTTCAATTGAAAAAATCGCAAACAAAACTAATTTCAAATTCATGTTCACTACCCTGGAAACGGAGAGTTGACAAAATGTGATTAGGAAAAATCAGAGTTTTGTGACAAAACAAATAATTAGCAAGTACATTATAGTATATATTGGCGGTTTTGTAATAATAATACAAGTTCTCTAATAAAGCCAATAAAATGTAAAGACTGTGTAAATAGTTTAATGTCAAATACACAGTATTCGTACAGTCAATTAGTTTTTATTAAAGATCGTGGTTGTTTGAGGTATCCATCGCGAGATGTCGTAGTAATATGCCAAGAAACAGAAAAATTAATAAATTTTTTTAATAACGATGAAAGCAGAACACCTAGGTTACAGAAAAATAAAATTGTTTATCATGTATTAAAAAACTTTCTGAATGCGAACGTATTTGAAAATTTGCATTAACATCAATTTGATAATTTGCCTAACAATTGTAATCATTTAATAGAACTTGTAAGGGCTGAATGTGAAAAGTATATCGATGTACGAATAAATCATGAAGTCAAATTATTTAATTCGGTAAAATCTAAGAAAAGGCAAATATTAAATAAATTAATAATTATTTACAAGACAATAAATATAACGAGCGTTCAAATAAAAACGTGGTCGAAGTTGGCTCTGACACATTGGACGTAGGGAGTAGCTTATAGCCTATAGCGACCAACTTAACCTCATTTCTTAACGAGCTGTATAGCAGCTGTCAGTTTCAATAACGTTAATGACTATATAACATTATTTTAAGGAATAATCGTGATAACAATAACAAACAATTAAAGGAGCTGCGGAAAGTGTCCCCCTCCTTGTTCCAAGCACTTTTCACACCTGTTCCTCAAAGAATTAAAGACATTTTCTAAGATGCTCGGGCTCGGGGTATTGTTAATTTCACGAATCTTGCCTATCTATAAGTCGAGCCTGCAGATGGTTTAAATCAGGAATAGGCAGTTCAAAAATAGTGTTTAAAAGGTAAGGCCACAAAAAGAAATCACACGGCGTAATATCACATGACCTCGGTGGAAATTCATGTTCAGCATTGAGACTTATTAGTCGATTTTGGAAAACTTCCCTCAACATATTCATCGTCTCGCCTGCCGTATGTGCCCTTGCGCCATCTTGTTGAAAGTGTAAAAGTAGTGATGGGAGATTTCGAGTGAAAAATCGAGTGGTACTCGATTATTGAGATCACTCGAGATATCTCGAGATGTTTACTCCCACCACTCGAGTGATTATTACCTTACGGTTGCACCCCAAAATGTTAGTGCATACTGCAAATAGTCACTGATTGCGTAACCTTTTTTTTAGAATAAAACGAAAAAGTGGTTAGGTTTTGAAGTGCGTGAGCTTTTTTTTTTTTAGCTACGCTTATAAGTAATATATGACTAATACAAACATATTTGTGCGCCGCTGGGATGAAAATGACCAATATCTCGTATCTCGAGTGATCACTCGATTATTAGAAGTACTCGATTACCGATAACTCGATTATCAAAATTGGTCGATTATGCCCATCACTAAGTAAAAGTTTGTAATTTCGTTTTCTTCCAGCTGGTTAACAAAAGGAGCGATAATTTATTCTCTATACCTTTGCGCAGTAAGAGTACCATTAAAAAAAATAGGTTCATAAATCCTCCTTCGATTGAGAGCACACCAAACTCGAATTTTTTGAGCGTGTAGACGGCCCTCGACAAAAAAGTTATCTGGTTTTTCAGAAGACCATATTCTCATATTCTGTGAGTTTACGTAACCACTTAAATGAAACCAGGCTTCATCAGAAAAAAAGGTGATAATAATTATGAAGTTCACCGTAGTTGTTTAAAAACCATTCACAAAATACAGCCCGTCGCGGAAAACCAACTTCATGAAGTTCTTGCTGACAAGTTAAACGATTAAAGGAGAACAAACGCAAATCTTTTTTTAACACTGTGTGGCAGGTACCGACTGATACTCCCACCATTTGTGATAAAACACGTACAGAAGTTCTTGGCGCATTTTCCATTATTTGTTGGACATTTTCTTTTAATTCTTCAGTCCGCTTTTTAGGTCGGCCGCTTCCTTCTTTTCTTGTTACACTGCCCGTTTCACGAAAAACATTAACACAACGCTGAACTGCACTTTGAAAAATTTTGTACTCAACAACGCCGGGAAATTGATTTTGAAATTCTATGAAACATTCCTCAATAGAATACTTCCATATTCCATCAATCTTGCGTCCATTTCTAAAGTAGGACTCTATGATAAACACTTTTTGTTCTTGAGAAAACACCATTTTAAACGCTTTTTAAAACGAAAATATTCAAATTGATAACGGCGATATAGCGCTTTGACAGATGACGTTTAAGTTTATTTGCTATACGCTACGCCCTACGTCCAAATTTTCAGAACCAACTTGACCACGTTTTTATTTGAACGCTCGTTATTTAAATTATTTTGTAGTTTTATTTAATATGACACTAAAATATACTAGTTATTTTCTGAATTACAAACTTAAAATTGAATATTTGTCATAAGATGCAATATAATGTTTAATATGTAACAAAAATATTACTTAATCCGGATCTGCTTAAAGATGCGCGCTATCAGGTTGCCTTCCACACTCCACTTCCCCGGATTTTGCATTCACTGGTACCCGTGCATTGGAATTAGATACGGCTAGTCTAGGTGGTCTGTGGTATTCTTAAAACTGATATGCAAAAATTCCCTAATGACAATGAGTGTGAGAGAGACGGAAAGCCCTCTCATGGGCGAGTTGCATATACAGGGTCGGAAAGTCCCCATGGTTCATCGGCCGTTACGTGAGAGCGATAAAGAAAGCCATAGAAATCCGTGCGAAAGAGAAAGATGGCTATAATGAAAGCGTCTAATAGTCACCGCCCATTTCGCCTTTTCACAAATAAGATCCACTTTTCTTATTTGTGGAAGGGCGAAATGGGCGGTGACTATTAGACGCCTAAAACCATACCATAAAATAATTAAGGTAACTGCATTGGAAAACACAATTAGAGTAACCATTAATTCTACTTTAGCTATTACTTAATAGTTCAAGTTAATCATTCAAATTAACGTGAACCATTAACAGCTGTTCCATGACCCATTACTTATGAAACACTTTAATTATCACTTGGTTAAATGAAATGAAATGTGTGACAAATATACAAATTCATTTTGTTATGAATTGGAAAATATTTAAGTATTAAAAAATGTACAGGGAGATTCTTATTATTTTCTAAAGAAACCATTAAAAACTGCAAATTTTAAAGAATTTGAAGGAATTATTTACCTGCCTTTATGTAAAATGCATTGCACAGTGACTTGACAAAAATTATGGTTAGATACATTTGTTTCGAAGTAATTGGTTTTCATCAGTACGATGTAATATACTCATAGCACTTATAGCAAATAACAATTTTAAACATATGCGTTTCGGTTTTTTAAAATGTGGAGGTGAAAAATCATCCTAAATTGAAGTTCGGCAGCTCGTACTCTGAAAATTCTGTAATGTTACGTTAACAAATTGTTTTGCTGAACGTTGGATACTATATCCGAGGATTCCGAGGTGATATTATTACAATTAATAGGTGAACTTGTAGTTGATCCTAAAAATAATGCTGGTACAGCACTTCCTATTACTGTTTTTTTAAACATTTTTTACTCAAAATGGTCTTCACAAAAATAATGATGTTTGTTGGAGTAAATTTTAATTTACATAATTTTCGAACTGATTCTATCTACAGTAATTGTCTGTCTTCTATAATTCTGAAAAAAACTATTTCTATAAAACGTATTATAGATATTCATATAGTAAGAAATGCTTTTGCAATTTAGAGCACAATATTGACTTTTAGTTCTACCAGGTAAACTCATTTTACATAGATAAAAAAAAACGAATAAAAAACAGTAAGGCAGTTCAGACGATTGTTTCAATAAATCCCTTATTATATTAATCTAAAACAAAACAAATTTATTAATGCATAAAACGCGGCAGCCTACCTGAAATCTTGAAGATAAACTATAACCTCAAACCTCAAACAAACATTCTACGTTGATTGAAATATTTCAGTCAACGCATTCTATTTCTGTTGATTGAAAGATTGGAAATACAGATTTGATCTGTAGTTGCAGATTTCTGTTTAACAATTTCTGTAAAAGACAATGTTTTGCTGCACCAACGTGAGATGGCCTCAGTGAATGCATGCTCCGTCCGCCCTATCCAATAAAATCCTCTTATTTATTTACTTATTTATTTACTCTTATGGCTAAAACTTCTAACACAAGAAAATTCAAGCTAACCATGTTAGATGCGGTACGGTTTGCCAAAAAAACTAAGTTTGTGATCCTTTTATTAAGTCGGACTTATACATTTGTTATTAATCAATGATTATAAAAGTAGAGATGCGAAATTTAAAGTGAGATTCTTTAGAGAAAGATAAAAATGAGATAACTGTGCCGGCGAAAATTCAGAAGAAAGGAGCTATGTCAATTTACCGAACTGTAAATGTCGATTAGTTGAGCCACGTTACTTTCATTATACCACACTCGAAAACTGAATGGGGTGTGTCAGATAAAAGAATACGAAATGTAATTTAATTTAGAGTTCTATTGCTCTATAAAAAATCGAAAAAAAATATTTATAATGACTTTCTTTGCATAGATGTAATTAGTAATAGAAAATAACTATTAAGCAGCTGTATATACGGTTTTAGTTTAGTACAAAATTATTTAAGTCCGGTTGTACATCAACCATACGGTTTATGTACAATTCTATATGTTTTGAACATTAATGATTCGCTTTTATCATTTTTAAAGGAAATAAATGTTGTACAATGTTTTACTTGACTGGTACCTAATTATAAATATGAAATCTCTTAGATACACCATTTTCACAGAACTCAAATAACTAAACTGGTGCAATATACAAAAGACTAATAATTTTTCAGGTGTAATCAAGTATATAAAGCTTCATCGTAAATGACACTTGCTATGTTGTTTTTTTACATAAAGTCCATTTTCTTGAAAGGATAGAATGAGAAAAAAAAACTAAAGGCGTAATAGTGAGAAATGTTTATTTCTGCAATTATTCTAAAACAATGATTTATGCATAATAAAATATTTAATAATAAAAAGGAACCCCGAAGTCATATTCTATAGTATGTTTATACACGGAAGTCTACCAGACACCATAGGGTCTGACTTTATATACATATTTAATATATCTTTATATACAATAATTAAACAATAACAAATAAATAAAACAAAATATAATATATTTATGACTTCAGATCTCTAAAATATATGTTATAATAATATGTTTTAGTATTTTGTTAAAAATCAGTGTAAAAATACTTTTTTACATTGATTTTCTATGTATAAATTAATATAAACACTACAAATTGCACCTATACGTACTAATATTTAAAACTTATCACCTAAAATATGTAATGGGCATAAAATAAGTAGAAAAACTACTTCACAGTTCTATCAAGTCACCGTAAAATAACCCTAATTTGTATTTTAAGAGATTCGAAAAGTTTTACTAACATCAATTAAAATTTTCTGAGCGATTAAAGTCGATAGTAATCTATGACAGTTATATGTAAAACTCTCTTCATTTCATAATATATACATAATCGAGATGCTAGATACATAGCTATAAACAGTTATTTAAAACACGATTTTCTTTACGATTCTACTATTTATTTATATACAGTCATTATTGCCGGCTCTTAATTTACTACCACGTCATATTATAAATTATTACAATTACATTTACTACCGAATCAAATTTACAGCATAATACATCCCATTTTCTTTTACTAATATTTTTATCGGATGTTTTCCCCGCGACATGTACAGTTTCACCCGAACGCAACTAAAACTGTAAAATATCTTAATATCTAATAGTCGTTAAAATGAATTTAGTGCAATACAGTGTGTTCCACTTTGAACAGCACCTCTATCATGCTTTGAGACCGATTTTCAAATTTTTCTTTTCAGTATGGAATACTTGATAAGTTCCTACCTCAGCACTTTTGTTTCTACCCTAACTTCATAGCCTACTGTATTAAAAAAACTTTGCCAAAAATTGGAAAATGTTATTCGACAGCACAAGTGAACAGGCAACTTGCATGAAAATTTAATTTTTAATTTAACTGCATGTATTTGTAGTTTATATCGATTGGCAGTGGTAAAAAATGAATTTATTTAATGCTACAGATTATAGATATTTAAAATTATGTAAAAATGTAACTGTCTCTCGGCCATAAACCGTTTAGTATAAAACTTTCATCTAGTCTAAAAAAACGAACATACGAGGAACCTCGAAATAAAGTCGAGCCGTCCTGCCCTGTCACTCGTCTCGATTCTCGATTGCGTTAAACGTCGTCACGAATTAGCGCGGCAACACACCCTTTTAAAACATGTATTTTGCGAGGCCAAATTTTAAAAATTAATTAGTTAATTAACAATCTTTAAGAGATTTCTAATATTTTCACTACAGGATTGTATAATTTCTAGACATCTTAAAAAAATACCTAATACGATTTTCTATTTTTTGGTGAAGTTTTTATTAACACGATAGACCATGAAATTAGGGTAGAAACAAAAGTTTTGTATGGCAAGGTAGATTTCATTGAATAATCCACGCTGTAAAGGAAAATTTGAAAATCGATGTAGTACTTATTGCTTAAAGTGTATCCATTTTTTAAAAGAAATCATTTAAATTTGTATAAAATAAAAAAAGGATTGAAGCATGTAATACATTTGTATCGTTAAAACTGTTCACATCCCAGAATTCAAAGGCTTTACTTCATATATTTTATTTAGTATAACTATTATTTAATACAAGAATATATTTATAAAGTGGTGACCAACAAAATTAAAAGTATGTTTTTAAAACATGATTATGTATTTGCAGTTTTAGGAAATTTTAATCCTTAGGAGCAATCATTATATTAAAAAATTTGGCCCTTTTTAATTATTGCTGTTTACAATTTTTTTAACCGTAAAGCAAAACAAGTTTTAGTATATTATTCTGAAAAGTCAGTTTCAATATATTTCCAATTCAATGGGCTAGAATTGCAGTAATAACACTGAAATGTAACGCATTTGAAACGCATTTTTCTACAAATGTATTCCCTATAATACTGAAAAATCTTATAGGATGTAATTTATAATTAATACAATTAAAGAATAATGCGTATAATGTAAACTTTAATTCATACTTAACAAAGTCAAACTAGCTAATAACATTGCCAAGTACAAGAATGCACGGAGACGGAGATTAACTTTTGTAAACACGAATGATTTTAGGGAGTGTCGCAAAAACGTCGCAAACTATAACTCCCTTATTTTTACCAAAATTCCTACAATCTGGCACTCGTTGCCATTTTTTTTTTCAAAACCTATTTTAACGGCAGGCGATTGTTAATTATTTTCTCAAATGGATCAAAATACGGTATGGTTTAGGTGAGATGACCAACAAACGAACAAACGGTTTAGCTAATTAGTCATCTAAAAACATGTTGTCAGTAAGACATAACCTTCAAAGTAAACGTCATACCTCAAATAACATTGCTACCGAGTGCCTACTACTAGGTATTGCTTTGTACCTACCGATAGAAATGGATCATTCTGTTCCTGTAGGTGCAAAGCAATGCTTTTGTGTCAGTAGGCTTTGAGTAGCAATGAATTAAGATATGTAATTATTTTGTAGGTTATATTTCATCCAAACTTAAAAATCAATTTGTCATATATCATTGGATTTGGAAAAAAAACATTTAACGATACTTTGTTTTTGTTTTTAAGCAGAAAAAAGTTGCGGAGCTACAGCTTGCGATACTTGATGTGTATTTAATTACACTTTTGAAATTAATAAAATACACAATTGGTATGTAAAGGAATAATTCGCAATAATTTTTACCTTTTTAAAATTTCAAGATGCGTACATATTTGTTCAGTAATAATAAAATCATGATATTTCAGATCGAATTTGTTTTTCATTTGACATAAACCTAAGGAAAATATATATTTGCCGATTTGATATAATAAAAGGAGAATTAAATTAAGAAAAATTTTAAAGTTGCTCTAAATCAAAACTAATTTTAATAAGAACTGCTTAAGTTTTGCAGCAAATATTGGATCACAGTATATTTTTAGTGATGTTAATATTTTAGTCTTATATTTATTGATTAGAAAGACAAAGACAGAGGCAGAATCGTCCCCAATCGTTTGCAGCACAAGTTAAAGTGATTTCTTTTTCATAATCTTGTTTTGCATTGAGGATTTTTATAGCCACGAAGACTAGCACCTTGGGGCAGTGCCGGATTAAGGGTCAAAAGGACCAACACATATTACTGTATATTAAAATAATAATAACAACTTTTTTTCAAGTTTTAAAACATTGAGCTAGTGAAAAGTAAAACATAGGATACACATACAGGAGTTTCTTTTGCGTCACAAAATCCGGCATTGCTTTTTTACTTAAATATAACGGTGGAATGAAACGAAAAGATTTCAACCCCTTCAAAAACTACAAATGAAAAATTTTCACCTAATGCTACCCATGTAGATATGGACATGAATTCTATGATTCAAGTATGTGAATATTACTTTCATGAAGACATATTTTGTATAGTTAATGCTTACACGCTTACACAGCTGGGGTGAAAATTAAACTTACTCGAACGCCGCCATTTTGAATACCATTCACAACCTCTAACTCTTCTTACAAACTCCTATATTAACTAAGAAATGTCAGTCAATTAAAATCACTATCATTATAAAAATCTTGAATATTTACACCTTTTCGAATTTATTAATCAGTCGGATTCAGTCCCACCCAGCAGGTTAAAATATTTGTTCGGTACAGACTAGAAATGAAATGGAGCAAATGCCTACACACTAAACGACAACTTTTACTCGCATCCATTCATTTTCGAGGACAAAAGGTTTTAACGTACTGGGCTGTTCCTGTAATCGGTGTGTTAAAGGGCCTTGACCCACGCCGCTGGGACCCACTGCGGCTCCCTCTCTAGGCTATTTATTTCACTAAGTAGCTGGTGGTACGCCCTCTCTGTGTCGTTATTAATTATTATCATGTCGAAGAAGTGTCCATATTTGTCCTCCATCTCCCGCGCCTTTTCTATTATATCTTTCAGTTCCTCCTCCTTAAGAAATAAATAACGGTCAAACTAAGCTAGTTGAACACCTCCATATACAAGGTGTCCGCCATGTTAGTGCCGTATGTTCAATACATGATCAAAATAAAAAAGTTCTGTATGCGGATTTTAAAAATTCAACGTTTTTAAGGAAAAAAACAGGCGTCGGATTTCGACCTAATAGATTTTTTTAATTTTTGTTCAAGGATCAACTTGCTACGAATCTGATAAACAATTATTCTAAACTTGTTAGATAAAAGAAATTGTTTATATGATCTCAGACATTTTTGATTGAAAAAATAATTGAAAACTGATTTTTGCTTCCAAATAGCGAGTTGAAGAAAGCAGATATATTGATCATAATAAATAAAAAGTTTTTAATTACGTGTTAAATGATATTCAATATTCAATTAATTATTCTGTTTTAGTAGTTTAGATTTTAAATTGTTATCACCAGTTTTCAGGCAGTCAGTTGATTAGAAAGTGGTTATTTGTATTAGTGTCACTGGTCAATAAATTTTTGTCTAATATTCTGTTTATGTTACTTTGCTTTTATCGTTACAATTTCGCTACTCGAGTAGCAAATTTCAGAATCATTTCGATCCCGTGTACCTATTTACTACTTTTTCTTCTAGTCCAAAAATAAACAGAATGTGTAGGAGATGGAAGGAATAAAATGACAGAAAGTTTGACAGTTATAGTTGTTACGGTCTCAATTGGAACCGCATAAAAACTCATAAATTCTACGGAATCCATAGACGTCCAGAAAAATTTTGTCCTGTCTCATCTAGATATACTATATTCCGAGCTATATTACGATATAATTACCATACGATTGTCAATTTTTTTATGTTTAAAATGGCATTGTAATAAAACATTTCGTAAAATATCTAAATTTATCTAGAATCATGTTTAAAGTAGGAACTTTATTTTCTTTATACATACCTATTATAAACTGTGCGCCGCATTACATCTGGTAAAATCGTCAATTTTCTTTAATTTTATATTTTTCCGTTTCCTCTTTGTACCGTGATCAATCCTTCTTTCATTACGGGATAAATTGTCGTTTTTGTTATCTTAGTTAATTCATATATATATTTAATATACTACGTTGACTTTTTACGTGTAAATCTTTGTTTTTAAACTCCGAGTTTGTTTCGTTACTTTTGACAAACACCGGTTCCAGAATTAGGAGATTTTCCCGAGTTATTTCGTTATCCTCCGCTTCAAAGAGTCTCCAGAAAGCCACGCTAAATTACTAGATAATTACATATAACATTTATTTTAATAACTATTACCCTTTACTGGTTACGATATGAACAAATAATAAAATCAACTAATAAATAATAAAAGCGGCAAAGCCAAGTGAACCCGTGTACCATACAAAAAAATGATTTACGACCTAGTGGACCAATACAGATTTGCTTTGATGACCAACGCGCCGCCGTCAATTCTACATCAGGACTAGTTTACCAATACCGGACTCGCCGAATTGCTATTCGAGTATAAATTACGAGACACATCATGGTCAAAGCATAGGAAGAAATTTCAGGAGAAGTGCATGTGCATTAAGATTTACAGGTTCCAATTGACATCGTAACAACTATAAAAGTAAAATGGATTATGATTGTTAATTCTATACCTGTTTGTAATAATGTCGTAAATATACTTTTTATATTTAACTTTGAATTATAATCTATATATATTTATTATTAACGCTACAATACCTAATGTATATAAAAGAGCTGGGATTTCCATATGTCGCATAAGGCTTTAATTGATATTCTATTACATATTAAACATGCAGCACTTAAACCGCGGACGCTCTGTATAATAAATTATATGGATCTCACCTTGTACGACTCCGCGTTCCTTATTTTCTTCTGCCTCAATTTTTCCAGACTAGGCGGGGCTACGAAAACGACGTATGGCTTCAAATCCGACGTCCTAAGTATCTTCAGACTTTGTGGATGTAAGTTAAGAACACATATTTTGCCGGAATTCACGACTGATCTGATGGCGTCCAGCGACGTACCGTAATACGCTTTCTCGTATTCTCCATGTTCCACGAACTTCCTGGAAAGAATATCAGCTTCGAATTGAGCTCTGGTAATAAAATGATAGTCCTGGCCATCCACCTCGTTCTCTTTTCGAGCACGCGAAGTGTCTGAAATACATTTAACCGTTAATTGATCCGATTTAAGAAAATCAACTTTACTTACGAGGTATGGCAGCAGCGAATCGTTCGGAATCCTCCATAAGCCTCTGCCTAAGTTCGTGCCTTCCTATATTTGGGGGCCCGATCAAAACTATAGGCCTCTTGTTGTTGGCCCTGGGGTAATACAGCGAAACCTCTTCGTATGTTAATATTTCTTCGGCGTCGTACTCGTCGGCTGCGTTTGAGTACATCGGGTATCCACCGTCGGCGTACGCGCCTTTTTTCTTCTTTCTCTTGTTCGTTTTTCCACACAATAACGTTGTGGATTTCCTTTGAGGCTTGGACATCCTTTCTTCCGCTGCTAAACGCATGCTTTCTCTTTGGTGTTGGAATGATTGTGATGGTACCAAACCTGAAGCATTTAAAAATTATTACGGCCTGTAGCTTTCTTAACATTCCTGGAAACTTATAGCGAGGGATATTGGATGGTTATGCTTCTAAAAAGTTCCTATCGCCTTTGTTTATTGTATAAATAAGAGAGGCAGGGATTTTTTGGGAGTGTTGTCATCCATACTCTAGGTCCAAAATAGTAGGCAGTGATCTGAGTGATTACGATGTCAATATAATATTGACATGTATTGGCATTGTATGCCTACGCGTATGTGGTGAAGTTACTAAGAAACAAGACTGACAGCATCATGGCATATACTGTATGAAAATACAACTTTCTGGCATTTTTCTAATAATCCTGAGCTGTTGCAGCCTAAACATCTTCACAACATTCATTTTATTATACAAAATCGTCAACGTTTCTTCACACTTGACAAAATATTTAAGTTACCTACGTTCACGCTTAGACTTTGCGTACTTCAAACTGACTTTTTAAACACATGTAAATGTGTAAATTATTAATTTAACTCGTTTATATAATTTGTAACAACTACTTCTGTCAAAATGAAAGTGTAGTTCCTTGCTTACGTCATGCGTAAATAGCACTACAAGTACCTATACTCAGTGACTCATTCTGAAGATGTCGGCTGCGCGACAGCTAAGTTGTGAGGTTAAAAAGTGTTATTATTCGATGATCAATTCTGGTGTCAAATTTGTGCTCAGCAAAAAACATAATATTGAAATGCTACAATTCTATATAATTTGAACGTAACAAATCTTTTGACGCAAGTTTTCGTGGCTAGGATGGAATTCTAACCTATGTTTAGGAGTGCGTGCGTCCACATTACAGACACGGTTCTTTCTCGTAAAGTCAGTTACATTTTAATGAAAAATAAGCACAATTTTTTGCAATTTTTGAAGTAAAAAATAAGTACTGACATGATGGGGAAATTCTTGTTAGTATCGTAATCAACAGCTTAAAATAGTGGTAAGTGAGTCTAAATTACCGAACACAAAACTTTTTTTATTTTATGTGTGTGTTATTATTAGATTGGCCACTAAACACCAGCATACGATTCTATACTATTTGACAAAAAGAATGCATCATCCAGTAAAAGTGTATATTTTTTCACCAAATTTTCTACATGTGTTTATGGTGTTAAGAATAACAATTGGTAACATTTTCATTGGGAAAATCGCATCCTATAGAGTCTAAATTCAGTAATGGGTTGTCCACCATTTAAATAAATACATAAATACGGTTCGCCTGGGTATGCTTCTAATGAGGTGATCTATAGAGCTCTGAGGAAGGTCATCCCAAGCAGCTTGTAGAGCATCATGCAGTTGTTATAAGTTCATTGGACGGTTTGGAAGCATTTCTAATCCCATCATATTCCAGACATGTTCGATGGACCAAAGGTCACGCGAACGTGCGAGCCATGGGAGAATATTGATGTTGGCCTCTTCCAAGAACTGTAATGTAACCGCTGCAATATAAGGGCGAGCGTTATCTTGTTGGAACGTGACATTATTTAATCTTTGATTGTGTGGTATGGCAAAAGGTTCCAGAACTTCATTAATGTATCTTTGGGCATTCAATTGGCCTTGGAGAAATACTAGAGGAGTTCTGCTACCTATCCTGATTCCACTTCACACCAGTAATCCTGTTCCAGGTTTCACGGCAAACTCCAAGAACCGCCTTTCTCCCCTTCGACGCCTGACTCGTCTCCTACCGTCGAGGGCCCATAGGCAAAATCTAGATTCGTCAATTTGCCCGTGCATTGCACCATTCTAAGGGCACGATGACGAATGGTTAGAGGGAGATATGACATTAGACCATAGAAACAAATACGGCGATTACGGAAAGTATTGTGATTCTATGGCCTATCTCTCTCAAAAAAATGTTTCCTATAGATCTGGAGGTACTATGCCGATCCCTAAGGGCAAGCAGTCTCAATCTCCTGTCTTCTCGATCTGTCGTTCTTCTAGGTCCTCCAGAGCCTCTCCTGTGATGTTACATATTATCTACTGATCAGCTTCTTTAACAAATAATAATTTTTGCAACATTTTTTCAATCCGTCTACCGATTTCGCAAAAACCAATTCCTGCCTCATGTAGGCGAATAATACGACCCTTTTCAAAATCACTCAGTTGATGATAATTCTGCTGTCTTCTAACACTGGGCATTTTATCACTATAGCCTAGAACTGATTCACTATAGAGTTTGGGTTTAAAATATTGACCTCAACAGGGTGATGCTTTTTTTTTGTCTTAGTATATTTTTAACAACACTTACTGGAATAGCTAAAATGTGAAAATACTAACATGTCTTCTTCTCTTGTATGCTTATGACATGCACTGAGAGGTATCAGTTAAAAAGTGACACACTGAAGTTGAACAATACAGGATCAATCATCTCTCTTTTTGTACACGATAAGTAAAGACAGAAGTAGATGCTTGAAACAATAAAACCTTCCAAGAGCGCGCGTGCGCGGATTGAACATATCGGAACACTGTGCGAAATGAACCGCACATTACAAATTTTCATGCAAAGAATACCTCTACATAAAATTATTTTATCAGTAAATCAGTAAAAATTGTGGCTATAACTGTACAAATAGTAGGTATTATTTTGGTTCTGAAGTTTCGTACACTTAACTACCCTATCATCAGAATAGTTTTAAAACAGTTTACATACCTGCCAGCGTCTGGTCTTCCTCCCCCTCCCGATATGCCTGCCACCAGTTCGGGTCCTCTTGGCTAATGATATGCAAAACGTCGCCTTTCTGGAAGCCTATCCCCAGCTCTCTGCACGGTATGTACATGTCTTCTTCGGGATCGTAGTCGAAATGCGCCCGCACGTGCAAGACAGTGTCTCTGATACCGTGCTGTCGGGCTTGCGAGGCAGGTACGATGAGGAATGTTAAGGTGCCTTCCATGGCTTGTAAAATATCACAGACTGCGTTCACGCTTTTTCCGCGCATCTCGATGCCGTTCACTTCGAGGATCTCGTCGCCCTCGTGGAGGAGTCCGCTCTTGTCGGCCGCCCCTCCTCTCACCACCCTCCCTGGAAGAAGATGGCGTTAGGAACATTGCGATTCTCACGAAATCAGAAAGTATAAGAAAACAGTTTTCACGAATTTATTGAAATTCATTAAACTTTATTTTGCGAACTACCTATTACAACGGCATCTCCCTCGTTCCTAACCGTGGCACCTAGTGGTTCAGTACTCTTCTCGATTTTGATGATTTTTATGTTGTCTTCGCCGTATCGTCTGTCTGCTACCGACTGCGGTATACTGTCCGCTGTAGAAGACGTCGGGGTCGTGGAATCCGCCGGCAACGTCGAGGCAACTCCGTCATGTGCAACCATAAGAGCCTCGAACTCGTAACCTGAAAAATAATGTATTCAAATAGTCTAAATTAAAGATGCTTGGGACAATTGCCACCTATAATAGACTAGGCGGTATCTGTTTTGGTTTGGGTGAATCGTATATCCACGGAGATTTTTGGCTTTTTGGCTTTCAAATATCACTAGAAATGAAAATTTTTCTATGCGCATAAAAGAAACGTGGGCTTAACTTTTGGCGGCATAATATGTTAAAAAAATTCGAAAAATGTCATATTTTTCTTCCTATTTAATTATGTATCTTTTCAAGATGAGGAAAAAATGTTTGTAATTAAATTTTTTACAAAACATGACTAGTTACAAATCGAATGAATCATGATTATTATGGTAAAAATTGAAAAAATCGCAAAAATGGGGTTAAAAACAATACTTTTTAGGGAATTTTTTTGGGGTATTTAAATTGGGTATAGGTCCTTTATACTTGGCACAAGAAGACTTCATGTTATGTAGAATCTTCACACCAAATTTCTTCAAAATCGGTTCGATAGATTTTGCATAATAATTTTGCAATCCAGATTTTGAAAAAAAAATTGCAAATTTTCTAAATTTGGCACAGTAAAAACCAAGGCCCTTAGATACTTGAAAATTTAATGACATATAGAAGGGCTCTTAAGCTTTCAAACTTTTTTTGAAAAATTCGAATCCGTCAATTAGGAGAGCTCCGGCTCTTGTTTAAACATTGGTCGAATTTTTGTACTTATAAACAATTAGAATAACTTTGTGAATATTAAATCAAATATAATTTTTTAAGCAGGTTTTAAAAGTTCTTGGAAAACCGCTTCTTTAAAAAAAACAGATCGATTGATCAATTAGTTACGTAGTTATAGCGGATCAAAGTTAATCGTCATTTACATTAAATGTACTGGGACATCCCGGCAAATTTTTCGAAAAATACCTTTGGTATTCCGAGTACTTACCAGGTCTAAGATTACAATACTTTTCTTCATTGGCAACCTACTTTAAAACGTGTTTAAAATTATTTATGCAAGCGAGAAATTCAAGAAAATCGTACGGGCGGCGGTGGTGGGGGAAGCAGAGTGCGCGGCCTCTTCGGCCTGCTCGAAATTGAATCGGCGAGTTCAAAACTGCGACGCGCTTAAAAATTTTTAGTATCTCAGCTTCTAGAGGTCCGATTTTGATGATTTTTTTTTAAATCGATATCTCGCGATTAAAAAAAATGCCTATCGTTAATTATTATTGGTCTTTCAACAGTCCCATAATTATTTATCTTTAAACTTCCTTTAATTATCAACTTTATTTTTTATTGTATCAAAGGTAAGTATATAGTATATACTACTACTGTACTACTACTGTAAACAAACAGTATATAGCTATATACTGTTTTTATTTATTTAAATATTCTAATAGCTATTTATGATATACGTGTTAAAAGTAAGATTTTATTTTGCGAGTGAAGATGATTAAAAAATGAGCGTAGCGAGTTTTTTAACTTCACGAACAAAATAAAATCACTTTTAACACGTATATCATACATTATTTTTTCTACAAAATTGTTAAAAGTGGGCTTTTTAATTGTCATTTTTGATGTTAAAAATGTCATTTTTTGACACGCGTGTTAAAAGTAAGTTACTTTTAACACTAGTGTTAAAACAACAATTACTTTCCAAATATGTCCAAAATTAATATTAAAATATAAGCAAATGAGAAATTAACTCAATATATTACAAATATACAAAATTATAGTACAAAAATTCGATCAATGTTTAAATAAGCGCCAGAGCTCTCCTAATTGACGGATTCGAATTTTTCAAAAAAAGTTTGAAAGTTTGAAAGCCCTTCTATTTGTCATTAAATTTTCAAGTATCTAAGGGCCTTGGTTTTTGCTGTGCAAAATTTTGAAAATTTGCATTTTTTTTTTCAAAATCTGGATTGCAAAATTATTATGCAAAATCTATCGAACCGATTTTGTTGAAATTTGCTGTGAAGATTCTACATAACATGAAGTCTTCTTGAGCCAAGTATAAAGGTCCTATACCCAATTTAAATACCCAAAAAAAATTCCCTAAAAACCCCATTTTTGCGATTTTTTCGATTTTTACCATAATAATCATGATTCATTCGATTTGTAACTAGCCATGTCCTGTAAAAAATTTAATTACAAACATTTTTTTCCTCTTCCATTTTCGCCTAAAAACAACTCTTGAAAAGATTAAATTAAATAGAAAGAAAAATATGAAATTTTTCGATTTTTTTTAACATATTGTCCGCCAAAAGTTAAGCCCACGTTTTTTTTGCGCATGGAAAAATTGTCATTTCTAGTGATATTTGAAAGCCAAAAAGCCAAAAATCTCTGTGGATATGCGATTCACCCAAATATGGCTTTTTGAAACAGATACCGTCTGGACTATAATAACGAGCGTTCAAATAAAAACGTGGTCGAAGTTGGCTCTGACACATTGGAAGTAGGGCGTAGCTTATAGCGACCAACTTAACCTCATTTCTCAACGAGCTGTATAGCAGCTGTCAGTTGCAATAACAAAGCGGCGATACAGCGCTTTGACAGATGACGTTTAAGTTCATTTGCTACGCCCTACGTCCAAATTTTCAGAACCAACCCGACCACGTTTTTATTTGAACGCTCGTTATAAAGCTTCACAATGCGTGATTATTTGATGGCATCACAACTAGTGGTTTCGTTAGTATTTTACCGTAAATGACAGACTTAATTTCTGTGCATACGTCTTTATAATAATGCTTTGCGTCATTTCCATCCAAGGTAGCTATCATCGACGTTTGGCTTATGCGTTTCCGGACGCTCTGTATATTACATAGATTCTAGTTTTAGAGAAAAAATGAAAATTTTCATTAGGTATACCACAATAGGTACATCGTAAAAAACCTAACCTCAATAAAGTTGTCACCAAATTTTAAAACATTAAGCTGTTCTTTTTTGAAAAAGATATGGCTAAAATTAAATTAAAAAAAAATTCTTTATTTTTCAAAATGTTCTATAAGTCCCTAAAGTGGTATCCTTCCAAAATTTTCGTATATATTATTTATCGTTTTATTTCTTTACCAAGAGACATGCCACCACTGACGTGACGTCACACGCAAAGCCTTGGGGTTTTATAATTTATAGGTAATTTTGCGAATTAAAAAACACGATTATGGTGGAATTACCTGTTAAAAGAGTGGCCAATTCCACTGCGTATGTACTCTGAGAGTTTCCTATGGCGTCCAGACAGTCCCTGAGCGCTGTCTGGGCTATGGGGGTAGGTCGTGGAGTTGTTCGACATCGCACCGCCTGCACTTTGTTGTACACGGCCAAAGCCCTGCCGAACTGCGGCGACAGCAACAGGGATTGAATGGCGGCAATGCGACCTTCTAGTCCGCCTAAGCCGCCTCCAGCACCGGCTTTCTTCAGCTGAAGCTGCAGCCGCTGTACTGAGGCCACAAGGTCGCCGTAAGCTGCAAACGAGGATGGCTTTTTATTACATTCTACTCAGTTCTATAATATTTGATAATAACTGTACTGTTCTTTTAAAAAATCTAACGATCCAACTCGAGAAGGGGACTGAAGAAAAACCTGGGCCTCCCATGCATGCGCTATTGACTTAGTTTAGGGGAGAATTAATGATGTTGTATGTAATAAAAGTACGTGTTTGAAGGAGATCAGTACAGAACACATTTTACCCCCTTTCGCTGGCAACAAAACGATACTTGTTATTGCATTTTAATTTCTTTGACACAAGTAAATTATTTTGAAATTTGTGGTGACGCCACTGACTTCGCACGCAATTATCAAACTCTAATTGTTATTAATTATTTTTTAGACTTCTTTAAATAAATTAACATTTGGTGTTACTTTTTTGACACAAGTAAATTATTTTGAAATTTGTGGTGACGCCACTGACTTATCATACTTTAATTGTTATTAATTATTGTTTAGACTTCTTTGAATAAAATAATATTTGGTGGTACTTTTTTTTGTAGTCACAATTTGCTCTTGGTGCATCCTGACATAATAGACAAGTTTTGAGAGTAGTTTCCAAATTTTATGCTGAATACGAACACCAGAAATATAGTTTTTCCGATCTTAATTGAAGAACCAAGAGATTAGCAGTATGTACCAGGTTACGTCGCTGACGCAGTAACTCGGCACTGAAATACTTGAAAAACTTGTTCCCATATTTATTTAGCCATACCCATATACAGGTCTGGTCGAACTAAAAGGTGGTAGAAATGTATACGCCCAATTGACGAATGCAAACGGCGTATAACACAACTGCACTGGGCGAGTGGGCAATAAATCTCAGTTGTTGACAAGTGGTTCACAAATTGTCTAGCGGTGCAGTGCAGCAATGCAAAATTTGGTGTGATTCAGGTAGTTTTAATTTATTTTAGGCACCTAGCATTTTGCATACCTTTTGAAACGGAACAAAACGAAATTTACCATCAGTAAAATTGTTTGAGGACATAAATAATTAAAATATGTTGTTCGCCAAATGCACATATAGAAATATTCTACACATTATATACAAATTATTATAGTTTTTTTTACCTTTAGTAGAAAACTTTTTATAGGGACGCCTATGAAACTCATTAAATTTTATTGCTAGGCGTTTTTATACATCAACTGACTTCGGAAAGTCTATAAGTGCAGCTTGTGCAACTAATAGTAAACAGTTTACTTTTATTTTAACAAAAAATTAAAGTGGTTACGTACATAAAATAGCCTTGAAATTTAGATTTGAAATTTTTCGACTTTTGGTCCTTCTAAAACGATAAACTGATTTATGGTATATTAAGTATCGTTATTAAAATATTCATCGTTGCCTGACCTATTTACGAACAACAAATTGTTTACTACTCTAATCCCCAATACGAATTAGAATTTAGCCTTAAATATTCAGGACAAACACCGAATGTTTTGTTCTTTAAAATACCATAATTCTATGTTTAATTCCTCCTTTCATTAATCGACGTGTAGTAAACACTCATTAAAACTCCATAATACCTCAGAAAATACATATTATCCTTGGAACTTGTTTACAAGTAATTATATATGTGAAGCAGTGGCGTATACAAGGGGCAGGGGTTCCTTACACTTTCTTTAGAACGACAAATGAATGTATCCGCTTAATTGTACCTAATATCTAATATTTCAATTAGTTGAGTAAAGCCACTCCACTTTTTGGATTGTGTACGTTACTGGTTGCAGCTATAGAAATGTGTATGTCATGTATGAATTAATGTATATCACTCACTTAGCATCCTTGATTTGTACTAGTTTTTGTCATAATTATTGTGTAATAATTCACAATAACAATCTACGAGTAAATTGAACTTGTTTGAAAGAAATGTGGTTAAAGTGAAAAGTATACAGGTCGTTCAAGAGATGTAAGTGTACTATACAGGATGTTCCATAACTAATGGAACACAGAGTGAATTTGGAATACCAAAATATTAAGAAGATTTTATAAGAAAAACAAAGGGGGTTTATAAAGATATTTATTTGAAAATTGTCAGAAAAATGTAGAAGGTAATTACTTACTACAGTAGAAACCGCTCAGAGTCTTATAAAACCTGAAGTTACTTTAGTGAGGCCGAATTTAGTTTTCGAGATTTTTTTTTTTATTTTTAACCCATTACTTTACATAACACTCGAAGTATTTTATTTAGGGCCAAATTATTAAAGCAAGTTTATCTTACAGTTAACTAACTGGAAGATTAGAATGTGTTGGTATTGGTACGTTTTAATTGGAACAAATCACATTCTAAGGTTATAGTTACCTGTAAGTTAAACTTACTTTAATAATTTGGCCCTTAGTGCGTTATTATTACTTGGTATTTAATATTTGTCATGCTCTGAATTTCCTTCTAATTCATTTGTTAGTTACCCTCTGAAATAAGGCTACTAAGGACCGTAAAATTTCGAGCGGCAACAATTGGATTAAAAATAGGTAATGAATTTTCGAAACCGAAACGAAATTTGGTCAGGATATAGATAATACAATGTGAAACATCGCCTTACTGGTAAAAATGTTGTCACTGCCGTTCTTGGTGGGGAAAATTCGAAATATTTGGATGTATTCAATTTTCGTGGCTGAAAACATACATAGGTATTGTATTTCCGAAACTGAGAGTGTTGCACTAACCAAATTTGGTCAGGACATAGCTAATACAATGCGAAACACCGCCTTACTGGTCAAAATGTTGTCACCCCGTTCTTGGCGGGGAAAATTCAAAAAAAAATATTTGGATTTATTCAAATTTCGTGGCTGAAAACATACATAAGTATTGAATTTTCGAAACCGAGAGAGTTGCACTAACTAAATTTGCTAATACAATGCGAATCATCGCCTTACTGGTAAAAATGTTGTCATCGCCGTTCTTAGTGAACGTTAGAAATATTTGGATTTATTTAATTTTTGTGGCTGATATCTGCTGAAAAGTAATATAAATATTTATAGCCATTTGTACCTATGTTCATTTGATGATCAGATTTTAACACGAATAGCTTATTAGGAAATCAGGATCGAGTCGCTTATTATTGATAGTTACAATCATAAATAAAAGTTGTCACTTTCGCTTAGTTTTAGGTCTGTTGGTTGGAAACACAGACTGACAAATTATACCTGATCTTCTAAACCAAAAAACAGATTATACTTTCCTGAAGGTTTTCGATGTACTAAATTTGACCTAGGAGTGTGATAAACACGATTTTCCACTATATTCGAAGATATGTTTCATCACGAGGTAATTTTACTCCACAAAGCTCTTTATGGTATCTAAAAGTACTACCCCCTTCGTTAAAATTCATTTTTTTTATCAAAATCATTGCATTAGGTAAGTACATGGCAAAATTTATGTCCATATTTTCTTCTAGAAGTTTTGTATAGTATTCGATAAAATTTTATTTATACCTTAATCTAATATTTTTTAATTCCATCATATTGGATCCGCCATTTTGAATTCAGTATTTCTGATTAAATTTTCGAAAATTGACGAATACGAGAATCAGTTTAAACAGGCCATTTTTGGAAGCGGAAATAAAATATTTGAAGAATTCAAAATGAATTTTGAAGGAGAAGAGTAGTACTTCCGCAATGAGTTGTGTGGGGAAAATTACCTCGTGATGTAATATAACCCTAAATCTTGTTTTTCACATATTTAGGTTACGATACTTCGAAAACCTAAAGTAATGGAGAAAACCTAAAGTAATGAAAAATGAGGATAGATTCGGAGTCATCGCGTAGAAAACCTTCGGAAAAGTATAGTTCAGTGTCTAGTTCAAATTTTGTCAGTTTGTGTAATTTATTCTAAATCGTAAAATATAAATATAAATACACAGGGTGTTCTGAAAGTCTGTCAGGAAACTCCGGTAGGTGATTCTACAGATTAAAATAATAGCAGTATGTAATGACGATGTTTTTCGAATTCTCAATTCTTTGCAAATTACATCTTGTCAAAATTCAATTTTTTAATTTTTCTATTTAAATAACTTAATTAATTCAAGATCTATTAGTCTCTAATTTGGCACACCCACTAAGTAGATGAAGCTCTATTGGACCAGTCAGAGAAAAGTTCCATTATGCACCGCTAGAGGGCACTTTAGCTGGAACTCAAAATTTGTTTTGTTCATAACTTTTTTCTCTTGCTAGACATCACAGAAATTTAAACATTATTGAAAACAGAAACAATATCAGAGAAAATTATGACTCTTTGTTCAAGCCGATAAATGTAACCGTTTACCAGGAAATCGCTATTAATGTGTCATTAAACATTTAATTTTTGATAATTCTTTCTGTAATTAATCAAGTTGCCATGCTTCAAATAAATATCAATAGTAATTTTGGTGTTACGCATTGTAATAAAAATTGTTTAAAGCAGGTAGGTTCGATTTTTCACCATAATAATTTTTTTTGGCTCTGTAATAACGTTGTGAAAAAATAAGCTGAGGATAATGAATTTACTAATAATATTTTATTTACTAACGAAGCTGGTTTTACAGCATGGCAACTTGATTAATTGCAGAAAGAACGATCAAAAATTGATGTTTAATAACACTTTAATAGCGTCAATATCCTTCAGTCAATCCGTCAATATCAGACAACTTAGATTAGAGTTTGAGATTTGTTCTGTAGAAAGTGCAGAAGTAGTAGTTTCTTAATGCGCCTGTTTCGGACAATCGGAAAATATTGGAGATAGCTTTCAGAAACTAACTTAATACGTACGACCCGCCAAAAACGTTGACTTTTGAATTTAAACCGTCATATACGGCGCGTTTCAAAATTTTGCTTCGACGAGTCGACGTACTTTCTCCTCTAGCTGTGTCGGCGTGAAAAGAGAGCTGTTTGTATGCACGCGTGGCCATCGACTATAACGAAGCAGCAATACATTAAATTCCAACACAAAGGGCGTCCGGTATGCCCGGAAATAGAAGAGCGATCGTCGCATAGTTATGCATACGCCGATATACACCGATAGGGCAGGTCATCTCATTCGAATGCGGACGGGGCGCCCGAAAATATTCGCGAAGCCCCGTTTTAATCCACCTCTGGATAGGACCGGTCGTTGGTTTATGATTATTAATATTTGCCATGGATGTATCTATTGTTCGAAATTATGTAAAGTTATATACATGTCCGTATTTAGTGCCAGTGGTGGGTTAATTTTGATGCGAATTGTATACAGGATGATTTATAACTTCATATCACCAGAACCGCTATAATTAAATATAGATTTCCAGTAAAAATAAACCTACCTCTATCCTAAGTTGCTTCAGTTAGACGCTAGAGGATATAAAAGTTGACAAAAATACATGTTTTTTTTTTCAAATGACTGACACGAAATAATTCTGTTATCTATGTTTACTCTATCATAAAGTGACAACTATATGGAAGTACTAGTGTACCAAATTTCAATAAAGTTTCAAAGTTATTTGAAGAAAACGAAGCAAGTTAGGTTAGAGGTAAGTTTAGTTAAAACTTCTTACTTAGATTGCTGGAAACTATGGTAGCTCCATGTATTTATGATTGTAGCTGGATGACATTTTGTTTATTAAAATGTATCTTAAGTTTCTTTACGCGCCCCCTCAGATAGTTTCATCCGAGTTTGATTCGACAAATGCCTGTTTATTCAGTATCACTGTGGTTTTCATAGAGCTTTTATCACCGAGGTTTATTGTTTACATCAGTCTTACAAATGCTGCCAAAGTGCTTCTAGAATCGACGTCTTAACACTACATATTTTTTTGGAAACAGACATGAAGGAGCAATTTTTTTTTAATTATTTCTCATACGGTTTTTATTGGCTTTAATTAAAGTCTATTAGCTACCATAAACACAATTACGTAGAATTATATCCAAAGAAAACAAGGAAATTTACCTGAAAACTCCACACAGTGTGTGTAGTGTTAAAATTTTTTTCAATTCTTTGGATGTAGTCATGAGTTACTTTTTATCAATATCTCCTGAAAAAATTAGTACATACGAGTATCATCTGTATCTAAGAAGATAATTATAAATAGTAAAAATTACGTTATAATAACGGATCTCAAATTAACTATTATGGGAAACAAATTGGTACCTCTAACAGTTAAGGCAATTTCAGTTTTATGCGTCTTCTAAACTTGATTATGGTTCACTTCATACATTTTATAACAAATTAAGATGTATCTTAATCTAACTGCCAAAGTTTACAGGTTATTGGACACATTAAGAGACACTTATTTAATATTGTTGCTTCAGTCATGGTAAAGTTATTTTTGCTGCTCCATGTTGAAAAAAAAAACACTGCCAACAGCGTAGACAATATGTGTACAGATCGTACATTTACTTACCGTATGCGATATGCACCAGTTCTTTTTCTGCGCTAGGCGCAGGAGTGGTCGACCTGGAGGACTCCTGCCCTTCATCTTCAGCGAAGGCATCATTTACGGTGCCTTGCGGTCTGCTTTCTAGGGCTTGGAGCTTTCGGGAGCCCCTCAGGGACCTGTTCAGGAACTCGGTTTGGGCGGCTATCCTATCTTCTTCTTCCTTGCGTTTCCTGATTTGCTCCTAGAAGAAAAGGGAACATTTATATCTATTTTTAAGTCCTCTCAGCTGGGTGAGTCACTGGCTGAGGAATATTTGAGAAGATATCAAAGAATGGTCGAACAAGCTACCTCAGTTTTCAATCATTCAAAATTTGGAAGGAAAGAAGGTTTTTTATAGGATGTATACTAAATTTTAACCAAAATATTTTCTCAATTTGTAGGAAAATTTTCCAATTTGCGAAGATTTATATATACCTACCACCATTTCCTATTTTTTTTGCCAATATCTCCAACGTAAATATTTTGTTTCAAACATTATACAGTGGGTACCATAAAATTTGCACCAAATGGGGGACATTTTTATTAGTGATTACAGAAAAAAAAGTAAGTTATTCATCTAATAACGATTGCTTGCCTGAAATCCACATAAGTGCAATTAGGAGAAAATTACATTATTTTAATATGCTAAATTAATAAAAATGGTAAATTTATCGAAAAATATATGATATATCTAACTAAATTCTAAGTTTATCATTATTCTAAGATTATCATTATTATGAGAGTTAATATTGATAATTAAAAAATACATAAAAAACTTAAGATAAAAATGAAAGTAGAATCATTAAAAAAAGTAAAAAACTTTATTTAAATTTAGTCAAAATAAATGAAACCATCAAGATTTGAACAATAAATCTCTATATTTTCTGAAAAATTATTTTTATTTATAAAATAAAATTTTATTTATTTATAAAAATAAATAAATAAAATTTATTTTTTGTTTATATCTCCGGAATCTATTAACCGATCTCAATAAAATTTAGTACAGATAATGTATGATAGTAGGCCTTATATCCCCTAAAATATGAGCACTAAAGGTTTAACCAGTGGTGTACAAGTGGACATGGTTACCCCCTCTTTTATAAAAAAAACCTACGCCACTGTATTTTTTATAAGCTATTATAACGGATTTATATTCTAATGCACAAAATACGTAAAAATGGTCACTTGAATATTTCCCCTAAAGTTCACCGTTCTCAAGTTATTCATACCAATACAATCCCCTTGTGGCAGACAATTCCAACCATAATATTACAAGAATATTTACGTTTATGTTTAAAAGGAAATCCAATTTGTAAGCATATCAACGAAATTCTTTACACTCGTCGCTTTCATCTTTTTGAAATAAAACGATATTTGGAAAATCATGACGGAGCAATGAAAAGTACAGAAATGAAATTTTAAGAGCATTTGACGGCGATCTTCGGCTAAGTACACGTAGAACGTCTCGGCAACTTGGAGTGAGTAAATAAAAAATTTGAAAAGTTCTACATAAGGATGGCAGAAATCCGTACCATTTACAACCCGTGCAAAATTTACTTCCGGGAGATGTAGAGAGACGCCTGAATTTTTATCAGTGGTTGTAAGAATTCTTACTAGAAATACTTTGGACCGATGAGGCTAAGTTCACAAGGCGAGGGGTGGTGAATTTTCACAATCTGCATATTTGGTCACAAGAAAAGCCTCATGGAATTCGGACATGATCTTTTCAACACGACTTTCCTGTGAAATTGTGGCTCGGAATAATTCGCATTAAAGTTTGTGAACCTTTGTTCTTGCCACCCCATCTAAATTCCAAGTCATTTCTAAACTTTCTAGAAAACCATCTGAATTATTAGAGGATGTTCCATTAAATATACGACAAAATAGCTGATTACAAATGAATGGTGCTCCTGCGCATTTTAGGAGAATAATACAAGAATGGCTTAATGAAAATTGTATGGGGTGATGAACAAGTAGACCAATTGCCAATGTCAACCATAATGTTGCAGAGGGTTCAGTGTCTTGGCCAGCCAGATCGCCAGATCTAAACACCCTGGACTTCTATGTTTGGGGTAACCTATCTGAAAAGTAAAGATTACTCCAATAGATAATATACCACTACGACTGCAGCGAATAGAAGGCGGGTGTAATGAATTAAAAGAAAACCACCACATGATATTAGCTTCAATTAGTTCCATTAATAGAAGATGTCAGAAGATGTATGGATGTGGGTGGTTCGCATTTTGAACAATTGTTGCAAATACGTAACGTTAATTTTGTTTCTTATTTAGTTGTTGTTGCTTGGTAAATGTATTTTTATTATCATTTTGATTTAAATTGTTCTTATTTGTAAAGATAGTGAATTAGGCCTCCAGGGGAAACTAAAACACACCAGGAACACTACCTCACAGGTGACGTGGAAAGAATTTTGTTGATGTGCTTAAAAATTGCACTTATTTTTAAGCATAAACATAAATATTCTTGTAATATTATGGTTAGAATTGTCTGCCACAAGGGGATTGTATTGGTATACTTGAGAACGGTGAACTTTAGAGAAAAAATTCACGTTACCCTTTTTTACGTATTTTGTGCATTAGAATATAAATCCGCTATAATAGCTTGTCAAAAATACAGTGGCGCAGTTTTTTTTTTTATAAAAAAGGGGGTGACCCTGTCAGGTTCTACACTACTGGTTGAACCTTTAGTGTTCATATTTTAGGGAATACAAGGCCTACTATCATACATTGGCTATACTAAATTTTACTGAGATCGGTTAACAGATTCCGGAGATATAAACAAAACCAATTGTTTTTAACAACTTGTAAACGAGGCCGTTCCAGACCTATGTTTATAAGGCAAACACCTATTATCCTCGAAGTTTCCTGCATAAAATTCGGACCACCCTGTATACAGATGACCTAAATTTGATTATACTGAAAAATTTGTATGGATCAAGTAGTGCATAATGTAATGCTTAACAATAGCAATAACAACAACAATAACAACACTAACAACAACAGAAAAACATGACTTCGTTTGAATTTTATTAACAAAGAGTGCAAATCTCTCTTTTTAATATTCAGCTGTAACTTCGTTTTGTAGTGCGACTGAACGTAGTTTGTTTCTTTTTTCATAGCCAATGTTTTCGAGAAAATACCGTTTTTCCTATAAAATGGAAGTGCCCTTTTTTCATTGATACGATTCCCAATCAATGCACTCATGTGCATTCAAAATGCTTTCTGAATTTCTTAATGACAACGAATTCTAGAATTTTCGTCTCAGGTTTGCACAATTTTATAAAGTTCAGGCTAGAGATATTTTCGCATACATCCTGTATTTACAAAACTAGGCCGTTTATAAAATAGGTCGATATAATACGAACTATTATTCTTAAAATAATCATCACAGAATATTGTAGTTTATAAAATGAAAATAAATGACCATTAAAAATGTATTATAGTTGTATTCATGTTTTTATCAAAATAACCAAATCAAAATCGGAACATCTCTAGTTACAAGCATTTGAAGAAAATGAAGATTACAGAAAATATATTACAGATCTGCGCTTAGGTATTGGAAATATGCAATCATTTATAAAAATGTCACATAGTAGAGATAACGCCATATATTTTAAGCTTACAAGCATTTGTGATATGAAGGTATAAATGTTTATTATTATGAATGTTATCAGTTACTCATCACTTACGTATTTTTCACGTATTGGGTTACCTATCATTACTGATTTGACTTAATTGTACTTAAAGAGGATAAACTGATAATCAATGTGAGAATTCGACTTACGTACAAAACGTTTGCTAAATTTCTGGTCCCTGGCATAGTTTTATGTCAAGACCGAAGGCACTGTGACCGAAAATTTAGGCGCACCAATACAGCAATTTCTTGAGCGAGACTTTTTAAGATTGTAAGTGCTAGTTTGGAACATCAACAACACGTATGTATATGCGGTCATATGAACCGTCCACCCACCTATCGTGTAACATTACATAATTAGTTATAAATAAATAACTCTCATGGCACACTTATTGTTCAATGCAAGGAGCGACACGCAAAACGTACCTATTTCAGAAAATTAAAACCTGCGATCGTCACTTTTCTATGCGTTTACCTGAACCTGGGTAACCGCGATGTTGATTGACTATTTGTCGTACTATTTACAAACCTTGTTCTCATAGTAGTTGTTGTTATAGCCAATAACATTGCTGCCGTTCATGGATGACACCATTCCTCGATGCGAGGCTGTTAAGTGCACATTTCACGCACTTTTTGGTAGAATCGCTCGCGCACTATCCGTGTTAGCACTGGCACTAAACGAATTAACGTGACGCCATTGGTAGGAGAGACCCGGAATATTCGGCAGGTAGATGTTCCGGTGGCGGTGGCCGATTGTGTTTTGTTTTACGTGACGTACACACGCGCCAGGTAACCACTATTCGCTCCCACCTGCGTTTTGTCACATGTGACGTACAGAAGTTAGTATCGACAACGACTGCTTGATTGTGATTAATGAAAATGACGAACGAGCGATTATTGAGTATTAAAAATGCTGGTTTTGGCTCCAAACCATTTTTTTCTGACAGCAAATGATAAAACGGAAGTAATGATACTGTTGTTGAATTTATAAATTCAGCCTATAGTCTGTTTAGAAATGAAAGAGAGTAATAAAAGCTTATTATGTATGCAAATCGTAAATAAATGTAGTACTGGTGCTTATATTCAATATTTTTATATTATGTATTATCGGTATAGGATGAGGTGTACTTTTAAAAAAAACTTGTGCGATCGGACTGTAATAAATTGTAGCAGGTAACTAAAATTTAATCCCCGAAAATCCGTCTTTGTCTATGCCGCTTCAATTTCTCGGTCCATTTCTCTTATAAGTAAACAATATAAAAACAGCATTTCAAAACATGAGGCTACTTTAAGCATCATAACCGGGTTAAGAGGGTTTTTAGTAATTCAAATAAAATTATTCAATATTATTATCAAAATATTTATTTAAATTTAATGAATAGACTTTTATTCCACACAAAAATATATGTATTTTGAAAATTCAAATTATGGTGAGTAAATGTAGTGTTGTATAAATGTACAATAAAGAAAATAAAAAAGTAGGTATATTAAAATTCATCCTCTGAATATTCTGATGAATTATCTTCGTCTCCTAGATTGATAACGATAGGTTCCACAGTAACGTCAATTAAATTATCGAGTTCCCACATTTTCTCCTCTTCTTTTTGTACATGATGTATACATCTTTGCCAGTTATCTGCAGTTACTCGTTCCAAGGAATTTTTTAACAAAATTTTCACGTCACTTAATTTAAACGTCGTATTATTTCGCGCTACATCTCCTTTTACCTGCGCCCAGACTAATTCGATTGGGTTAAGTTCACAGTGATAAGGTGGTAACCGTAGTACCGTTATTTGGCGATTTGTTGCCATTTCATCGATAACATATTTTTTCTGATCTTTATTAAGATTGACAAGTGTCAAAAGTTCCTTTTTCACCATATTTGTTTCAAAAGAAATGTTTTTTCCGGATAACCATTGAATTATATCGGCTTTCCTCCAAGCAGTCGTAGGCGTCCGCTCGGTCTGCCGTGAATGGTAACTGGCATTATCCATGACAATTACAGACCCCGGAGGAATAAGATCCAACATCTGTGTAAAATACTCTTCGAAAACATCTGCGTTCATGTCTTCGTGATAGTCACCTGTATTTTTAGATTCAAATAAAAGTAAACCGCCATCTACAAAACCACTGGCACTACCTATATGTGTCACTATTAATCTTCGCCCTTTACCTGAAGGTGCCTTGAACCCTGTTGAAAGTCCATCCAAAAATGCTTGTCGAAAACTTTTTACATTTTTATCTTGCCATACTTTTGTTACAGTATATCCCTCGTTGACCCAAGTTTCGTCTAGATAATAAATATTCCTCCCTTCGTCACGGAATTTTCTAATTGATCTTAAGTAGGATCTTCGCCAACAAATAATTTCATCTTTATCGATAAGAACTGACTTCCTGTTCTGCTTTTCCCAGCAAAAATTCAACTCTCGTAAGACGGCCCATAATTTGCTTCTACTGATTTTTGGCAAATCGTTGTCCTCTGAAAGTTCACTTAAAATTTTGTTTAGCGTTGGTATTTCTTTTTTAAAATAAAATGAGTGTACTTTTCTGCGAATGACATTTTTGAAGAAATCATCTATAACGACTTTTGACCTCCCTGTAGATGATTTTGGGGGATTTACAGTATCTTGTTCATTTTTTGTTTCCTTTAAAAGTCTGTAGATAGTCGATTTTCCAATCCCTGTCATTTTTGTTAGCATTAGTGTTACCCGATAATTACCTGAAACGTAATATTACCACGCCCATGGCCGGTTCTTATCTCGAGGTTTTATTACTCTCTTTCATTTCCAAACAGACTATAGCACTATAGCACTATACAGGGTGTTTTGATGAAAAGGTACCATAAATTCAGAGGCGGTCGTCTGTTATACGTAATTATCTAAGGAATCGTTTTCGCTGAATTCCGAACCCGTTGCTGCTTAGATTGGGAGTACCATAAGGTTCCATATTAATGCCTTTATTATTTTCAATGTATTATTTAATTTATAAATAGCTGTACATACACCATTCTGCTGATACGCAGTGTATCATTTAATTTGAATAAAAAAACATTAAATTATTAAGGCCATTTAAACTAATATAGCGATATAAAGTTAAGAAAAATAAAAAATTGTACAGTGTACCTATTATAGTCGCTCTTTGTTTTGTGATTTATAAAACCACATGTTTCGATGTAAATCCACAAATTGCAGATTTAAAGTACTGCATAATATACATATATTAGGCACTTCCGATTTCGCAACATTGATTTGTTTCATAAGAAATGTCATTTTAACTGTAAGAATTCTAGTAAATATCTTCTAAACGTATGGTAAGACATTAGTCCATAGTCCACCAAAAATATAGAAAATTTTATTATTTCCATAAAAATTTAGATACATACAAGCAAACGTATTATAAATACTTCAAGGCGATTGAAGAACCAGTCTGAAACATCCCGGAGGTCGTCAAATTGTTTTCAATATTAGTTTCCTCGACGTATAGTGCGTGACGCATACACGAAGGGCACTTTTGTTTAAATGCCCCCCATGCATTCGAAATTAGCGCAGCGACTTTTTATATTGCGTATTATGATGAATTAAAAGTTTCACAACAAACAAATATTGTCGGAAATTTTAATTACTATGTACACGGCTGAATGATAACGTGGAAAAACAAGCGCTACGCAAACTGGAACACATATTTGAAATTTCTGAAGCCATGGGCGTCGCTAGAACAATTTCCAAGGGTTAAAAAAAATCAGTCAGGTTCAATTTCCATTTGGTATCTCATTCGGCTTTCAGAAATATAAAAATGATTGGTTGGTTGTGGTATATGAACTCACTTGGTACTTTTTGATGCTGTCCAGTTGTTCCCTGGTGGGTTCCACCACCGAAGTGGGGGTAAGGGGGGCGGGGGTGGTAGCAGCGGTTATGTTATTGTTGTTAGTGATCCTGGCGGGTAGTTGGGGGGCGGGCGCTCTATTGACGAGCCTGCCATCTTTTTCTATCTTGAGATGGTCCCTGGGAGGGGGCACCGGTTTGGCGGGGAGGTCTGGTAGGGGGGGTTGGACTGGGGTAGTACCATTCAATCCGCTCTGAAAAAAAAAGATACATTTAATCAGAAAAATTGAAAATAATCTTAAAATTTCAATGGTTAAGTTCATAAAAATCCAGAGAAAAATACTAGGTCTGAAGTCATGATTTTGCACCTCGATTTAGTGGCGTGTATGATATTAAGCCGCATAATATAGTTATCTTTAAGCCACCCTATGATTGTGTTTTATAAAATCAATGTTGTTACTCTACAATGTGGTAGTTGATTCATTGTTTGCAAAATTTATTCAGTTAAAACAAATAAGTAAGAGCTGTAGGAAAATGACTTTTTTTCTATTATAGATTTCGTTCTAGTTAACAAAAGTTTAAAGTTTCATTCACAACCAGCCAATTACAATTACAATTAGTACTTAGAATTAATATTAGACGTAGGGCGAAAATTAACGTGTTTTGATAATTCAAAACGTCGAATTCTAGAGAAAATTAATTAATACAGGTATATAAAGATTAAATTACCAATTTTATTGGTATCATTTATTCCATAAGTAATTTCCATATACACCTACAATATTTGCGCAGATACGCAGCAACAGGATAATTACGGTCGTATAATTTAAAACAAGAAATAAACCAGTTTGTCGCGTAGGTACCTAATTGATTTTAATAATAAATTGCTGCTGTATCGCAGTCTATGATCACAGTACATTGTTATTATAATGCAGCAATGCTAAATTATTTATTTGTTTTCGTGATAATGCTGATCGGAGCAAAATTAGGTCAGTAAATCACTGTTTTTGTCCTGAAAGTTTACAGGATCATACAAAATATGTAACACGGACAATTTTTGAACTGCAATGTGTCAGAAAAAGATAATTGCAAGTTGTTAGGTTACAATTTTAACCCAAACACTACATTTATATCATGTATTTGCAAAGGAATTATCCATTCAGAGAAGTAAAAATATAAATAGTTTATATTTAACACAATTTAAAACAGGGTGCTTAATATTCCGTGAATATGAATCTGCACAGTTTCTACGTCCAAAATAAGCAGCCGCTAAACTGTTTATGGATATTTTTTATTCTGTTCATACTGTTTTATTTTGATTCCAAGTACACGCTCACCTTGTATATTGTTTGGTCACCTTTTGTTTTTTGTGACTGTAAAGAACAGTATTTTTTTTATATATATCCACTATTACTAAATTGTGGGTTATTATTATTTAAACGAATTACTCGAAACTTAGAGAATCATATAATTGGCCCTCAAGATATTTTTACCTGTTCCTGCTAGAATTACAAAAAGGCCTAGATACAACACTTCCCCCCAAGCTTTCTAAATTCCTCTATAATAATTGCAGAAACCATCTGTAGGAAATAATAATATACCTGCCGCATACTTTAGAACCAATTATTAATAATTACTAATACGCCAACAAAATTAAGAATAGAGATCTGTCTGTCCCTGCCCCCTCAAAATTTAAAAAAGTATTGAGAACACTGTCATATGTATTATAATACAAATATGTATATATTCTTTTATTCATATTTTTAGTACCTATGTTATTAAAGGTAAACTCACAATAGGGCACGTAAAGGTAATTACTTTGGAATTTCCTTCTCAAATATCGTTGGTCTAAAACTGTAACAGTTCTATTCGGTTGTAGACATATTCTTGATTTGAAAGCTTCTGAAGTGTCTGAAGGCATTTGAAATATTGTAACTGCTGCAGTTAGTCAATACATTTGTAGATAACATATACATATATCGGAAATGTGTACTTCCGCATTTTTGTATAATATTGGAATGTTTGAAAGTTCTAGTCGTGACTGAGGCTTACAAAACCAGATGTAGACAGCGTAAATGTACTCAACACTGTAGTGATTCATAGGCAGCAAACTACAAGAGATTTTGTACAATGTGACATAACTCAACATCTAAAATAGATATTTGTATTTGTTTTAGACACAATTTTTTTCTGTTATTTGACAGTTTGGATGTAGAAATTGCGTAGATCTAATATAGATACTATTAGATGATGAGAAATTGTCTCTTTCGAAATCTGTCAAGCATTTTTGATATTTTAATTCTGTTTTCTATGTTCAGTTTAGTTAAATGAAACGAAAAAGACTTTTTCATACAGCTTTATTTGGATAATTGCTTCAATAATATGACTGTCAATTTTTGGAAATTTATTTATTTCAACTGAACAAATTTTGCAACTCAACCCAATCAAGTACCGTTATTTTCATTGTTCGAAAATTGCAAAAGGTTCCCGTGGACCAAATTTATTGCGTTCCATTTATTTGTTATGGGACAAGAACTATTTTTGGATGGGCTATCAAGTATCGATGCTGACGGAGCAACAGAATCAGAATATTCAACTTTTGAGAATATCCTATTTGAAAATTGAATTTTATTCAATGTTGCAACAAGAACCGTAGCAAACAGAGAACAGAACTGATATGGACATTTGATGAGGATGGAACTAAATAGAATAACATGAAGAAAGACATATAACAAAAAGGAATAAAGGCAGACTACGAAAAAAATAGATACAACAAACAGCGGACGCGGGAAAAAGAAGAGAGAAGAAAAAGAAGAGTATAGGTCATGTAGGCAATAACAGCAAATAGGGAAAAATGGAAAAGGTGGGTGGATGGAAATATAGGAAGGAAAGGTAAAGGAAGGGGAGAATGAAAGGAAAGGAATTTTATACTCAACAGATTTCTAACTCCCATGTTTTTTATTCTATTAATACTAATCATTTTGATTGACACATTTGCAGATTATGTCAATAAAATGTAATATGAAATACATCTGAAATGGCAAATATCCTCTAAGCATGTGTCTTGCTATCAGAAACTTTAATGATGACCACATAATCTTTGTCTTCTATATCTTGTATCATCATATTTAGTATTCCTGAGACTTACATCTACAACCCATTGTTTTGGAAACTCAGGATGCAAAATATACGGTCTGCCAATATTTTATAAAAATAACACTACCTTCTACAGTTCCAAAGTTATTTTGATAACACCCTGAGTAATTTGAAATTAGATTCCAATTGGGTTCTAATACAAATTGTCGATTTCACAATTTCCCATATGCAGCATTTTTAAAATACACACCCTTGAAACAAGTAGTTAAAGTGTCAGAAATCGATACTAGTTAGACCGTCGATTTACCAACCACGGAAGGGTGTTCTGTCCATCCGGGACAACGCTGAATAGCACAGATAAAGTTACGTATACGATTTGCTGACTGGCACAACAGTTATATGTGTATTTGCGACACAGAAGAACAACGGTAATGCCTTTGATAAGGCATCCCGTTCGACGATAATGGACAATTTCTGTTCTATTTACGATGACATCAGTTTTCGAGGCAGAAGCTGTATCTCTAGTCGTGTGAATTTATGATTGATGTACGCTGCGAGAAAAAAGATATATAGCACTGTGAGGTAGTGGATTGGGGGTAATACAGAGCTTTGACGACTTTTGATGTATAGAACGAAGGAATTTAGGTCATTGGGTAATGTAACTCAGTTCTTTATTTGAAAAGCCCCAGCGAGTGCAAAAAGTACGAAAGTGCAAAAAGTAACTTCACAAGTGTGTATCAAACAATATTTTTTCGACAAGTGCTTGGATATGTCGTTGAAATTGGGAAAAAGGGAACAATTTTGATATTTACGACAAATTAATTTGACGTATATCAATATTCTGGTTCTGGTATGTTGGGAAATTCTGTGAACATTAAAACAAAATAAATGTTGCGAATCAAATGAAAAGTGAAATGTATTTTCAAGTGATGAAGAATTTTTAACTCTTGAAGCATGTGAAGCTGTAGGAAATGGAAAATGGCAAGATATTCTAAAAAAATCTGCAAGATAATATGAAATAGCTTATAATGATTTCAAAAAATAATGAAGTGGTGTACAGAAAGGAAAATGTGCTACTGGCTTATTTTTTATACAAGGTTATGAAACCTTCAACATTACAGTCAATTTAGGCTATGTTATTAAAAAGTACATTTAACAAGAGTTTCAGAGTTTCTTCTGAAGAACAGAGCTATATGTCTCTCGAAACGTTAAGAAACCAAAACCAATCACGTAGTAGCATCATCAGTTTCTGACATTACAAACATTTTAGAATCTCACGTAATGAGTTTTGCGCCTTTTGTGGGAAGGAATTTCATTTTCACGCACTATAATGTCCAAATTATAAACAATTTCATGACCAGCCAAAAGGCCTGCCCTGAATCCCATAGAATACACATATGGGATATTATGGGCATACAGCCTAGGGAACTTCTCCTGCCTCGAAACAACCAACAACAGTTTGGACAAAGGTTACAAGAATTATGGGAAGACCAAGATCTAACTAGAATCTCAAATTATTCGGTCAATACGAGATAACACTGAATATTAGCCATTTTAATCCCTTACCAGGTCCTATTATTCCAGTCTTTAGTTTTACATTTTATGTAAGTTGCTAAGCTGTCAAGTACCTTATTTTAAAACCTCTTAAATACTTTTTTCTACTATGAAATTGTTCATGTGACTTATATCCATAATCATAATGATGTCTATGATGCGATTTTTTACTGATGTTGTATGCTTTGTGATTACAAAATAAACATTTTTCTAACTTTTTGATAACTGCGAAAAAAGACAACACATCTCGCAAGCACTCCTAACCTCTAGATAATATCGAGGGGCTTGGCCGCAAACCGGAAACGGCGATTTTCAATTGTTTTCCTATCTGCTCGAATTCCGGATGTTCACGGATTATTTACAGGTTCACTTCAACCGATTTTGTGGATACCCAACACGATACCCGTCGTGGAAACAAATTTTATTAACTACGTATGTACAAATTCCTAGGAATATCTTCACCCTCATGCAAAGTACTTTCTAGGTTAATTCTAAGAAATCTATCGTTTTAGTAACGTAGTCAAGAAGCACAGGGTACGTCAAGAGAATAAAATCATCTGCAAAAATCGCCGATTTGTTCTGCATTTGAAAATAAGCATTTCGTGATATAATAATTGGAAAAAAGAGATGAAAGAAACAATAACAACCAGAAGAAATATTTAAGACCTGTTAGGGCCAAATTATTAAAGTAAGTTTAACTTACAGTTAACTAACTATAAGCTTGGAATGTGATTTGTTGCAATTAAAACGTACCGACACCAACACATTCTAATCTTCCAGTTACTGTAAGATAAACTTGCTTTAATAATTTGGCCCTTATACATTTATCATATTACAATCCAAAAAGTTGGTCAAGTTATTTTGATACACGTGCACATACATTTTCTTGGTCAATAAATTGAACGAAAACTTAAGAGAAATATTTACTTCACAGATTACTTGAAATGATATCGAAAAATATTTTATTTGTATTTTTAAATTTTAAATTCGATAAATATTATTGCCTATAAATAATAATGCTAATTTCAGTTTACTGATTTAACCGATTTTTTGTATTCTGCAGTTGTTGGTGGCTCTAAATTTTACCAAAAAATTGGCCAATTTATAGTAATGTATACAAAGTTGACCATAATACAATTTATTGGATAGATAAATGTAAAGTAGGTTAAGAAAATTATATCTTCATTAACACTGGACAAATAATCATCTTCTAAAAAAAATGAAGCAAAGATTGGATTATTTCATGAAAAATAGGAAGATGAAAACAAGATTAAAATATGTCTAGAGTCTGAAAAAGTAAGTTCTACTTTCACAAGACCAAAAAAAAATGGAGCTAAAGAACAATTATTAACCACCCTGTCTTTTTGACTTCTCTGTACATATTTATCCACTAATTATCTTTATTTACTTGTATTTAACGTCTAGGGTCATGCTAAAAAAATAAATTTCGCCGGACGGTTACCTTGAGTACTTTGGGTGAGGGGTACTTAGGGGGGGTCTTTTTTCTCTCAACGAAATTATCGGGCACGTCTATGGCCCTTTCTTGGCCGTCTTCGCCGAAGGTCACTCCTGAGAGCCGGTTGTACCCTACCTGGAGGTGGCACAAAGCAGATACATTTAAATAAAACAGAAAAAAGTTACAAAATATCAAAATAATATACAAGAAAAATATGCAGGTCCCCTCTATTTTTTTTTAGGACGTACTATTTGGTTAATTGTTTTATATCTAGTGGCGTCCAAGATGTACTTGTTGAAGCAATTACGATGATCCTATTGACAATACAAAGCCTGATGTGTTTTTGATTTTTTTAATAAAAATTGCTTCTAAAAAGAATCGCAGCAGGCGATTAGTTAGGGCGCCACATTGTACATTTTTTTTTCTGAATATGGATAATAAAGGAGGACATTAGGAAATATATTTTTTGCGATATCTTAAAAGTTTCTGAAGACAGTTTAAACCAGATCTAGAGTACTTGGACACTAATCTACTCAGCATTGTCCAACTTTTTTAATTTTACCTAATTAAAAAATTGAATACTATTAATCTCTGGACGAATAATAATAAAAAGATACTCATGTTTATTTTCAATAAATCAAGTTATTTTCGTTTATCAATAAAATATCTCGAATAACATTTAAGATATTGAAAAAATATGTTATCTACCACTTTCCTTTAAAGGTTATTATCCATTTTCGAAAAAAAGTATGCATAAAAAAAGTTCCTAACCTTACTTTTGTATAATATCCTAAAAGATTGGCAGACAATTAATCTCACCCTGTATTTTATCAACTTCATCTCAGCGTAATACAAAGATCCAAAAAATTATAATAATCCAAACCCATTACATATCCATCGAATGACATTCGTAATGTCTCTCTTTAGCCAATATCCAGTTTCACACAATGTGATCGAATCGTGATTGCTCATTAATAGGTTTTCAACTATAGAAGAGCAATTCATACACTAATGAAGTTAGTTAGATGAATAGTTGGTTTCCGAAGCAATGACGCCATTAGTTTCATGGCTTACCGCGATGTATTTCGAGATTGTGTGTGTTACAGCGATAAGAATGTCGATATTTAAACGAACAGTTCGAATAAGGATACGCCTCTAATGCGATGATTACACTGGTTGCGAATTCGTACGAAACTTCGTAAAAAATCACATGAAAACGGTTCCTACGAGCAGAACAAAGGACCAAAAATCTAAGAATATCTTAAAGCTGGGTTCACACAATTTCAATTTGCTAATTGCAAAACGTGAATATTGTTCTAATAGACTTATTTAAGTAAAAATGATTGCTATTCATTTAAATTAGTTCAGTTTTTACTTAAACTAAACTCATTTTCTTTTACACTTGATTGTCACATGCTATTCGTACAAAATGACTTGATGAAAATTTTAGTCATATCAGAAATGCGTCTGAAATTTATTTTCTTTAATATTGATTACCACAAATGTGCTATTAATAGAGTACGCACAGATTTTCGTCCAAATTCACATCCAATGTAACCACAGCTTTATACAAACTTAATCAAACTTTCAAATTATAGTCAATCTTCCTACATTTTTTATAATTTTGCATCATCTACGTAGTTTTTACTTGTTTTGAATTCAGACGACACGCAAAATTTGTAATATCTACTAAAATGCAAGTTACCTGCAGGATGGGCTTTGGTGGAGGGTATCTGGGAGGTGTTTTGTTTCTGGCGATGAAGGTGTCCGGCACGTCGACGGCCATCTCCCTATGCGGTCCATTGTCCCCCGACAGCATCATCACCATGTTGTAGTCATCTAGCTCGTCTGGGTGCTTCTTCACCGTGTCCAAGTCGCCGTCCAGGACGACTATACTGCTTCCGGACCGTCGTCTGGGCCTGCAAAAGGTAACAAAGTCTCGGAGTACATACATATTTATTTTTGAAAAATTTATTAACTACCATTATTTTCTTTGTTCGAATGTTGCAAATTGTGGTTCCCTTAACATCATATCTTATTCTGAAACTCCTGTGATGGCCAAATAATTATTTTTGATGGATTAAATATCGATGCTGATGAAGCAACCGATTCAGAAATTTCAACTTTCAACTTTCTCAAATTTCCGAAAATGACAAATGTCCTCTGTGCATGTCTTGTTGCCAGGAATTTTAATGATAACCGTATATGTAAACTTTGACTTCTACGCCTTGTACTGTACAGTTTTGAGTTTGACTAGATTTAGAGGTGAAAAACCTCTTGGACTAAAAATAAGTTATGAGAATTAAGTGCGACTCAAATTCAATTTACGACAATTAATAAAATTTCAAATAGTTCGCACATGTTTATGATAAATAATGAATAGAATGCCGTTTAAAACTTCTAATGAGCTGTACATTCTCATAATATATTTATAGATATCTGCCAAAGGCATATCAGTTGTGTTTTACTGAAATTTTGAATATTCTAGTAATGACAATATCATGTACAAGATATTGCTTTCAACAACGTCTTGTTTAGTCCATCCAAACTTGTTTGTAACTTCTGCCAATAGCTCTAAAATACAAATCTGTCTATAGGAAAATGTTTCAAGTATGTTAAAGAACACTTCGTATTGTTGCTGACCTTGATTTGGACGAATTAATAGGGAAACGACCCTACATTAAAAGGTTGTTTACCATAACAGGTAATCCTACAGGTGATAGTCCTTTTACATAATGAATTTAGTCCCAAATATAAAATATGTACAAAAGCAACTGGTTCAAAAGACTTATTATTATAATCATGTTGGGTTAAAAGCATTTGCTTTTATAATGTAGTAGTGCCTCATTACAAAATTAGTTTAATGCTTAAACTGCACGAATAGAGGAAATATATCGAGGAAAAGTTTGAGTTGCCCCATTAATTATGATAAGAAAGAAATGGAGCGTACTTAAACATTTACGTGCTTGTTAAATTATACTTTTTTTGCAGGATCATCTTATTTCCTGATTCTACATCTATTTCTTCAAGTCTCTGTAGGTGATTAGAAAAACATTTTGTTTTGCAGAACTCTTACCAAGATTTCCAAAGTTTCTATTGACATCTGCTACACTTTTCAGCTTGGCATATGAACTATGTATATGTGAATTTGCTACTGTTGAGAATAAAACTGAAAAATTAAATGTCGAACCAGTTTCTGTAAAATTATAATTAAAAAAGAAATAATATGTTCTTGAGCAATGAGGAGATTCGGTAACCAGCGTACATACCTCTCTCCAGCGCCGTCAGCCCAGTAACGTAACTTTTACTTGCCTTTCAGTTCAATATTCATGAGACATATTTACACAATAAAATTCTTGGAAACGGTTCTTTAAACATAGTACGCCACGAATTCTTGTGATTTCCATAAAATACGAGAAGCACCTTGTGAAAGTACGGGCTTAAAATTTTTGTCTGACGGTACCGTTTTGTTTTATCTATATTTTATATTCCCACATGCCTCACGTTGTATATCACCAGATTTAATCCGTTGGCTGAGAAAATGCATTTCTAAAATTTCTTCTCACACTTCTTTCGTTCTCTTTACAGTCGGAAAATATAATATTGAAAGTTTCGTTATAAAATGTTTTGTATCTGTGATCATTTTCAAATTTTTCAAGTTCGCAATGTTCTCGGTAAATTTAATCACGAAACTTCTTTACTTGAAAGTTTTAAATGAGGATAGTTATCGGAAAGTCTTATCTTTAAACTTTCCAATAAAGTTTTATCATGATATATAATTAACCAGTTTTAGGAAAGTATTATTCCGAAACTTTCTTCTCAGAAAGTTTTACGTTTATTGGAAAGTTTCATCATGAATATATCTTCTTTAACAGTTATTTAGGAAAGTTTCATTCTGAAAGTTTTAAAGTTATGTAAAATATAACGGAGAAGTTTATTCTGAAACTTTATTTTCAGAAAGTTTTAAGTTTCTTGGAAAGTCTTATTTTTGAGACTTTCTCCTTTCCTAAATTAAATTACGCCTTTTGCTTGTCTCTCCGGGAATTTAGATGACGAAACGTATTTTCCAATACTTTAATCATGAACGTAAGAGGCATTAAGCAGTAGAAAAAAACCGTGGCAGCGTGGGTAGACGTCATTAGTGCGATACCCAAGAACACAAGTCGCTAATTGTCCAAATCAGTTATGAATACGACGCATACACAATGGGATTTCGTTTATGCACGGCGATGTAAATGAACCTTTGAAATTGAAATGGTACTCGTAGGTGGAATTTCGGAATGCGTACGCGCTGAATCACCTCCAGGTGTGTTCGGCGTTAGATCGATTTTGGTGATCATACAGGATGTTATTATTGAGCGATTTAGAGAGGTTTTTTATAATAACTATTCGGATTAGAGTTCCTCAGTTCATTAACCTCAGGTACCTCCCGTCAGTCATATACCGATGTTCAATTTGTTTTGAATAAAAATTATATCATACCTACTTCGTGTAGAGTTACAGGGTGATTCACTATATTTTCACCCCCCCATTAACTTTTTTGTTTTTAGAGTTATAAAAAAATGTGAGATACAAAAGTTGTACGATTTTTTATGAATTTTTTTTGCAAATGTTAGTAGAAAAACAAATGAAGTCCAAACAAAATGGCCGCGGATGTTAACTTTATTAATTTAAATGGAACACCCTGTATATTTTTACATATTTGGATAAGAGCGTTCCCTGTCGAGTATAGTCATATAGGGTTTTTGGGTCCATCTCTAACAATAAGCGAGAACTATTAAAAAACGAAAATAACGTTTTTTTATTAAGAAAATAAGACATTAATTAGTAAACTTCTTTCAGGCATTTCTGCCTTTTTCTGATTACGTAAGGATTTACAGATTTAGTTATAATATGTTTTGATATGTCGGACATTGATACGGTCCAAAATGCGTATTGATAATGTAACAAAATCTCACTAATTAGGCTGAGAGAGGCCTAATTACTCATAGACAAAGTTATATGGTAGGCCGTGATAGTGACAGGTAATGTCATGACAACATTTTTATTGTTTGACATTGTGTATTATTATTTAATTAAAATGCTTTACACAGAAATAGAAAATTGAAATATTACAGGAATTAAAATAGAGTAATGTTTTTCTCCATACTCTATTTTAATTCTAAATAATATTTCAATTTTCTACTTCTGTGTTAACCTATTTTAATTAAATAATAATACAAACTGTCAATCAATAACAATGTTGTCATGACATTACTACCTGTCATTGCTACGACCTGCTATAACATTGTTCATAAGTAATTAGACCTCTCACGGCCTAATCTCGTTTATTGTTAGAGATGGACCCAAAAAAACTTATATGACTATGCTCGACAAGGAACGTTCTATCCAAATATGTAAAAATATACATGGTGTTCCATTTAACTTAACAAAGTTAACATCTGCGGCCATTTTGTTTGTACTTCATTTGTTTTTCTATTATCATTTTCAAAAAATTCGTAAGAAGTCGTGCAACTTTTATATTTCACATTTTTTTATAACTCTTAAAACAAAAAACTCAAAGGGGGGGTCAAAATATAGAGAATCACTCTGTACCTAAAATAATCGAAAGTGCAAAGAGGTTTTTGTTTAATTCAACCCAAAGAAAGAAACTTTAATTTCAGGTAATTGTTTAGCACCCGTGGAAGTGTTTTTTTACCATAGATGTAAGGGCTGATTTCAAGTTTATTTTTAACGGTTTCCGCACAAATCATTAAACATATTTTCAATACAAATCTGATAATCTATTACAAGACAAATGTTTAAATTCTCATATAACATTATTTTCTATTGCTTTACTACCGCATTGTATAAAAACGCAGTTCATTCGGATGACAAATTATAGAGGCATTCGGAATTCAAACCTTGGGGTAGGGCTTTGTGCACCCCTATAGCCATAGAACAGGTCTAGACGTCAGGTGAAAACGTCAGGTTGAGAAGAAAGACTAGAAATTCTGGGAATATTTAGCTGGCGTTTATTACTTTACAGGTAGTAGTTTGGGATTTGTGTAAACATAACATAGGCATACCAAATTACTGAACAGTCGTAATTATAACAACGAAAAATGTTTAAATACACGTCTAGTAATAATAGTAATTTTAGACATGTCGAAGTGTTGTGCGCGACAGGGGGTGGTATATTATTATTTTAGATCCTGTTAGTGATGAAATATACCCGTAATCCTTTTGATACATAAACTAATTAGCGTAATTTCTAATATGTTTTATTGTATTTGTGCAAAATTGTTTGTAATGCACTGGTGATTTTTAAACAAAGATTTATAACCAGTAGTTTCTTAAGCAAATAAAAATTGTTTTTAATTTTTAACAGTTGCGAAATAAAATTTTTATGATTTCTAAAGGTTATTGTACAATAGAAATGCGTTAATATTGTCCTATTTTATACAAAAGATTCACTGACTCAGATTTAAAAATTTGATATTTGAAACTTTATAATTTTTTTATTAAATGTTCGAACTAAATCATCCTCAGAAACGAGAAAAGGAGAATCATTTAGTGGAACAGATCAGAGACACATGTAACCCCTTTTGGAGTTGGATCTTGGCAATTGGGAAGAGGGTTGGGGGTATTGGGGTGTGGATGGCGTGACGATATGTTCATGGGCTTTATTTCCCTTGAAAATGGGTGATGAATTAGATGTTACCGGTGGAATAGGTTATATGTACATGCATTTAACCCCTCTTCGGGGCAGTTTTTGGCCTGTTTGGGGGAGGGTTAAAGGTGCGGGTGGCATGACAGTATGTTAATGGGCTTCACCTTCCTTGATTTGCACCCATTTGGTGACACTGCTAACCGATTTGCGTTTTTACTCCATCTACATGTCGGGGGGATAATTCCAAAGGGCAAAAATAACTCGTTT